TTCTTTTTATGCATATATCTTGAAGCAATTCCTTTAATTTTTAGAAATCAAAATCATTTTCTATAATGACTATGTATCGATTTTATGGGAGTAATCTCCAAAGGGTCCTCCAGGTCACATTCATACAGGTGTGCCTCTATTAGGGGATTCCCAAATCTCGAGACTAACGAGTGTAGATGACGATAAAACAATTCAATCAATTTGATGGGAGTCGTCTTCGAAGGGCCCTCGGGGTCCCGGGGTCGTGTACCATTATCGCCTCGTACGAATGCGCGATTAGGACAATTAAAGTCGAAAGCGGCGTACGATATAATAACGACTCTGCGCGGCCTTCGGTGTATTATTTATCCAGTTCTATATATCGTTTTTCATCGGTTAATCGTCGCTTCTACGCGGCGCGTATCGGAAAAAGTTCCCATGAATCTCTTTCATATGTATACGTCTTCATTTCCTCGGTGGATTAACCGAAGAAAAAGTCGGACATTCGGAACGGCGATGAATTAATCGTAATGTTTTGATTACGGGCGGACGCTTTAATATGCCTTTTTTATTCACCTCGATTCCATCTGATAAATTACTGTTTTCTACGGAACGATTTGATTGCCTAATTAAGCGACTTAATTCGACTCGCTTCTTTTTTATCTAACCCACTAACGGCCTCTTACTTAGCCTCTTACAGAGCACCCTTTCGATTAGTGGAATCTCTTAATACACAACGATGTTGTAATATGATTCACCAGGACCTGGGGGACGCTTCGAAGACGGGCGTACTTTTTTTTTAATAATGCAGTTAACAGTACCGTCGATATTTTTAGCCTTTTGCTGTGCCTGTCGGGCGACAGCCGGCTGGAATACGAATGAATTCCGCGTCACGTTCGCGTCTCACCGATTCGATAATAGCTGGAGTGAACGAATGGATGAATGAAGACACGTGAAAAAAGAGGTTCGCGATGTGCGTGCGTTCGGGTGCGTGTGAGTGTGTGAGAGAGAGTTTGTATGCTGGAAATGTCTCCGGCGGGATAGACAATGGCGGCTTCCGCGGAATACTAATGGCCGGTCGCGATGACGATTTCGAGTGTGAATTATATTGTAGAGGAGCGTTCGGCTTAGTCACGGTCGATGGTCGGGAATTATGATTGGTTTTTTCTTCGATTTTTTTTTTCACTATACGTGCAAAGTGGCTGGATGACTACAGGCAAAAGGCCGTAAACTAGAAATAGAAGCTGTCGTGGCTAATGCGTGGTGTAGCAAAAGGCGTGTTGGAACACAAAAAAGAGGTAGAAGAAAAGGGGACGAATGAATTTCTACTTATTTCTTAACACGCCGGTCTTTTACTTGGTGTAATTACAGAGAGGCTATATACGGTTTCAAAAATTGAAAATCATAATCGCGTGAAACCGGGCGAGTTTTACACCAATGATCAGGAAACCGCATCAGAAATATTGAAAAAAAAATTAGTAGGTACCTATATTTATTGTCATCCACCAATAAATCCATATACAGGATGTTAAATTTAGTAAAAACAGGAGCAACTTTTTATGAGAGCTTTTGTCAAAGCGGACAACAATCCCAGAAGAAGATACCTTTATGTTGCGAAAAAGTGGCCTTTAATTTAGTAAGTAACAGGACTATTTAAAAAGCAACATTTAGAGAAGAGTTGGAGACTTTTACAGATAGAATAAATGACCTCTAATTTATTAAGTAACATCAGGACTATTCAAAAAAGCAACATTTAGAGAAGAGTTGGAGACTTTTACACATCGAATAAGTGGCCTATAATTTAGTGAGTAACAGAGAGCAAATAAACAGATACTTTTGAAGAAGAGTTGGAAACTGTAGTGTAGAGAATAGGTGGCCTCTAATTAGCAGGTAACCCAGCAAACCGGGAGTGATAGATCTCGGCTTCGAAAACGAACCCACGTCGTATACTTCTGATTAGGCTTGTAAATCGCATGCAAAACGGACGATTGAATAAATATTTGTAGCAGGTTGATCCTCCTGTCGGAGATATCTCGTTATTATTTTCCACCGGCCCGCGGGCGATTCGAAACAATGCACGATCCGCACGGTGTCTGCAACACGCCGAATACCTGCCTCATATTCCTCCTCTACTTCTCCTTCTTCTTCTTCTTCTTCTTCTTCTTCTTCTGTTGCTTGAAATTTTTTTATTTTTCAAGTTCAAGGCTCGCCTCGGAGAAGTCGCGTCCTTTTCAGACGATCGCTGGAAGTTTTCCTTCCTTTTAAAAAGTAACCTTCAACTTTCCGCGAGGGGCTCCTTTTTACGACCTTTTAAGGATTACTGAAACTGATCGTAAATTATTCCGATCTCGACTCTCTCTCGCCGAGATGACACATTCCCTCTTATTCTTCGTACATTAAAAAGTATTTTTGCACGCTTAATTCCACTACCGTCTAGACGGTAATTAGCCAGTATGCAATTTTAGTCCTCATAAAGCCAGTATATGATATTTTATTTGGCTCCCTCTGTACATATAAAATTTTTGAGCCGAATATCCCAAGCATCCGAGGCCTCGCCACAAGGAAAGAAGAAACGTCAAATGTAACCAATATTCTCAACATACTGTATTATGATTGATATACAGAGTGATGTATTCGTGGGATTCTTAGAAGTGGAAAAAAAGTCTTATCGATTATGATATAAAATATGAGGTCTTGAATAGGGTTATTATCGGGGCTTTTGGCTCGTTGTTTATGGACCGTGACAGATCGCAGCCGGCGGTGCCAACCTTGAAACGCTAAAAAGGGGGTACCTGGATATGATTGCGATCGGTTTTTCCCCGGGTAATTTGCAAATTGAAGCGAACTCGAAGCGCCTTTAAACGCGTCGAACAATGCCGGGTCGTTTCGGTTAAAAATTCTCTATAAAGAATTCCTCTTCTTAGGAACAATAAATAATTTGTAGCCGGACGATTAGCGGCATTCCTTCGGAAAATTGAATCGGCTCGAGTTATGTTCCGTTGCGAGCGTTAAAAATCATTAAAAAATTCCTAGAAAGCGAAGAATCTTAACGAATTGTCCACACATTATACCAACAAAACTCTTCGACTTGTCATCGATGTGCCGAGAATCGATTGTAATCGATTATATCTATGAAAAGCGGCGTTTGGAATCGTTGCGCAAGGCAATAATGGGGCCCGGCTCGCGGGAGAGAAAGTGATCGAGACATGTGATACCGAACTGGACACAATCGAAAGTGGTTTTCATACGAGAATATTGAACTCCGTAAATGAGTTTCGACCTCACAAAATAACCCGATTACCGACGAATACGGCACCGTACGACTAACACAGTAAAAGGCCACCGAGATAGAAGACTTCGAACTATATTGGTACGATTTCTTGGTGAATCCCCGAAGGATTGTTACGGATTAAATCGCGTGAGATTCGTAGAGAATTTCTGCGAAGTTCTTTATGGAACGCGTCTAATTAAAATCGAGGAAATAAAATGAGGCAAAAGGAATAAAGGAAGCGAACGAGAAAAAGCCGCTCGATTATCGAAGACAACCTTGGAATGCCATTTCGTTGCGAAAAATTACCCGAAAACAAACAAGAAGAAAACGAATTTAATACGCGCAAAATGTACATGAAATAATTGCGCCGGTGCTCTTCTTCTTTTTCTCTAAGATACACTCGTATCTCTTTGCTGTAGCGTTGCACGGACATTCCGAAAATGCGAAAACGTACAGAGTGTCCCAAAAAAATGATAACCTAACTCTAAGACAACAAACCATACATTTGTGATAAAGACGCTCAAGAACTTTATTGAGACGCTCTGTACAAACGTAAACAATCTAACGCAGGGCATTTATAGAGGGAAAAATGTACATCTCGTGAGGTCCGATCGGTCACGCGATAATTTCAAATTTTCGAGGAAACCGCAAATTGAATATCGGAATTAAAGGGCAAAGGAAATCACTAAACCGAAAAATGCCGGGGCCTTAATTCGAGGGTTGATTATTAGGTAGCCCGAGAGTTTTGACACGAAGCCATTACACGCAAAAGAGTATAAAGAAAAAAAACTAAATAATACAGCATATCCAATTCCCGTCCTGTATACTAAACACAAGACGTGTATAATATGTGATACAATTCATTCTAACGGGTCTACCCATAACTCAAAGCGACGCTGGCAGCATTCGAAACAATTACTATAACTGATGCCCTTGCATATCGAAAAATATACGAGAGCGTTCTGGCTGGATAAACAGTTAGAGGAGATGATGATAATAGGCAAACGAACTGATAAGTTCGAACGCTGAAGGGGGCCATGCGAATCGTTCGTACAGGACGGGAGGATTTAATATTTAATCCCACTTCTGATTTCTCCAACGTTTTTTCGTCCCACTTCTGATTTTTTTTTTGTTTTTTTTTTGTCCCACTTCTGATTTTTCGATTCGCCCCGTACGCGTCGGTATTGGAATTAAAATTCTCGGCTGTTGATGGACAATGGCGTTGTTAAATTAACCAATGGGTTCTTTGTCATAGAGTTTGACTTTTACGATAATGGAATAGAATGAGGATTTCGTTTTGTTAGAGTCGCCGTAAATCAAACTGAATATATGGTAATTCTGGTATTGAATTCGGACGATAAATGAATTTATGTCACGGTTATGTAAGACAAGATGTAATGTAGCTTACATTACTTTGTCTGCGACGAAATTGTTTCTTGTCGCGGGTTAAATTGTAGATAATTTATTAAAATATAAGCGAATGTTATACAGTATACAAATTGTCTCCTTTTATATCTAATAGGCATTTCCTATTGTACGAAGGTATGTTATAAAGTTGCATCCGGTGTTTTGAGAATTTCTTGCCGGCTAGTACTTTCAACTTCCTCTGCTATGCGAAGAAAACTCGCCGGTTTAATAATAAATTATCGAACGCATATTCATTTTTTAACACGTCGAACGCCGCTCTATTATAATATCGCCAAATCGATTGCGCATGATCGCAGTAGAAAAAGTTTTGTGCAGTACTCACCGTTACGTTTAGCCATAATATCCACACGACCAGTGGAAGGAGTATTTTCATTTTCGCTGTAAAAAAAAACAAATATAAATATACTTCGTATAGATTAGTTGGGTAAAATATTTGGGTCGCCCTGTATGCGATTGAACAGTTTAGTTGCAGAAGAAGAAGAAGAAGAAATAAACAGATGTTATTAGAGTACCAGTTTGCCATCTGTTACGAAAAAATCAAATGGCTGCACATCGTTAGAATAAAAGACCTTGATATTCCATATTTTCTCGATTATTACATAATGTAAATGACGATTTAACGGTTATAAATAACGTGTAATTTGTTTAGGTGCAATCGTAAGTACATACAATAATAATTCAATTAATAACAGTTTCGCCATTTTTGTTCCGGCGCCTTCTCTATTAAAAAAAAACCCATCACAGGAGTATTGACATATGACGTGCTAACACGCGAAGTTAGCAACCAAAGTGTCACTCGTACGAGGGAGCGTGGTAAAGTTCACTGAATTACTCTTTCGAAATCGCGCTTTCTCGGAACCGAATTAAGAAATAAAAACTGGAAACGAGCCGTGTAAAGCGAACGCAATATTCCGCGGGTCTTAACGTGTGACATACGTGTTCTTTTTCGGTTTTACGAGCTCGAAATCTCCGTTTCGAATACCGTTCGAAAGGCCGCACCGAGAGAGCACCGAGCTCCGATTTAATTGTGTACTTAAAAACTGGATTATTAACATGCGAACTCGCAGGGCACATAACGCGGTAAACGCCGAAGGAATTCGTGCCTAATTCGATTAATTAGCTATGCAAACAGCGGGGAAATTGTAGTACCCAGTTTAGTCCCTTTCTGGTATCGCTATCCGTAGTACATCTTTTATCAGCGCGAGGAATCTTTACAGGAAATTACCGGGTGGGGATTTTAATGGAATTTTGAAGACAAACCGGCACGCGATAAGAATATCAAAACTGGCGAGTTTCTTTTTTTTTATAACTGCGCCTGAAATATAAAAATACAACTAGGTGCACGTTACGTAAATAAACGAGTTGCATTCTGAGCATCTTTATAACATGCTCGTTTTTCTAGATTATTATTATTATACCCGATTTCATTTCTACATGTCAATATCGATCCTAATCGATATTCCTCGAACGTAAAAATCGATTGTTCCCTAACAGGGCATCGAATACAACGTTCGGCACGAGAATTTCACGATTATTGCCTAACTGTTCTTTTCGAATGGCATTCGTCACCAGCCGGACGGACTTTTTACGTTTCCCAAACGAGCAACACGCTTATATTTATTTCCTCTATAATCGTCCTGTCACCTGTCACATCTATCAACTGTCATACGTCAACAGCAAGCGCTATAATTTTGATTATATACGTCAATAAACTTCCAAAATTGTCTGAATAAGCTTAGTTGCACAGGCTTCAAATGAAGTAGAAGAAGAAATATGGTTTTTACTAAGCCCGCTAGACTAATCTATTTATTCAGAATCGACGGCGCTGTTTTGTGGAAACAGAACAAACACGTCGAGAGAGGTGTTTCATTATCATCGGTTCCTGCAGGTAGGCCGAAAGTCAACAAAACAAATCCGACTGGTGTCTGGGTGTAATTTATCAAGGAAACAAACGGGCCCGAGTCGGCGGTTTTCTCCGACCGGTTTCCCCGCGCGCCGTGACAGCCGACAATTGCGTTTCAATCCGGCCCTGGCGCTTTCCTGGAGTTCTTGATCGGCCGGAGAAAAAGCGTTATGTCATTTAACTCGGTGGGTATTAATGTTCGCGGGGTCAAAGGGCTGTGTTATTAAGGGTCCGTTCGAATGGGAACCCATAAATTAAGGTGTACGAATTGTTGGTTTAACTATCGATCTCCCCTCGTATTAGTAGTGGATTTATATAAAGAACGATGAAGTCATGTTTGATTCGTGAGAGTTTTATTGGAATTACTTAATAATCGAATATGCTTAGGCGTATGTGTGTGTGTATGTGTGTTTAACATACAAATAAATGCATTGCTTTGATGCAACAGCACGCTCTAATAGAAACGACCTTTGTGACTAGGTAAATATTGCGGATATTCGAATTTCGCCTTGAAAGAGCGAAAAATAGTATTGATCAGACATTTTACGTCAAAATCTGGTCTGTGTGGCCGAATAGTCCGGTCACCCAAGGCCAATAATTCTAGAAGAAGAACAATAACACGTTTAGCTGGTCCTGAGGACAATATAAGTTAGAAAAAAAAACAAGAAACATAAAATATCTGCAATTTAGGCGACTCTATACAGAATATTTTATTACAAACTTGTCGATTTAAATCGTTCTTTTATCGCCATTTTACATATATATACTTTTTATTTTGACTCGATAAAAAAACTCCTAAGAAAAAATCGCGACTAAATGTCAAATAGTAGGCGCAAATAACCGCGTGGGTTTGTATAATAAATATCTCAAGAGACCAGTTCGAATATGGACCGACTTGTTTACCTCGCGAAATTGAGAAATCCTATTTTAGTAATGGCGTTCGGTTCTTTCACCATATACATATTTATGTAACTATTTCATCCGCGAATTCTTCTTCTTATCTCTCTCTCAGGTCTCGATTCACGCGGGCATCCGGTATACTGACAAGTGACGTGTGACATTGACATTGGCAAAAGGACGTTATTGTTACCAACACGTGTGTGTGCGTTGCGTAATTCTTAAATTGCCCATTAATAATACATACGATGGAATATACCGGTATTAAAATCGGTGCGGTGAAAGTAATAGTAATTAACGTAAAATGCAGACTATCTTCTGCCGACGTATAATTAAAAAAATCGAGTATTTTCCATTCCGTCGGTTCGGAGGATTCTTCGTTTTCATTTGCGAGGTCTCGACTCATCGGGTTGTTCGGTACACTTGCGAGACAATGGTTTTTTTTAACATCTATCTAAATCGATTTGAAGGAAATAAGGTTTACGATGCGTTTCCCTTCGAGATTATAAAAAGAGGTAATTGAACTTTACCAGCGGAATCGACTCGTCACTTTCTCTTACAGCTACCCAAGTAGCCGGATAACTCGAGCATCGAAGGCCTCGTACAACGTTATATCATCAATTATCAAGCGATAAATTCGACCATAATCCTGTAACCCACTTTTTCAATGTTGGTATTATTCAAACAATACGAATTTCCGGCGAGTCTCTTTGTCTTAGCCGGTAAGTAGGTCCGACCTCTAACAGTATAATGCGAAAATCTCCTTAAAATATTCAAGAAACTCTGTATTTTTACGGTGAGAACGTTCGAAGAAGATCCGCCATTTTACTATGCCTACTACGATTCTATCGAATAACATGAATGAATAATAAAAAAAAAGTTGATGTGTGGAGAAGATTGTGCATATAATTTAGATGTAAACAATGAGGAAAACTTTGAATAATTTACCTACTTATTGATGTATCGAGTTTATTTGACAGTGACCTGTTTAATTCGTTTGACGTTTTTGTGACAGGCAAAGCACACTATAATCAAATTGTAATACAAATAAGAAGATAAGCAGAAACTAGAGAAATTGGATTTTTGTTCATTTCTACATATTTAATGGATTTTTCGTGTGATTGCAAAAAAATCGAACCGACTTTCTAAAATAAGTGTTATCTATTCTAATTCACCGATTGCATAAGAAAATGTCATTAATGCGTTAATAACCAAAAAAATAGAATTAGTTTTTAGCGGTAACGAAATTATTCAAATTAATTAAAAAATACATCTGCAACACAGTGCTTATCACGGGATTTTAATCATTCCTTGATTCCTGTCGGCGTTCTTTGCTCGCAGCGATTTGATTACGATCTTCGAAATGGAATTATTATTACTGATTATTATTTTTTATTGTTCTTTCTATCAAGTCTACATTATCGGCCCAGCCTTGACCTTAGCAATTCCAATTTTTCCACATTTCAACTTTGAAATCGACAACATTTAAATTACCAATGCACAAAACTAGGTATATAAAATATGCATTTTAAATAAGCATAAATTCGACGGAGATTCGAAAGTTATTACCAACGAATTAGTGGGTTTTTAGGACTGATTAATAATTAAACGAGAAGCCATTGGGAGAAAAAAGATTGAAAACGAAGAAAAACCGGCGAAATTCCTGCTCCGGGGATTTACAGCTAGCCGAAATCGAATCGAACTCGTGAGAACGTCTTTTGTATTTAACGCACGCACTCCGATCAACGAGCTGCCACAATTCCGATCGAAAATAACTCGAATTTGCGTAACCGTACGTTATAATAACGCACCGTGTAATTTTCCGGTTATCCGCTTCGAAAATTTAATCCCGTAAATACCGGGTGTAGTAACTTTTTCGGTTGGTAACGCTGTAATTAATTAAACTTTTGACGTTTGACAAGAGTTTGACGTAAAGGAGAAGTTCTGCTGTTTTGCGGTAAACATTTTGCGAATCATGCTGTATAGGTATATTCAAAAACAATATTTTGAAGTAATGAGCGTGAATAAAAGTGAAAAACTTAATCACATCAATGGAATTTGCGGTCTACAAGCTACAATTTATAATAAATCGCACACTTTTTGTTCTACTACACTAAGAGCGGCCTTTTACCTCCGATTAAATCGGCCACTTTCGTTGTGAATTCGGCGCGAATTCGTAATCTAATAGACTCGATTTTATCGAATTTTATCCGCCAAAGCCCGTCGGTAAACGTCCGATATTTAATTACAAAAGCATTGTGAAAGGCTGACCTGGATTCAAATTCGCTCGTGGAAAGTCTCAAACCGAGATATTCGAATTGTCTCGGATAAATCGAGTGTGCGCTAACAAAATTGACAGCTGACAAATAGAGCCAACTGTATTTATATGTTATAATTGCGCCATTACGGAGTCGTTGAACGATAAATAAATGAAAAAAAAAAATACAATAAAATAGCGACCTTTGTAAGAATGTCAAGGAGCTAAACGCGAATGAGAATCTAACTCGACTGTTGCATAACAGAATATCCACCATTAAAACGCGCGTTTTTTCCTCGACTGGAAAATTCGCGAGTTTTCATTACCGGTTTGCTCGCGCCTAACTGTACAAACGTATCGCCCGTTAATTAGCATAACTCCAAATACGACCGACATTGCGAGATCATTTCGAGATTATTTTTCTGTTTGCCTTAACCGGCGCGCAAACGGAACGGTTATTTAACCGGCGGTTACGTTCAGAAACGAAAGTGAGGAAAAAATCGGCCTTCTGCGACGTCCCACGCCGCCCCACGCGACATTTTTAATGAGCGGCTCTTACGGAAATTAGAAGACAATGCGGGTTTAATTCATAGGTGGTTGTTTAAGGTCGGAGAAACACCCTGAATTCATTTGCTATATACAAACGCGACCTTAAGACACAAAAAAAGTCCGTTAAACTTGAGGTTTAACGATTGGTTAGTTAACGGAGGATCAATTAAATAGATGACTAAAAGATACCCATCAAAACTTACTCTTTAACGTTTGGTTAGTTAACGGAAGATTAATTTGAGTAAAAGGAGATGAGTTAAGAGATGAGTAAAAGATGCACAGAAAAAACACTCAAAAACGTTAGTAGGAATCTTGGAAATGAGTTTTTTTATCTCACATTCTTGTTAGTACCACCGTCGAAAACCACAAAAGTGCTAAATTAAATTTGCATAAAATTCTAATGAAATCGAATTACGTAAATCCCATCAAAATTTCATTTCTCATCCTCCTACGTGCTAAATCGGTCCATCTTTCGCGCCAAATTGGGCAATTTTGCGGAGAGTTTATCGCGAAAATCCGAGTAAAACCGCCCGCAAATTGGACTAATTAACGGGAAAATTAACCCGTTTGAGTGTATTTTAGCCCTCTAGAACGTTCCATTGGGGTGTTTTGCAATTTTTCCCGAACATATTGTCGCCTTGCGAAGTCGAAGAGAAAGTGATTACGTCGAATATGCGAGCTCGAACCAGTATATGAACAGAACGCGAGTCAATTCGACTAGGCGTTAAAAAATTAAAAGTGTAGGCTTGTATGGGATTCCCAAATTTTCTACTAAATGAGACATCAATTAAAATAGTAGTTTCGAGAATGAATAGTTAACGAGTTAAATAGTTAAATAAACGTATTGGTTTTGGTGGTTGATTATGAGAAAAGCACTCGAATTAGCAACGTTATTGAAGCGAATTAGCGAAACAAACAAACTTGCATAAAATCGCGATAAAAAAAAGAAATAATATCGATTCTATTCTCACGATTCGTACAATTAAATGCAACGTTCTAGAATTAAGTGTTACATGCGTATTACAGCGGTCAACAGCGCGTGTATTAGTGAAAGGATAGTTTTAATTGTTTCAATTAATGGGACTATTTATGTATCCACTAATTGCAAATATTTAATTTTATATAGAATAAAAAAACTACGCAAAAACAGCGTGAAATTGTTAAAACAACATACTAAAAAATCGATACTAATTTGAGCGAATATCGCTGCGTTGATTTTTGAGATTCTCCGGTGTAAAAGCTATATGAAAAAAGCGTTGGAGATCATCGCAGGTACGAAAAAATCGGGCTCGAAAGCTAATATTTGATCCGCAAATATTGCTTTAAATGGTCTTTGAACTCCGTGAAAACGCAAATAACAAACATCGAATTTAAAACGAATACCCGCCGTAATGGCTCAATAATGTGGGAACATTCGACATACTATACAGAGTGAAACTCTTCATAAAATCCCCTAAAACAGTTAACTAATAATCGCGCATATAGAGGTATTAGGAAGCGCTGTTTATAATTGAATAATTACAATAAATCCGATTAAATAATAATTACATTGTGTATTAACCTCAATTAAAATTCAAAGTTTCAACACAACTGTAACGAATGATAATTCCATTTATCCTTCGTCGGCCTACGAGTGTTTTTCTGGCGCGCGTTTGGGCGATTTTTCAAGAACTCCAATCGAAATTCATCATCAACTTTTATTTCCTCATATATCCAAATAATCCCACACACCTCGATGATGTCTTTTGTTTGCACTAAAATTATTTATCCCCACGTTTCGACTCCTAATAGCCCTTCATCAGTATAACATACCGAAACTTTTCTATAATTACCCAACAATTAGAAATATTGCGTTGTTTAATTGATGGTAAATAAAAGTACAAGTATAGATAAACTGTAATGAAACAAATTACGCAAGTACAAGCGAGTTTCTCTCGCGCACAAACAGAAAATCACAGTCGTTTTCCATTTAGGATCGATTCTCCCTAGTTCGGCGACCATTTCATCCTATATACGTTTTATTTCTTTCCGTTTTGCGCTTTTTATCTTCCTCTTCAGCTCGCTTCTTTCCAGCGAATATCTCGCTTAACGGCCGGCGCGTCGTAATGGCAGCCGGATTTGCTAATTAACCCGCATTTTTAGCGAATCCGACCGGTACCAGTTACTAGTTTCTAAGACATTTTCAGTTCCGAACCAGCGGCGCGTTCGAAAACCATTCGCAAATAGTCGCGAAACATTCCCTCTCGAACTTTCCAACGAACTTTGCGAACCGCCCTCGTATATAACAACTTTCGGGCCGTTAATTTAGATTTCATCGCGTTTTAATGGCACCTAAACGTTTGCTAATATTACTATACGAGGGTGATACTAAGAGTGTAGAAATGAATTTATTTACCTAGCTGAATAAGGGTGCGTTTTGGAATTAATTTATTTATAGCTATACGAGGGCGAAGTTAAAAGTTTTGAAACGAATGGTATGTACGAGGGTGATGCAAAAAAAGTAATCGAAATTGCGATTATACGGGGGTGAGGCGGAAAGTTTCGTTACGAAATTAATAATGATTGTGTATGTGAAATCTTTTGTTATCGCTTTTACAATATTTTCGCAAACAATATAACGCTTTCGAATCGAATTGTTCGTTCGAAATCGACACACCCTATATGTATAGCTTTTCAGTTTCCTACCAAATACGACCTTGCTCAACATTTATCCGAGAAATCACAATCCGGGCTTGTCTCGTTTATTTACAACAACACGAATTCCATCGCCAATGCGCCTAAGTAAATTATACAGCGGGTTTCTGTTCCGAGCGCTCGTCGAGCTCTCTACATCACGGTGTTAGTGCGAAGGATGCGGGAGGATAATCGGGACAGCAGGATAATCGAAAACCACTGTATTAGATTGAAGATTTTCCAGCACTCCGCACTAATCCGCGGCACTTAACCAGAGGCACAAATCACGAGTCACTGATACGCGGGTAACAGAAGTTTCTAGAGGAAGCATAGCTTAGGGGATGTGTTAGTGATACAGCGATAGATAACGGAGATTTTCCGGAGGTGAACTTACCAGTCGCCATGGCGTTATCGGGCCAGGGCCGTTCTCGCCCCCCAGGTCACTCGACGGTCGCGCAAGTGATCTCTCGCCTCGGATTCGCCGCTCACTTTAAAGTCTTAAGATAGACTGAGGTAAGGTACGGAGCGCCAGCGGAGCCAGCGGTCGTCTTGGTGGCTTCGCGGCCGTGAGAAGTCGCCGCCGATTGGTCGGCGCGTTTGCACTACCATTAGATCGCCGCGTACGCGGAGTCGTATGTGCACGGGCGTTTGCGATCGCCCGGGTGGCGGTAGAACCAAGGGGGTTTCGATGTTGTTCGCGCCCTCTGAGGATGCTTTCCGTCGGCTGGATATTTTTCTGCGTAACGACGGTTATTTCAAGTGTTTTGTACGACCTGGAGCACTCTCTAGCACGGCCTGAAGCGTACACTCTGGAGATGCTTTCCACCAATTCGATATTTTTCTGAAACACATCGTTTTATGAGTTAATTAAAACATTGTTATAACCTGGAGTACACCCTGAAGCGCACCCTCTAAAGATGCTTTCCACCAATTCGATATTTTTCTGCATAACATCGTTTTTTGAGTTATTTAAAGTATTATTAGGACCCGGAGTACCTACTCTCTGAAGATACTTTCCATAAACTCGATATTTTTCGATACTTTTCTGCAACACATCGTTTTATGAGTTAATTAGAACATTGTTATGACCTGGAGCACACCCTGAAGCGCACCCTCTGAAGATGCTTTCCACCAATTCAATATTTTTATGCATAACATCGTTTTATGAGTTAATTTAAGTATTGTTATGACCTGGAGCACACCCTGAAGCGCACCCTCTAAAGATCCTTTCCACCAATTCGATATTTTTCTGCATAACATCGTTTTTTGAGTTATTTAAAGTATTATTAGGACCCGGAGTACCTACTCTCTGAAGATACTTTCCATAAACTCGATATTTTTCGATATTTTTCTGCAACACATCGTTTTATGAGTTAATTTAAGTATTATTATGACCTGGAGCACACCCTGAAGAGCACCCTCTGAAGATACTTTCCACCAATTCGATATTTTTCTGCATAACATCGTTTTATGAGTTAATTTAAGTATTTTTATGACTTGGAGCACAACCTGAAGCGTACTCTCTGGAGATGCTTTCCACCAATTCGTTATTTTTCTGCATAACATCGTTTTTTGAGTTATTTAAAGTATTATTAGGACCCGGAGTACCTACTCTCTGAAGATAATTTCCATAAACTCGATATTTTTCCGCTTTGTATGATTTTTTGTTTGGTAGGACCTGGAGCACCCTGTAAAGATGCTTTCCACCAATTCGATATTCTTCTGCATATATATATCGACGTTTTATGAGTTATTTTAAAGTATTGTTAGGACCTGGAGCACCCAAACTCTTCGAAGATGCTTTCTATAAACTCGATTTTCACCACAACGAGTGGCTTTTAATAACCCGCTATAGTTAAACATAATAATTGATTAGAGAAACACGAATACAATCATCATTAAAATTAATAATCGCCTACCGTAAAGTACCATCTGCATTGTTAAGTTAAGATGTACATTATTTAATAGTGCAGTCGATTTCGCTATTAAACCGATCGCCGTTTTTTCGACTCTAATGCATCGGAATTACAATAATTACGCCCGGTTAAATAAAGTCTTCGTTTTCTCCGGTGCACGTTTACGCGAATAAGCGTATGCTAAAATCGCCGTTTCGCTTTGTTCGGTCGAAGAGGCTGGGCAAATGACCCTTATAGGCGGCGGAAAAAGGACGATCGAAGGATAAGGAAAAACCTCAAGCGGCTCGGAAAATTTAGGAAACATATATACAGGGTGTCGCTGTAAATTTTAACATAGCGATCCCGTTGTAATGGAATACAACGAATACGAGGGTATAACGGTATGTTTTGCGTAATCAAGCGAGCAATCGTCAGATGAATTATCTTCGACGTTTCTGAGTAAACAGAAGTGTACGAGTGCTCGTTACGGAAAATCAGTCATTTGTAGCGCGCGTTTTTTTCCATGCAATTTTCTTATTATACCCGCTGCACGTTAATCTAAAAGTAACGTTATCCACGCATCATCTGCGGATTGTTAATTCAATTAGACGGCGTAATTTCGTGGGATTGTGTGTATTTTTCGATGTAATGGCTATTTCATTAAATTCACTTCTACAGGGTGGTTCGCTCGATTGTTGATATTAGTAAATTTAATTCGATAATCATCGGTAATTTCCAAGGTAAATATATATTTAACGGTGTAAAAAAAAGGCGGCAGACGCTCGAGAAGCCTTTAACCTCATAAATGCCCGAATAGGATTTGCCCACGCCCGAAACAACGCCTGAAATGCATTGAACTGGGCGCAAAAAAAATCGAAAAATAAATGGGAAAAATGAGAGTTTTTCGCCCACTGCGATGTCGCCTACACGTTAGCGCCTCTGTGTTTTCGGTTTTTTATTTTTGATAAATTTCTTTCTGTCTGCGAGGAAAGTACGCCCAAATTTGGTCGGGTTGATAAACTTTAATTCTGAATCTATCTACTCTGAAACTACACTGAATCAATTCTACTCTAAATCTAATCTACTCGACTCTAATATAAATCAACTCTACATTATTCTGAATGTATATACTCTGAATCTACTCTTCTCAAAATCTAATCTACTGCATTCTGAATCGACTCTACACTATTCTGAATCTATACTTGAATCTACCTACTCTCAAACTACTCTGAATCAACTCTACTCTACTCAAAATCTAATCTACTCTATTCTGAATCTACTCCAAATCTGTTCTAAATTATACTCCGAATCTACTCCGAATCTACTCTACCCTACCCTACAGTGTATAAAAATATATTCTCGCTCGCCCAATTTACCAACGCCGGAAAATATAATGGAATTCTTAAAGGATATAACTTTATTAATTTTTGTAACTAACAAGATTTATGAAGCCTGCAATCACAAGCCTCTCATTAAAATTCGTGATTTTTTCGAAAAGCGACCCAAGGCTCCCGTTCGGATGCTATTTATTTAACGCTAATTAAACGTGACGCCATTTTCATTGACATTTTACGAAACGAAATGTATAGCCTGCTATTTAGGCGACTGTACAGAAAATAAAAGTCTTTGTCAATTACATTTTTTCGCCGGTCAAAGTCACACATGAGAACATCTTCGCGATAACGATGAGAACATTCGTCAAGTGAGGTCACTATTTTTTGATTAATTCCATTAATGCGATTTTTGTTTTATTTACGAGGGTTATTTGGATTTTTCGGATGATTTTAGGTGTAAAATTTAAGTAGTAGGCGATATTTTTTTGTTAGAAAAATAATTCACACACCTACGCCTTTATAGTGGGAAGTTTGATAGGTATAAATAAAAGATTTTTTGCACGTATTTCTATATCTAAATCCTAATTGGATTTTTTTGCATTATTTCCAGCTTAAAACATTGTATTTTTTTCTACCTACATTAGCGCTACCTTAATGAGATTTTATTGTTTCACATGAATATTAAAATTAAAAACGAATTAACAGTTATTGGTCAGTTTTTATATAAAAATAATCATAAACCTTCAAGATCGCATAATAATACATGTATACCGGGTGATTACAAAAAGTATTTTCATCCCTTTCATCTCCCAAAAATACCAACTAAAGCATTGCCAACTTTCCAACAATAAATTCTTACGGATTAAAAAGCGAAATTTACGCGCGCCAGATAAAAACTAAAAGCGCTATAAGAAGAGAAGTTCAACTAGTTTTCTTCTACTTCTTCTTCATCTCGTTCTTCTCCACCAGGGTGGGGTAAAGGTATAATTCGAGCTAATTATAGCCTCACCGGCGTGGGATGAAATCGCCATTCCCGCAACAAATGTTTGAGCTAGACCGGTCGATGGCCTTTTACGCGGTTAGTTTCCCGTCGAAATGAAAATTCGAAAAATCGAAATGGTTCGAAAACAATCGAGTTCAGCGCGCTCCAAGGTCCCGCAAGGACGTCACAAATGCTCGTTATCCTTTCCAGCGCCTACTATAAACGCGTTCGTTTGCGGTTGCCATAACGACCATAACGTAAATTAAACCCGACACATCCCAGTTGGCTTCGAAATCTGTTCGTATACGGGGTGTGTGAAACAACTAAACGAATACTTGATAATTACGAACAAACTCTTCCTAGAATTATATAGGAATAAATTATCGTAGTATAATAAATCTATTAATTCTTTGGCTAATTAACAACGTCCTTAAATCTAACCGTAGGAAATTTTAATGTTAAACAAAATTAATGACAAAATCGTCCGGTGAGTAAACGGATTCATTAAAGAGCCGGTTAAAAATTCCGAAAGGTCATCCTTTTGACAAATCTTTTATGCTCTTCGGCTATTTCCAATTCTTTTTGCGGCGTTTTTGCGCGAAATGAAAAGGATTTTTTCGTGTGGATAAGGACGAGGCAATTTCACTTAATCATCGCGAACAATAACGGGCGAAGGTCCTTTCGAAATTGCACAAATATTGATTATCGACTGTTAAAATTTTTAATAGATTTCACCTACAAACGCTCATTAGTCCGCCGGAGTGATAAAATTAAATGCATTTTAATGCGCTTAAACGCTTCGAAAAAAGTATATACGCGGTTTGCTATATTTACACAATGAAGTATGTGTGTCAGCCTGCTAGATTTGGAAAATTACACAATTTCTCGGTTTGCAAAACGGATATAATAAAAGTCGCCTTCGCGCAATTTTATTTGAATAAATTCTTTTGCTGCTGGTGATGCAACTTAAACGCGAAAATTAAAATCTCCAATTTTCGCGATGATTCCATTTCTTATAAATAATGCATTATATCTACCTAAAAAATTTAGTGTTGTCTCGAATTCTAAATCCGTAATTACCATAAATAATTTCGTTGTAGATTAAAGTTGATATCAATTTCTTATTATTAAGTTAATTTATTTTATTCAAGAATTTTAAAGCTGTAGATACCTAAAAAAAACGTAAATTGGTATCTAATTTCACCAAATTTTTCTCACTAATGGTCTAAATGAAATAGAAAGTTCAAATTCAAAATCTCATTACCTCAAACAAACACAAGGTGACTTAACAAATTTAACGAATACCTAATACACGGTGTACAAAAAAATGCATTTTTAAATTGAAAGTTTAAACTTATTAAATAATCCACTACAGCCCAACAACACTTTCATATTAGATGTATCTGTGGGAGTTCCAGGAGCTCTTGAGATATTTTTATCAGAGGAGGCGTTTGTTGCAAGAAATTTCAACGTCATCGTTGAGTCACTAGATTTTATGTACAGATAGATTGTTAAATTAATAACGGTGAAAATATTGATAGATATTTTACGGTGGAATTGGATAATATATCTAACGTGCGTGTGGGCGTCACAAAGTGTGGGCCTACACGAATATTATGATTAATGGGAATTTGTGCATATGAGGCTAGTACAAATCCCTTTATATGAATTAGTCGTTTCAAGAACATTATTTGTAATTTAAATAAGCTTATATCGTATATAAAACGAGTAAAAAAATGTTTAAAAAGTGAATAGTATTGCCATCTACTCAAAGTTCTTAACAATTAAGAATACATACTTATTTTGTAGGTTTCTTCTTCTTATTTACTAATAATTCACAAATTTTCCACGAGTCCATTTTGTATATTTTTTTAACTTTTTAAAACACTAACAGTACCGCCAACATAAACAAAAACCAGTAAAAAGTTACTAACATTTTAGCATTAACCCCATATACCTATTAGTATATACTGCTTACTACGGTCTAAAACCCGTAGCAAACATTATACTTTAGTGTGCCTGCTTATTTATGCGCATGCTCAAGTGAAAGATTTCTTGATTGGCTACTTTTGACAGAGCAAATGAAACGTCAGAAACGTGTAGCTTTTATTTTGGTATATTTTTTGATATATTTTTAAAATCGACTTTGACTTGCCTGTGTAAATATGTCAGGTTACCGAATTTAACCACAATTTCAAGTATTATTTTCTTTCTTTTCTTTTTAGGCCTCAGCTACTCGCTATTGGTCCTTTTAAAATTAACGCGCTTGCGTATAAACGACTAAGCACACCATAAAGGGTCGGATCTCTCTCTTTAATCGCTACGATTTTCTCTCATGGAATAGATAGGGAGTTAGCAGTATATACTAATAGGTATATGATTAACCCCTCATTATTTATTAAAAAAGATATAAAACATTTAAGAAATAAACACGTCTACTATATCTTATAAACACACTCCAAAAATCTCCTAATTAATTAAATTTTTCTTATATCCTAAAAATCTAGTGACTTGACAGTATAATTAAATTTCCCTAAATCGAAAACTCGCTGTTCCGTGAGTCGCTTGGCGCACTTGTCGTTTGTCAGCGAAGAAAACCTCAAACCTGTCAATCAGTGCGCATGAGCAATTCAATCAGGTGTAAAGGGGTAGTTGATTCACGTGTGATGAGATTTATTTCAACAATAAATATTGTTGTTGAAGACGCTACGAGACGGCTATCGGTGCGCGAAAATCCACACTCGGTTATCCCCCAACAGCTTCGTATAATAACCGTCCTCGGTTATTCGGTATATCTTTCGATATTCGCAAACAATCTGCCTGCTTCGTCATAACCTAACATTCGTGTTTAGTGTGTTTAAACAATAGTTGAATATTAAAAGTATTGCGTTTCGTTCGCACATTTCTCTTCTAGATATAGTGTTTAGTGGCTAAAGCGGCGTACCGGCTATTAAATTCGTCGAAAAAATCGGAAACTCGTGGCAAATGTTAACATATTGATTTTGAGGTTATGGATGTCGACCTGCTCAGAGATGGGGAGCATTTCTCCACTTTTGAATTCATGGTACGTTAAAGGGGACTTTCCTATTAGTATTATTTATGTTAATGTGTATTGTAGGATGAGTACTCGGACGAGTTATCACATTTGGACAGTGATAGCGGGCACGAGTTCAACAAGAAGGAGTGCGATTGGAATTTGGATACCGAAAGAGAGTAGGTAGTTATTAACGAAATTTAACGGTTTATTAACGTTTCGATTGATAGGATAAACGGAGACATAGCCCTGATACCGGTGTGCGACTTAAATTTAAGCAACTTCAACGATCCCCTATCGAACATCGAAGACTTCCACAAGATCGTGTCGGACCTGCAGCAATTCATTAACATCGACGTGAGTATGACCAGCGACCGTTTGTTGAATTCCGTATTGAATTTGGAAGGGTATTTCAGCCGAGTACGGAACTAGGCGTGATCGATCCCGTCCAAACGGACAGTCACAAAATCGAACCGTTAGACCCTAACATAGCGAATTTCGACATTACGAAATACATAAACGAAGACGATTTATCCCCGAGCGAACCTCCCGCCAAGAAAGTAAAGGCCGGCGTCAAGAAAATCGATTTGAACGCCCAACGGTACTTGATCGACGACGACGAAGACGTCGATGTGGAGACCATCGATTGCGATATATCGCCCGTGCTCGAGGCCAAAGACGTTACGAGCCTGTTGGAGCAGTTCGAGGCCACCGAATTGCCCGAGCTGCCCAGCAATTTCATCGAGGACGGCTACGGCAAAGCGCCGGTGAAGTTCGATATAAAACAGGAATTGCTCGACGAGCCTATCGATGTGAATTCCGAGCCCGAGGCCGCCGATGAAATCGAGAAAATCCATCTAGCTAAAGACGAAGTCGCCGACGATTATACGTACAGTAAGGGGAAACGGAAAAATGTTGTTAAGGAGCATAAGAAAATTGATGAAAATGTTGTTGAAGGTAATTTGTTGTTTATTGCATAAATGCTTGGAGTTTAAGGGAATTAGAAATCTAATTTTATGATACCGGGTAAGGCTAATCCTCAGAGCCTACCTGGGTTTTTGGGTGGTTCAAATAATTCCCGGGATTTTCAATAGCTACTTCCAAAACAGTGATTATGAATTAATGATTATTTGATAAGGGTTTAACTGCTTATTAACTGAAAGTTCCTGCTGTAAATACTATTAATTCATAAGATTGATTGTGTTTTGTTGTAAGATTAATGGGCAATTGTGAAACTAATCCAAAGCTCGTTTGTGATGATTTTTCTCCATAAAAACATCATTTCCAAAACTTTGGTACAGCAAATAAGGCGGCTTATTGCATTTATTTTACAAATTCACTTGTAATTAAGTTAAATATCCGCCTAACATGCATTTTACTAGCTTATCTTGATGTATTTGTATCCAGTATGGGTGCAACAAAGACAACTCATTAGTCTCACATGAAGGAAAAAGAAAGAGTGATATTGATACCTCTCACTACAACTACTGTTAACTTTGTTCTACTCTTATTGCAAACGAGTTAGCTCTTATAGATCTATAAAAAAAAGCTTGTATTTTTTTTAGCAAAAATCAGTAAGATCCCGACTCCCCAACCGCCCGCGGCCGTCGCGCCCACCGCCGCCTCCAAACCGAATCAACCGCCCCTTACACCGAACAAGCAGATCCTCGACTCCCTGCCCAAGGAGCTCATCGAACGCATCCGCGAGTCCTCCAAGCGAAAATCCATATCTGTGATACCCCCCATACCGGCGAGGAAGCGGGGCGCGCCGCCCGCCGGCCCCCCTTCGAAGAAACCCAAGCCGCTCGAAGCGCCGCCGCCGGTCGGCATCGAAACCGTCCGCCTCGATCACGACTATTGCTGCGCGAGCTCGACCGTCGGCCTCAAGCACTATCCCAAGGTGCCCATGAAAGACTCGGGCTTCGAGTCCGCCGACGAGGACGATCGAACGCTCATCGCCAAGCAACCGATGGTCAAAAACGTCGACGGGAAACTCATGGTCTCTTTACTCAAAGTTAGTCGGTTACTTTATATTGTAGATATGTTACTTCCAAAGCTCGTTAATGGTGATTTTATTGACTAAGAATCTATCATTTCCAGTACTTTGGTACATAATTATGTTGCGATTGTATGACCGGTTCATCGATATGATCGATCGATCGATTAATTGCAACCTAACAAGCTTAAATTCAGTTCGTTCGAACGTAGTCTCTAACAAATGCCGGCGGTATTCCAGGTGAACACCATACACACGTCGAAGGCGAACGAGAAGAAGAAGAAACTGAACCTGGAGGAGTACAAGAGGCGGCGCGAGGGGGTGCTGAAGTCGCACAACAACTCGCTGACGTCGTCGCCGTTGAGCAGCGCCTGCAGCTCGCCGTCGCCCGAAGACGAGACGACGAAGATGCTGCGCCATCGCGAGAAGCTGCTGAAGATGGCCAAGGAGGTGCTGAAGGCGACGCCGAAGAGCGACCGGAAGGCGGACGAGGGAACGCCGGCGGCGTTGGCGCCGCTGCCGTTGCAGTCGGTGCCCGCCGACATGGAGATGAAGACGTTGGTCAGCACCGGCGTGAATACGGACTTCAAGGTAAATACGCCGTCGGGGAGCGTCGAAGAGCGAGATTTTTTGACGTTGTTGTTCGGTAGATATGCGGCAGTAGTTTGGATCCGTTGGCGCCGGTGGAGCGTTTGGACGAAATCAAACCGTTGCTGCAGAAGGCCAGCGATAAGATCAACGAAAACTCTCTGATTACTTCGGTGATCCAGAACATACCTAAAGTCATAGATATTTGCGATAAGAAATTGGCCGAATCGGGCGCTCAAAGCGCCGCTAAGGTGACCGGCGAGCACGGCGAAGACAAAACGATAGTGTATCTGGCGAAGAACAGGGCGCCTAAGGAGACGAGAAGCGTCGAATGCCAGACGAACATCTCTTTGATACAACAGAGCAACGCCTGCAGGACGTACAGACGACAGAGGCGGTTGTCGTCCGATTCGACCTCTTCGGAATCGTCGAGGGAGAGCAGAAGAAGCCGAGGGAACCGCAGCAGGTAAATTACATTTCGAAATAATCTCGCGTTGTATCCGATATTAACGAAAGCGTTTTCGTAGGGACACCAGCAAGGATAGCTCGAGGTGTAGTTCGAGGAACTCGAAGAGCTCCAAATCGTCGTCCTCGTCGTCGTCTTCTTCTTACTCTTCGAGGTACGAGCGTCGTTTAAGCGAATTAATAGATGATTTGTGCAATATTTCGTTTGGTTTGGTAGATCGTCGTCTAGGTCGCCGTCGCCGCGGTACGCGCGCAAGGACAAGGAGCGGTTCAAGGAGGTGGAGGAGCGCCGCGTGATATACATCGGCAGGATACCGCCGAGGACGAAAAAGGAGGATTTGAAGAAGAGATTCCAGAAGTTCGGTCCCATAACGAACGTCAGCTTGCATTCGAGAGACCACAATTACCTGTAAGGCCCCGCGTAAGATCGAGGCGTCGTTGAAATGACTATAAACGGTGGTTTTTTTTAGGGATAATTATGGATTCGTGACGTTCGCGAATAAATTGGACGCCTACGAAGCGATAGAGCACGGTAACGACGATCCGTGGTTGCCGAAGTTCGATTTGAGCTTCGGGGGAAGAAGGATATTTTGCCAGACGAGCTACTGCGATCTGGGTAATTATACCAAGAGACTAATCGAGGATGGTTTCTAACTATTTTGCGCTTTTTTTTAGATAATATGAGGGACGAGTGCGGCTATTTTGTTCCACGTAGCGATGATTCCTTCGATCAGCTGTTGAAGGAGATGCAAGACAAATTGCGCAAACGTAGGGCTTGACATTTGTTGTTGGAATTTAGAGAGGAAATTACGTTGATTTTTTTACTGCGTCTTTAGGAGAACCACACATTATTTTTTTTTTGTTGCAAAACGAATAATAATCATCATCATGGCGAAACTTTTTTTTAAATTTTTTTTTTTCAGTATGTACAGGATGTCTTGTTATTTTGTTTTTAGGGTAATTAGATTAAGTGACTTTTTCGTGTAAACTACCTCATTAATATGTATTTTTTTAGTGTGGTTTTTTAGAGTATTTGAATTTGAATTATTAAGTACTAAAAAAGACCTAAATTGACTTGGAAATTAAAATAGAGGACATGCTGTATGTATTTTCTTTTTTAATTAGAACAGTAATTTTATTTGACAACATTTTTCCATTAGATTTAATATTATAGTTGAAATGAAAGCATGACAATTCAATTTTCGACATTCTTAATTTAGTTCTTTGCCAATAAATACATTTTCTATTTTGTTCTCCCCAAGCACTGGGCTGTGTATTTTGTATTTGAGATATTTTTGTTATAGCTAAATAAAAGTGATATTAAAGGGCTGCAATCTTTTTTATACCCTCACAAATTAATTATACATATTACAATCACCTCGTATCTTAATCATCCAGCTACGTTCCGTCCACCCCTCGTATACATTTTTTGACATTTCATCAAAACTAAACACATAACCTAATTTAATTGTTTCGTAGTTAACTTCATAGATAAAGGAAATCCGTCCAATTATGTTATTATTTACGTAAAAAACATAAAAAAATCGCGTTGTGCAACAGCGTTTTCGAATCGTACGCAGAAAGAAACTCATAATGGTTAATTTATAACGCATCGAGACCGAAATGAGATGCGGGTGTACAGTTAGGTAACCTGTTTTCGAATTCGGTCGAATCCGTTAAATTTATCGCCCGGCAGCGAGTATATATGAGAAAATCGGCTGCTTTGCGGTTTAATCGAGTCGCTGAATCATGCTCTGTACGCGGGAGTGTTTCGTTTTCTTTGCAACGCTCGTTTTCGCGAGATTGTCTTCGCAATGTTCGAACTACGGGTATCCTTTCGAAAACCACCTATCCACGCTCACGCCTTACAGATTGGTGGGAAACAAGAGCTTCGAAAGGATCCATTACGAAGGTACGTGACCGTGCATTTTAACCGGGAATTTAATTGCTATTTTTGTGCAGGTTGTGTTCCGCAGAAAATATGGCTGCTTATTCGACACGGTACGAGGTATCCGAAATATTCCGCCATCGAACAAATGAACTCGAGGTTGCCGGACATTAAGGATCTTATAATTGATTCAGGCGGAGTACCCAATGGTAGGTGTTTATAAATAAGTCCTGAAATTGATCTTTTAATAAGACGCCATCTAGCCAATTTTTCCGTGCCTTGTATTTCTATTGTCTGCAGTTCTAGTAAGAATCTTTAATGTTTTAGAATTCGTAAAAAACCGAGACTTCGATTTGCTGAAAAAATGGAAGTTGAATTTGGAAACTGATAAAAACAACAAGCTCACGCAAGAAGGCGATGAAGAGATGTTGATCTTGGCCGAACGAATGCAAAGCAGATTTCCTCTTCTATTCGATGATGTCTACAGCAACACATCGTACAAAGTATTTAATAGCCCGGTGAAATTAGCGGAAATTAAGTTGTTTTACGATCAATTTGTTTCAGTTCAAGCACACGCACTCGCAGAGAACGAAGAGAAGCGCTTATTATTTCGCAGCCGGTTTGTTTGGAAAAAACACTGCAAAAGACGTCTGGTTTCCGGACCCGCTGAAAAAGGACCCGATTCTACGGGTAAGAATCGAACAAATAAACCCTTCGACGCGATATTAACTAATAATACAATCACCAGTTCTATAAATTGTGCGATCGTTGGAACATCGAAGTGAAGAAAAACCCCAGTGCCCAAGAGGAAGGTAGGATATTCGAAAACGGACCAGAAATATCTGAAGTAGTCGAAGAAGTAAACAGGAGGTTGAATTTGAAAGAAAATCGGTTAAATTTAGGTGGTGTTTTTATTAATATATCACTCGAACACTCGCTAATTCGAGCAACTTTCAGGCGACGTGAAATTAATCTATGACATGTGTTCGTTCGAGACTGCCTGGAACAAGCTGAGCAAATCGCCTTGGTGTTCGATACTTTCGCACGAGACCATCAGAGTCCTGGAATACGCGAAAGACTTGAGGTATTATTGGCAGGATGGATACGGGCACGAATTGACCTACAAACAAGCATGTCCTGCCTTCAAGGATATGTTCAATTTCCTGCAAAAGTACGTTGTGCTTCGTCCATAAACACGCAATGTTAAAATGTATCGTTTCAGTAAAAATCGATTTCCCAGAGTGAATGCTTACTTCACTCATTCGGGGACTATGTTGAAGTTACTAGCCCATTTGGGATTGTACAAGGACGACGAGCATTTGACTGCGAAAAACTACGATAGCATGGGAAATAGACTGTGGAGGACGAGTTTAATAGATGCATTTGGTTCGAATGTAGCTTTCATCAGTTTCGGGTAAGTCGGAATATATAAAAAATACAAGCGAAGTGATATATACATTTTTTATTAGATGCGGTTCTGAAAATAAGGTTCTCGCCATGCATCAGGAGAACATCGTTCGGTTACCGGCATGCCCGGATTCGGATTTGTGCGATATAAATTCGATCAGAGACTACTACTATCAAAGCCTGAGTAGCTGTGATTTTTCATCGATGTGTCGCATTAAGTGAGGAGTTTGCTAACTAAACCCAAGCAGGTATTTAACTAATAAATACGATGGGGTTCATAAGAAATAAATAAAACATCACTTGTACCATGGGAAATGATTTTATTCTTAAGTATATACAGACAAATTATTCACATCTTCTAATTAGAGTACATTATATGCAGATAAAATACATAGAATTTTTATATTAACAATTGTGCACATGCAGTTCAAGCAAGCGGTATTAGAAGAGTCGACCTTTCGAGGTTTCAAAAGAAAAACCTTTATTTAAATTATATCACGAATTTTTCTTGAATCGAACCGAACGGAGACGCACCTCGAAAGGTAAACGGAACACATTTTTATGCGGAAATAAAACGAAACTTGCATAAGAAATTAAAACTAAATGGATCGTATGTTTTATTAATAACGAACAGAGTATTTGATAAAAGAGGAAAAAAATTGACGTATTTTTTCGGAATAATCACTAAAAATATCCTATTAACAACTAAAAATAGCGGGGCACTACGTTTTAGCGGTGCTATAGTTTCTATTTCTCTAGGATATTCTATTTTTTTTTCTCTAATATTTCAAAGATACAAGAATACAAATTTAATAAAATGTACTTCAAACAAAAAGCTTCTGCTTAATAGGTACTAGAAACGCCAAAATATTATCTAAAATTCCAAGATAAGTCAGCATTGTCTATTAAAAAATACTGTGGTGAAACATGTTTCGTTAAAATTGTATTCATGAAATATCAAATTCTTAAATTGTTTAGAGACGTTAAATGTCATTCTACGTAATTAAAACAGCTACACGTGAATTTTCGCTAGTTAATCTATCAAGCTTATTTTTCGATATATGCAAGATGCACTCAAAAAAGTTCCACTAAAATATTTTTATGTTATATAGTATGTATATAGAAACGTAGAAATTATATAGACATCGAATCGTTCTAATTAAAAAAAATATCAACATAATAAAAACTACCGTGAAAGTTGTAAGGTTCTTTCTTTAATAACAAAAAATATATAAGTTATTTCTTAAATAGTTAAATAAACGTTTGTTTGAAAAAAAATCGAAAAGTAAACCGTCGCCTGGCCTCCAGACAAACGAGAATTAAACGAATGAGATAACGCCAAGCATTCGAACAATCGTGTGGCTCGAAAAAGAGTTCTACAATGCGCGCGCACTGGCTGATTAGCATAAACTACCGTCATTTAATCCGTAAGTGTATGTATGTGTGTGTGTGTATTACATCAGACCCGCTTGGAAATATTTTTCAAACAACGCAATTACAAATTACAAAAAGAAAATATATACCTAGCGACATTCCCACACTTTCACCGTTTGATCTACACTGCCCGAAATGACGTACGGATGCATTTTGTGGAAATCTGCAAACGAAAACAATACCATTGTAAAAACAGCGAGAATTTCATGGCGATATATTTACCTAAACACGTGCAAAAATGTTTGTGTGCCTCCAACGTTTTCATGCAGCGCTTATTCCTCAAATCCCACACCCTCAGCGTTTTATCGTCACTGGCCGAGACCAAAAATTTCCCGCCCGGATGGAAAACGACGCCTCTCACCCAATTATCGTGACCGGCCAATACGAACAGCGCTATTCCGGCTCCAACGTCCCATATCCTAATTAAAACAATTATAATCCAAAATCAATCGTTAATACGCGGCCACATCGAAATGCACCCTACCTAATCGTCTTATCTCTAGATCCCGATGCCAAAAATGGGCCGGCGTGCGCCCCTTTGCGGTTATCGGCGCCGGCCGCCTCGTTGATCGGCCCCGCCGCCGTATCGGGCGCCCAACACAGGCACTCCACCACGTGATCGTGCGCCCTCAACTCCGCCCTGCACTCCCTCGACGACGCCACCCATATTCTAACGCTTTGATCGTTCGAACAGCTGGCCAACAGCGAACCGTCCGGCGAAGCTCGCACCATCCTCACCTACAAAAAAAAACCAACGTCAAATATCGACCTCTTCCTATTCGGTCCAACGACTCACCCAATCCCGGTGGCCGGTGTAAGTCTTGACGCAATACCCCGTCGACACCTCCCACATCTTGATGGTCTTGTCCCGGCTGGAGGACACGACGAAATCCCCGCCGGGCATAAACGACACGCTCGACACGTTGTGATCGTGCCCCAGCATGGTGCGCACGCACTCGAACGTCTGCTGGAAATCCCACAGTTTGATGCTCATGTCGGCGCTGCAGGACACCAACAGTTTGCCCGACGAATCGAAGGCCACGTCCTGCACGCAGTCCTGGTGGCCCTTCAGCGTGCGCTCGTACTCGCCCGTCTCGAAGTCCCACACTTTGATGGTGGCGTCCTCGCTCGCCGACACCATCAGGCTGAACACCGGATGGAATATCACTCGCGTCAGCGGCGCTCGATGACCTGCAAACGATACTTGACGTAAGTCTAATACGTAAGAGGCCACATTTCTCGTCCCTTGTTCAACTTGACAGTTTTACATTGTTGTTATGGAGTAACTAACGAGATTCTTTCAATTTGACAGTTTTACATTGTTGCTATGGAGTAACTAAGGACATTGTTTACGTTAAAGAGATTGATTGGTTTAAAAAAGAATGTTGAATGCGGACCATTTAAGTGACTACTAAATGCTAAAGGAGTAAGAGGCCGCAAAACTACAAGATTTCGAAGAAGAAAAAAAAGCTCATTTACCGGTAAGACAAAACTTCTCGGGCGGTCTCGGTATCCATTCGGTGGGGGTGCGTTTGTTCCTGGTCGGCGCGCCGTCGATGATCTCGTCCTTGGCCTCGTTCAGCTTCGACTCCAGCTCCATGACTTTCTTCTGCAGCCTGATCACCGACGCCCATTTCTTCTCCAACAGGCCGCCGAATTTGCGCTCCACCTCGCCCGGCATGTCGGCCTCCTTCTTGAAGGCCTCCAGCGCGTCCGTGTACCCATTGCTGCTGAGGTAGTCAGCGACGGCTTTATTACTGCGGGAAGAATTGTTATTTTTTTTAAAAGGCATCGAGCAATTAGAGTTGTGCAGAAGAATTAAATCGCGGTCTATTCCTTATCGGATAATCGGTTATTGCAGGTATACTGTAGAATTTTAAGAGGTAATTATAGGTCGTTGCACCGCGGTCCGTTCGAATTTAAAACGAAAGGAAGCGGGCGCATTTCTCTAACGTTTCGGTTTCTCTTAAAAAAAAAACCGGTCGCACATTCGTCGCATTTTCCATTTTTTTTTATCTACGTGCGTACGCACTAGATTTTATAATCGATTGTTTTCACTTTTACTCCAAATATTCCGGGGCCGTTCTTTATTTAATAAACACAATACACTTTACGATCATCATCGTTATGCAACAAATATTTAAATAAATAGTCTACTTTTGTAGATGGCGCATTTGTCATTTAAAAATCACCCTATAAAAAAATCGACTACCCCCTATAAAAGCGCCTACCTTTGTAAATCAAGGTAAACAGCGTTTGTTAAATATTCGTGATATATCCTTGTGTGTTGAACTTGAAAGCGTCGAAAAGGGCGTCGGCGTCGCGACGTCCGATCGATTCCGCAATAGCCCAAACTCATACAGTGCGAGCCAAGTAAATTTCGCGACGAACGAATCGATAATCGAGCAGATTAAAGTTCGTTCAACCTGAAAAACGACCCTAAACGAAAAATAAAAAAAAATAAACCCAACCAAACGATAATTAAATTGCATGTTTGACTTGCATTCTACGGGATTCGTTTCGGATATAATCCCCCTTTTCCTTATTGCAGTGAACCCGTGCATTAGCTTAACTAGATTGTACGGGGTGGCCGAAAAATTGTATCGATTCGGCGATACCTCTTAGTCATTCCGTGGCCACCTGTACGGTGTAACTGTACAATAAACGGAATAGGATCATTGATGGTGGTGTCCTGAACTCGAAATAGCCGCGCGTTCGATTCGAAATTTCCGCCCGGGGCTGATCGCGAACCGGCCGGTTTACTCTCTCGCGCCGTTCCGTTCGGAAAGCCATTTTTTTCTACTAGTTTAGTAACATTTCAACTTGCGCAATTGTCGTTCGATAATTAATTACTTACAGCTCTTCTCGCTGGCGTTGAGATAGGACCATTTTCATGATAATGTTCCGAAGCTGACTCGAAGATACTCTTATAGCATTACCTGTGGAAAAGGAATTATTATGAGAAAATACTAATTGACCAGTTGAAAAATATCAGTTTTTTTCTTCGCATTCGCAAATCTCAATGTGCAGTATTTTAATGGAAAATCGAGTCGAGAAAGTGAAGATAAAACGCAACCAGTTTGGTCCGTTATGTTACCTAATAAAGCGATGCAAATGTACAAGATAACGAGACTTTTTTAATCGCCCTGTATACAAACATATAGAGCGCAGACGGTCGAAAATAATTTTAGAAACCGGCAGGAGAGACGTGGAAGTGCATTTGGGAGAAAAAAATAAATAACTTTTGGCAGGAATTCAACGTTTCCCCCCCAAACAAGATGCGTATACAGTATAAATAAAAATGCAGTTTGTGCATGTATTGTAAACGCAAACAAAGCGATGCGATAACGCGTTATAATTGTACTTTTTTTTTGTCGAATGCCATAATGATGTGTTCGAATTTCTCATACCGTGCAAAATGCCGAAAATTCATTAAAAGTTTAATAAATGGGGCCTTGTTAAATGGAATTTGAATTCAAACGGGTAATTTTTGACAATGACATTAGCTGTCAACTGTCAAAAATTAAATGTCAACTTAACACTTTGTTACAAAACAATTACCACCATTCACCAATTTTTCCCCTAGAACTTCCATACAAATCGATTCATTTTAGTTTGCAATGTAGGCTATGGGTGAAACAAAGACAAAATCCATTAGACACTTGCAAAAGAACAAGAAAGGGCGACATTGTCAGATTGCAATATTCTCATTCTACTTGTTATTTTAATAAACCCTCTGCGTTCCACTCATAGTAATAACCATATTGCAAACTTTTATGCACCTAGGTGTATACTTCTATGCAGAAAAATAGACTAACATAAAAAATGCGACCTTTTTAAAAGGAATTTGAATTTAAACGGATAATCTTTGACAATGACATTAGCTGTCAACTGTCAGAAAATTAAATGCCAACTTAATGGTAAAACAATTGTCACCAATCTTTCTCCTAGAACTTATATAAACTTTTATAGAGAAAAATAGACTATTATATTATAAGCATTCAGATCGAAATGATTACACACAAACACTCGAATTGTCTTGTATTAATAAAATGAATAGTTTCAAAACCATCCTTGCAATTTTTTTGTATTGAATAATTTTCAATGAACCATCGCCGTATTTTTCGTTAAACATAATGCAACAATTAATTACCGAATAACGAAAATACTTTTAGCCATAATAACAAATACTCAAGCAGGTATTCTGATACAATGGAGCTCAACGAATGTTTTACCAGCTTTTGGGGAATATCAAAGCCTGCTTTAGTATGGAACTAATTACACGCAGAAGGCGGTTTATCAATGACAATTAAGCGGAATTAATCGGAGACGAATCCTTTTCGAATTATTCAAAGGTTAAAGAACAACAAATGTGTAGGCAGATTGGATGATACACTCTACTGTCAACAGCAAACGAGTCCTTGTAATTAAATAAAAAAAGCGCATTTGCATCGGTTACACGTAATATTCGAACGCTGGAAGTTCCCCGTTTTTTTCGACGGGCCGAGATTGCGTTTTTCTCGTCCAAGATAAAATCGATATCGGCCATTTTGCAAGAATATTTTCGACGTTACATCGAGACGTTTCCGTTTTTCGATCGTTTCGATTCGAATGCGTTTCGTTATAAATGAGGCACTTACACTTCCTCCGAAGATGTATGAAATTGCTGCACGATATATCACAACTCGGATTAGTCTACGTAATTAAAACGGTAATGGACAAACACCAACACCACTTTCTGCGACAGACCACACGAACACAATGCGCATGAAATACGAAATTCTAAAACCATTTTTTAACTGATTCAACGTCAGTCTTACCAACTTAATCGAGCACTGGCTGTAATACATTTACACTGAAGTCTGAAACTTGTGTATATTTAAAATGAAGAAGAAATTAACCAAAAAAATCATACAAAAATAAACTAACGTAGAGTAAATAAAGTTTTTATTCCAATTTCCAACATTAAATTACTTGGCGAAGAAAAATGTCGAATACTAAAAGTGACGAAAGCGATGAAAAGAAGGAAGACAGCAAAATCATTATTAAAAACGCGGCGGATTTACAAAGATTAAAACTATCAAAACTGATGAAAAATCCAGTAAGTAACCAATGAAATTTTCTCCATTTTATCCAGTAAAGTATTCTTTAATAGGACAAGCCAGTAATTATCCCTGAAAAGCCGAAGGAGAAAGGGGTACCAAATGTACCTGATTTCGTACGAAACGTTATGGGATCGAGTGCAGGTGCTGGTTCGGGTGAGTTTCACGTATACAGGCATCTGCGAAGAAAGGAATATGCCAGGCAGAAATACATGCAAGAAAAAGCCGAAAGGGTAAGCACGCTTTAACTTCTGTATATTGTAACAATATATTTACATTATTGAATTTTTAGGAAAGGTTGGACAATGAGTATAGGAAGAAATTAGAAGAGAACAAATTGTTGGCTGACAAAAAGACGGAAAAGAAACGATTAAAGCGACTGAAGAAGAAGAAGAACAAAAATAAGAAGCAGAAAACAGGGAAAGTGGAGAATAAAAAATCTTCATCATCAGAATCTGAGAATTCTGATGATGAACAAGATGGTTCGACTGAAGAGAAGACAGTTTGTGGCAAGGAAGAAGAAACGAATACTGACGATAAAGATGTTGAGATAAGTTGAAAATAAAACTAATTATAAGTCTTAGGTTTATTTATTTCCTGCCTGATCGTAAATTTAGTTATTTACATGATATACACATATCTTTTGAAACAGGTAACTACTACCTTATATAAAATAAACGTACAGCGTAAGTATACAATAATCAAAGAGTATTTTTATTTCCATCAAAATATTTTACAAAAAAATAAGCGTACTTCTTAAACGTTCTTACTCTATTAAAAATTATAAATAGTACAAAATACAAAGTGTTCAATTTGGTTTTTAGTCATTTCGAATTAGTGCCTGCACGTCCTAATAAAAGTAGTCCAAAATGAAAATCTAATAAATTGTAGCAATTCAAAATCCAAGTAATTTCATTATTACTTGCACCTACATAAAAAAAAAAGTTTGTTTTTGAATTAACCGTACTTAATATTTTTTTGCATCGACTCGGCAAAATCAAATTAAAATTCTACTCAATACGAATGGAAATAACGGTAAAAAGCCAATCCTTTTACCACACAAAATCCTCGAAAAAAAAAAAATAATCGCAATGTAAATAAATAAAGAACCAAAAAAAAAACGGAAGTATCGTGCAGAACATCCCCCCGAATAATCGTACATTACGATTCGACGTCCCGCACCAAAATCCTATGCTCGGCGCAATACGCCTTGTAACTACCGTCCAAAAACAACCAGTCGCTCAATCTCGCGCAGCACACGTGCATAACGTTCAAACAACCGCGCCTCAAACACGACACGTTCGCCCCCTTCAAGCGGCACAGCTTACACGACACATTGCAACACGTCCACACGGCCTCCTCCAATCCCACGATCTTGGGGCCGATCAAATAGGTGCCCGGCGACCACACGATGCAGTCCTCGTGCGCCCACACCTCGTACGTTCTGTTGCCCGTGTCCGTGATGCCCCTGTAGACGTCCTCCGGCTCCGACAGGCTCTCCGAGTGTTTCCTCTTCGTCTTCTTCGATTTCATCGATGTCGTCTCCGCGTCCAACGCTTTCGTTATCTACAACATGAATTTATCAAGTTAGATATGCGTCTTAATTATTTCCCTAGCAAATGCCATTTTTTTTTCAATCCAAATCCCAATATCTCAGCTTTTCTAATAGGTTTTTCGAGAGTTCTAAATGATTCAGGATAGTTCTAATTCGTTAAGAAGCGTTCTAATGTCATTGAACAATTCTAATTTGTTCAGAAGCGTTCAGAATCATTCTGGAGAGTTCTAATTCGTTCTGAAGCGTTCTAAATCTTTCTGGACAAGTCTAATTCATCCAGAAGCGTTCTAAACGATATTGGACAGTTCTAATTCGTTCAGAAGCTTTCTAAATGACACTGGATAGTTCTAATTCGTTTTAAATGTTTCTGGACCGTTCTAAATCGTTCTCAAGTGTACTGATTTGCCTACTGTACTCAGTACATACAACACAAATTAAAATCTACCGAATGACTATAGTTATGCAAGCAAGTTCAGTGGTTACCTTTCGACTTTTGAACTGTCTATCGTAGGGATCGTCGAGCCGCCGTTCGAACTCGGGACACTGCGTGGTGATGAAATACGGACCGAACAGATCGCCGGGCGGCGCGTTGTTGCCGTGCGTGCTGTGCGTGGGCCCCGACAATTCGCTGGCGTGCGGGCCGCGCTTGCAGAACGCGCATATCCACGTGGCGTCCTTGGTTTGGGCGTCGTACTTGTGGCTCAACGTGCTCGAGTGCAGCCCCTTCGAACGGACCTAACGATTGTCAACGATTCAACGAAAACGATTCGGGCGGAATCGGCCGGAGCGCGATTCCGCGGAGACCATTGGTTTTTTTTTTGTACAACGCGCAAACGAAAGAGACGGGTTACCTTGTGCCTGTACTCGAGATCGTCGTGGTACTTCTTCGCTTTGGGCAGCTTCCGTTCGCCGTCGTCGTCGTTGAGAGAGCTGTTCACTATGTTGACGGACAACGGGGAGTCCCGGGGGCCTTTGATTTGCACGAACGGCCCTTTGGACTTGGTCGAGCTGGTGTTGCTTCCCGAATCGTAGGCGTACACGTCCTTGACGCTATCCGCTTTGTTGCCGGGCTTCACTTTCTGCAGCTTGAAACAAAAAATCATTTAATCATAACAATATTTCGAATCGAGTTCGAGTTACCTTCTTCTGGTTGTCTTTCCCTTTGGCCAGCTTCTTCTTCTTCGGATTGGACTCCGCCGAACCGGAGGCCTTGCGTTTGGTTTTCTTCGTACTACTGGAAATTCTATCGTCGGTTTTCGCGGCGGCGTCCGCTTTTAATTCGTCGGTTTCCTTCGCTAGCACGATGTTCTCCTTGTCGTCCGTAACGGGCGCGATGGAATCGTCCAATTTCGAAAGGGGATCGTCGGTTTTGGTGTCTTCGATGCCCGCCAAAGCGTTCGTTTTAACGGGATCACTCGAATCTTCGATACCTGGAAGATGAGCGGTTAATTATTTGAATAACTAACAAGTAATGACGGTTTTACCTGCAAACATTTCTTCCAATTTGTTCTCCACCTCGACGAAATGCGTGCTGGACGCTTTCGGTTCCGGTAAATTGTCGGACGATTGCTCGTTGAGATTTCTTACTTTGATCACGCTAATCGAAACCGGTTTGGTGTCGTTATCGTTAGTGGCCTCTTCCTTGTTTCGCACGAGGGTTTTCTGTTTTTGCTCTTTTTCTTTCAGTCCTTCCTGCACCATGGCGGCTATGTCGTCGATGGTCTCCGACTCCGATGAGGTCTTACGCCTGCTCTTCGTCGATATCAGTTCCTCCAAATCGTTCGTGGATTCCTCTTTGTCGGGATTCTTGTTTTCCTCCAACATTTCTCCCATTAGGCTAATGGGATCTTTTTCGGTGGATTCGACATCGTCCGCTTTCTCCCCGTCCTTCGTCACCCGAATCGTTTTGCACGGTTTGCGTTTCCTCCTGGACTTTGTACTATCTAAGCTATCTTCGTTACTGTTCGTCGAAATCGTGTCTTCGTCTTTCAAAATCGAGGTATTTACAATGCTGCTCGAATTGCTGTTTTCGTCGAAGGCGCCGGCCTGTGGGGGCGCTTCGGGCTTCTCTTCGGCCGGTTTCGGGGCGGGTTTCTCCTCGACTTGAATCGAAGATTGGGGATTGAGCCTTTCCAAAATCGAATCGACTCTCACGTTCGATCGCTTCTGCTGCGTTTTCACCAGATCCACAGTCGTCGACGACGGTAAGCCTTGTATGCATTTTAGATTGGGACTGGCGGGTTTTAAGCCGGGACTCGGAGCCTTCGGTATCGGACTCACCGATTTGCTGGTCAAATTCTGGCTAAGGGGCTTAGCGGTAACCGATAAACTAGATCCGGGCGAGAATATGCCCGGACTGTTGGGATTGTGAACCAACAATCCAGGACTCGAGGATTTGAGGCTGGGGCTGGATGTTTTCCTGCCGGGGCTGGCCGGTCTCGTTACCGGGCTGGTGCTTTTCGTCAACTCCACGGCTTGTATGTCCAAAGCGCTGGCGGGAAGGCTGTTTATTTTGTTGGCGTCCCTGACGCTCAGGCTGATGGGGGTGACGGGGGTCGGGGGTAATTCCCCGTTTTGGCTACCGTTTCGGGTCACCGTCAAATCCACGCAGTCCCTCGGAAACAACGATTCGTTTTTGAACATTTCGCTGAGCACATGCGGAGGCGGGTGGATTTTCAGGGCCTCCGTTGTCGGGGTGTGCCATGTGGGCTGGTGCAGCAACGAGTGCTCGTTCGACATGTGAGCCACCTGGGGGTGTCTCGGGAAGAAGTTCGGTATCTAAAATGATTCGTATTGAATTGGTGTGAATAAGTATAAATTGGATTTACTTACTTGTAATCGGTGGTTCCAGACGGTGTTTATGTTGGTACCGGGAACCTGTCGATTGTGCGGATGATGGGGCGGACCTCCTGACATCTTTCCGGTTGGTTTTAATTGTTTAACGACTATTTACATTCCGGTCCGCATGGTTCAATCGGGTTGCATACCTTGAACAATATCGCATATTAAAAGGAATGTTGTTGTTGCTATTGGCATTTAGCTGTCAAAATTGAATTAAATAGATAACTAACATGGGGATATTTCGTTGAATTGTCAGTGTTACCACCAATTCCCCATATTTACATTGCCAATTATCTAAAGATCGTGAATGGTATATGAATCTAACTTATGAAAAAATAAACTTGTAAATGTCCAATTCGAATAATAAACACGGTTGATTAATGAACTTATTTACGAGTATTTTATGTAAATTTAAACGTTTGACGTATCAATAAAAACACTTTTAACAACAATACACTTTGTAACAACACTGACACCTTGAAAGGCCATAAGGATTAGGTTTGGCGTTGAAATTAACTGCGTTTACTTGTAGAAATTATAAGGCGCAATTGAACGATTCTCGTTCGATCAGCGTGGAAATATCCGTAAATTTCTAGTGAAGTTCGTGAGAAATGAATCGATGATGGAAAAAAATTAAACGTTAACACATCGTGAAAGGCGGAGAATTTCAAACGTTTAACCGATGATTTATTCGTAGAAAATTGTGAAATGCACACCTTCGAATAGCAGTATCTAACGGATCACTTTATTGCGATTTGTTCGTGAATTTTTCAGGCACGGCCATAACAACGACGAAACGTAACAATGGCGGACCCGGCTTTAATTTTTCAACGACAGCGACATCTATGTTTCGAAAAAAACAATTTTCTTTTAAGGAAAATAAAAAATGTTTTAATTTTATTTAAACAAACGAATTATTTAGGCCTACTTATGTAGTCTGCGTTATTTGGAATTTCTTTAAAAAAATTAAAATTTGATAAATTTAAATGTGTGAGTGCTCTTGATAGAATATGCGTAGCTAAATAATAGTTGTACTGGTTGTAGAATATATTAGCAATTTATAACGTTATTTATAGCTTATTTAAATTCTTATTTAATTCGTACACATCATTTTTCATTTTCAATTTTGATTTTAGCGCTCAATAGCACTTCAAAAAATACACATCACAACTACCAACATAAAAAAGAAATATCCCGTATAATTTTCTTTGATTTTTCATTTTCGAGATTGAGTCCGGTTTTTTAGGTTTCCCGATAAAACAGCTAGTAAATAGAAGTAAAACGGGATATATAATACATTTAATGCGTTAAATTCTTAATCATTGGAACAAAATTAGTAAAAAACATATCTGTAAACGGGGCTTTAAAAGTCCCTGAATCCTGAATGTCACAATTTGACATTGACAGTTTCGATAAGTCATAATTTGACGTAAATTTTGCATAAATGTAAATATGGCTACACAAGGAGTTCGAGGTGTTTCGAGAGTTTTAGAAAAACTAGAAAAGTCCGTTAAAGATGGAAATTATTACGAAGCGCATCAAATGTATAGGACATTGTATTTCAGGTATCTCGAAACTGTTTCATCCGCACGTCTCCCGTTATTCCAGAATTTTCTATTCATAACCTCATTTTTGCAGATATTTAACACAGAAAAAATACGGAGAATTAAAGGACATGCTGTATAACGGGGCGGTATTGTTTCTAGAACGAGATCAGGTATTTACCGAATGCATCCGCTTTACGAAATTCGTAATATTAGTGTTCTTTTCGTAGCAACTGAGCGGCTCCGATTTGGGTATATTGCTAATAGACGCACTAGAAAAATCGGACGATTACGACTGCAATTCGTGGTCTCACAAATTAACGAAAATATTCCGTCACATAAACTCTTCCACGCCGGAACGTGACACGTTTCTAGCCCGTGCCATACGCTGGTCTTCGAGAGGATCATCCCACGGGCACCCTCTCTTGCACAGAGTTAGTACCACTAACACATCGATTTACAATCGTCTAATTTGCGTGTACCGTAGAGCATAGCGTTGGTGTATTGGGACGAGAAGAACTACGCCCAGGCGCGCCACCACTTCATCTACTCCCAGGACGGCAAGAATTGCGCCCGGCTGTTGATAGAATTCCAAAGAAGCCAGGGCTTCAAGGACGAGGCCGATTTGTTTATAGTACAAACGGTGTTGCAATATTTGTGTTTAAAGAACAAGAGTACGGCGAATCAAACGTTCACCAGCTACACCGAGCAACACCCGAGGATCCTCAAGGCCGGGCCCCCCTACTTGCTGCCGCTGCTAAACTTCGTGTGGTTCCTGTTACAAGCGATAGAAAGGTAACTTGTAAGAATTGTACATAGGAGTGTTTATGTAGAGATGTGTTTTTAGCCGGAAAATACATTTGTTTGCGGTGCTGTGCGAGAAGTACGAAACGTCCCTGCGGAGGGATCCCTGTTACATTCACTACCTGGATAAAATAGGTCAGATATTCTTCGGGGTGAAGCCGCCTCAGCCGATGCACCAGGGCGGTAGTTTCTTCGGGAATTTTTTGGAGAGTTTCCTGAGCGGATTGGATGAGGATAGCGAGGACGAGTCTGCGCAAGCGTCGACGTCGGGCATAGCGAGAAATGCGCCCGTGGAACACGATCAATTGGATTAGATTTTTAGATTATTTTTGTTTGATTTTTTTTTGGGTAAATTGGAAGGAAATTTTGGCGGAATTTTGCGTGTAACACACTTTATTGTAACAAAGAAAATCTTTTATAAATAGGTATTTTATTACGTTCGATCGATTTATTCCAAAACCACAAATTTTCAATTCAATCTTGTTTTGTTTTCGTAGTTTAAGCGCGTTGTTTTATTGTTTTTTTTTTGAATCGAATGAACTGACTTTTTTTATAGTTTTTATATAGAAACATTGTTTATTGTGGAAAAGTCCGTTCTCGTAACACCCATTAATTAAATTGATTCTTTCTATTGGAACTCTGCGGTGAATGAAACCGAAACACCAGACAAGTACTATCTAATTTATTATTAATTTAAAAATATCGATAAAACCTTTAAATTAAGTTGTAACATTTTTAAACGCAATAAAAATGTTTTTACGAATAACAACTTTTCGTTTCACATTCACTCCTCTATATTCCTTTATTCTTGCACCATAAATATTTTTTTTAGTACCATAGAATTATTCCAAAAAAGGTTCGGAACTGTTCTGAACTTTTCTACCCTTGCGCAGTCGGTTTAATTAAGAGTATATAAGCTTCAAGGAAATTCCACTTTAACACTATTAAATTATATAAGTATCCTGGGGCATATGCTAATCTCTTTAAGGCGAATAATAAACAGAACAATAAAATGCGTCGAGAAAACAATTTCGTGGGGAAAATGAGCTAAACGACATATTTCGTGCCGAATGCGGCGTTGCCAGGTGGCCAATTGTTCAATCAATTTAAAATGAAAGAAAATCCACCTGAAACCATCAAAAATTCGTAGAGTAATTCGAAAATATTGTTAAAGAAAAACTTTCGAAACTCCTAGTTAATTCAACAAAAATGTGTATTCGAAAGTTTCGATATCGCGTTGAAAATTCCCCAAGAACGGAGAAATTTTCCCCTGCTCGGCAACACCGGAAGAATCCTGTGCGCCTGTCTTCCCAGTTTTCCGGTTTACTCCAACACACCGCACAAGAAACAAGCAACGTTGCCAACTCGTACTATAAGTATAGAATATGTTGTTATTATTAACTAATTCAACTGTTATTATGGATGTTTCGTATGATTTTATAGATGATTTGATATTGCAATTTTTATTTAATTTTCCATGACATACTATGACTTCTTATTAGAACAATAATTAAAGTTTATTTATTTTCCTATTGTCACTAGATATACATTGTTGTAGTATAAGATAAATAGAGTTGGCAACGCTGGAGAAGAGAAGAGTTTTCATTTCGTTTCAGTTCGTGGAAAAGCTCCGACGAGGAAACTCGCGAATTTGGTCGTTGGCGTGGGAAAAGTGTCCTTTCAACGATGAAAATCTCAACGAAAATCCTTTAAACAGTCGGTGTTCTGTGCGTTCGTGGTTTTTACAGGACACGCCGGTGAGGAGTCCTTTCATGATTACCCGATTTGCACCTTTTACGTGCCGTTTTATCGATCACATTGTTTTATTATTGCCAAATTATAACCTGCAAATGAAAATCGCAGCGGAAAAGTCGATATGAAAACGGCGCTTTTCCACTCGACTTTGACTGGGAAAATATTTGTCCTGGTGAAAGCGCAGCGGCAGGGACCATCAATCAAGCGGGCAAAGGAAACATAATCTTCGCACGGATCATAAATAATGGGCCCGGGGAAATTGGACCAGAAACGAGGGAAAAATTAAAGCCAGAAGAATCCCGCATTAATAATACTGTCATGTTAACACAATTTCGTTTTTTCCTCAGTTTCTGGTACGAAAAATTTGTACTATACTCGTAAACTGCATCATATACGTATATATAAAATTATTTTAAAAGACACTCTGTATAGTTCGAAATAACTTTAATTTCTTGAACCAAACTAAACTAATTTGATGTAGCTGATGTACCTGCAGTGATGATAGGCGCAAATTATCTGTGAAGAAAAAAGTAGAAGAATCTGTCAATTTCCCCGGTAACTTGATTTAAGTACCGGTATATGCCATAGACAAATTACACATATAGACCGGACACTCTGTCAAAAAAGTAGTTCGCCGGAATGTGCTGCCATCCATTGGGGTCCAACAAAACCTATTACAGGAACCTATGAGATTTTAGCATTTATTGGTGGGAATTCTCCGCATTTAAATGTAGCCGTTGAGATTGTAGTTTAGGAATAAAAAATACACATATACACTGTATACTTATATTAAACTGCTACTAAATAATACACACATATATATAATAATAATAAAAAAATAAGTAAAGGATAATTATATATAATACATACATGACATACATTTAATTTAAGAATAATTTAACTACTTACTTTATAAAAATAAACGTTTACGCGTTATGGCATAATGGCGTAATGACGTACTGTAAACAATAACAATTCGTTTAGGAATTCTTCTTTTCCTTTATTTAGATTGGACTTGGCTGCCAATGCTGTTCGGCAACAGAAAATGTTGTTGGACCCCTGTAGATGGCGTTGCAAATCGTTCTCCAAAATTTTCAAGAGTAAGTGCCACCCCCCTGGTATATGCGCAGTAGTTTTTCATCCGGTGGAAATTTAATAAAAGAAAACGCGAGAGGAAATCTCACCGATGGAAAAGGAAACCGTAGAACGGGGGAAATTCGGGAAACCTTGTAATCTCGCGTTTTCTTTTCGCGGCCGTCTCGTTTCTTTATTCGAACATAAAAGCGGAATAATTTAAAGAAAATAAAACTAGCTTCCGCCCTACTTTTTTCAGGTCTTTTGTTTACCTCGCGTCTCCCGTTTCTTTATGAATTATCGACGCTAACTTCGCTTCAGTGCATTCATCATTTACGACCGTTTTACGACGAGCAGGCCGAACGTCAATTCCTCTGGTTCTCGAGGCGCATTTAACACGTCCACCGCCGCGACGGCCGTTTTCTCAATCCTTTTCTCAATTCTTCTTCTCCTTTTCCAGGACAATGGAAGCGTCCTTCGGTCGTCGGATAACCGGGGATTACTGGATATTCTGGACGCGCTGGATGAATAGGTGGAGGCCGCTTCGGAGCCGGGCGGATGGCATGCGGGATTAATCGAATCCTCCGAAGCCAGTCATGGTGGTAAGCCCTCGGGTTTTTATGCTCTCTTTTAAGCCTAAACGAACGAAAATTGAACGGACGCCATTTTGTCGCAATTTTTGACATTCACGGCCAACTTCTCAACGCGAAGCAGGATTTTCTTTTTCTTTATATCTTTGTTCGTTATTCTCCGTGTAGGTGTCTTTGAGCTCGCTATTCATTAAATTCCAATGACATAGATAAACGGGTCATCAGCAGTCGGGCGAAATTGCGTGTATACCGAAAGCGCCGTCTGTTCAATTAGTTTTCCCGTCGACGTGCAATTTCCCATCGGTAAAATTGGATTCGATCTGTATTTTACCTGTCGCAGGCGGGCGAAGGGAAGCGTGAAAATTTAATAATACATCGAAGCAGGCCTTTTTCATCTTTCGAGCGGACGCTTTCATCGCAAAATATCGTTACGCGTGCTCGTTGGCTGCATGCACATCGCACAGAGTCCTCGTAAGGAAAATCAACAGATGTCGAGAGAAGTTGGCCGTGAATGTCAAACGTCACTTGATTTGATTCGGTCTTCGCCATTCGCCCGATGAAAAATTGTATACTTATACTTGATTTTTAGTTGAACACCGAGTGGGCACAAGTAGAAGTTATAGATCTAATTAACGACGGTACTGGTTTAGCGTTCGGAATAATTGGAGGACGCAGTACCGGCGTCGTTGTGAAAACCATCCTACCAGGTGGCGTTGCCGACAGAGTAAGTGCCATATATTTGACATTTTAATTACAAACCATAACTCTATGTGATAATTATTTTACGGTGCAAGCATAAATAGCAAGAAAATTATATATTATTTTAATTATAGCTTGGCTTTAGTTTGATAAGTAGAGGTGTTTAATAATATTTGTACCGACCGAGTATATGTGACGTGAAATTGACGTTTAATTAAACACCAATCACGGTACGATAAAGTATACGACAAACCGCAAAACCGGTTCCGGGGCGACCGGAGTTATTTTTATTTCCTTCGACTTGTTGGCTATTTTCCGCGCCGTTTCGGAACTTTCACGGGCCTTTGAGCTCGATTTTTTAGCGGCAAACGGACCGGAGAATTCACCGGGCCGCCTTTTTTGCATGCTATTGAAGTATCGATTGACATTAGGGGGCCCTAATGAAAACCGGCAATATGCGAGAACCGTAAACGGCACTTTTAAATTTACACAGTAAGTACTCAAATATATTTATTCGTTTCCTATAAATTATCGAAGATTTCAAAAAAACTATAAAAGTGACATTTGACAGCACATGTCAAATTTGTTGCATAGGTATGTCGATTTGTTCGTTACATTTTTTCTTTTTAATTCTATGGTGGGTAATTTAAGCGACGCGGTGGAAAATAAATTTACATTAAGATCCTCCGGTAATGGAGACGTTGATAAACGACGCGGAAAATTCCGGAGTAATCTCGCTCGGCTCGATTTCGCCGCGCGGAATACGAAACGCCCCAAAGTGGCCCGCTCTAATTAAACCGCGTTTATTAGTTAGCGCACTCCACCTGGCCCGCATGAATTCCAAATCGCACCCGATTCGCATCCGCCATTAATATTGAAAGTTCGTCAACTTCCGGCTCGTGAAATATTTATTCTTCGCGGCGGCCGATTGTTCGCAGGACGGGCGGCTGCAGAGCGGCGATCACATCCTGCAAATCGGCGAGGTCAATCTGAGGGGGCTCGGGTCCGAGCAGGTGGCTTCGGTGCTGAGACAGTGCGGCGTCCACGTCCGCATGGTCGTCGCCAGACCCATCGAATCCGCCAACGCGGATTTCCAGGTAAATTAATCGACATACTACCTGTCAAATTTCTCGCAGCAAACCGGCCTCGACCTATTCAGTAATCCAGTGTTTGGATTTCCAGCATTTGGGTAGCCTAGCGCCGATCGTTCCGACGAAAATCCTGGGCGATCCGGTGGAATTGGATCGGCATCTGATCGAAAACGGTTACGGCGAAGCCTTCGCCTACCATCCGGCTCCGTCCGATTTCCACGGGGGGCCTTACATATACACCGGCCACCACCATTCGGATCTGCAGTTGCACGTAAATCCCGAGCGTTTTCCGCCCGATTTCTGGCGGCTAATCGAGCGCCCGATTTTTCAGACCATGGTCAACCGCCTGGCCGTGCCCTATCTGACGAGGGTCGAGGTGCAGAACAACTTCCCGAAGACGGTGTCGATGAACGTGGCGCTGCGCGAGCCCGACCTGCCCGAGACCGAGATCTACGAGGTGGATTTGAAGAAGGACGACCTCGGCCTGGGGATCACCGTCGCCGGATACGTGTGCGAGAAAGGTGGGACTGAGGCCGGTTCTGGATTCCGTTTTGCATGCATTAAACGGGAGTCTTGTAGCGAAGTTGACAACTCATTTATGGAAGTAAATTAGGGTTGTATGGGAGCTCTCCGGAGCGAAACAAATACTCCGTTCTGAACGCAATTAAAGCTCGCCGACGAGCGCGGGCACGTGATGGAGCACGAGCTAACTAAACAGCCGATTATTCGAGGAATAAGTTTCGGAATATTTACCTACGCGGGCTTGTGTGTGTGTATAGGGAAAAAGGGAGGGTTGTATAATTAGTAACAAGAGACTATAATTTGATGCTTATTTGTTCGATGTTTCCAATGAATTTAAATTAACGGGATGTTTTTTTTTTTGGTTTTTGTTTTCAGAAGAGATTTCCGGCATATTCGTGAAAAGTATCAGCAAAGGAAGCGCCGCTGATTTGACGCAAAACATCCAAATTAACGATAGAATTATAGAGGTGAGAATTCTCCTCTTATATTACTTCCTACCGTATAGAAGATAGAATGAACTAATTAATTTTTCATGGCATTAATGCGCCTATAAAGATCCTTTTCTTTCCGGATTTTCCTTTGAAGCCCCGATTTTTTTACTCCACCTTATTCAGGCCTCGTCCCTAATGGACTTTTCCTTCCATCGAATTAATTAATTCGCATTATTTTTAACGTTGTTTTCGCGATAACAATTTCTAATTGAACCTAAATTTAACGCTCATTTGGAAATTTGCGGTTTTCCATCTTGATAACGTATTTTAGTCGCAAGATAATGTTTTAAATAAATGAAATACCCGTTCAGTTTGTAGTAAATTCTTGTGATAAGCGCTGGTTTGTAATAAAATTGGAAATATGTTTTACATTACGAATCGAGTCCTCTTTCAATGTGCTAAATTATAACCAAAAACAAACTTTATAATACAGAGTAAGAGGTTTTTAATATCAATACACCCCCTGTATTTTAAATACTATATAATTTTTGTACAATATTTTCGGTTTTCCAGGTGAATGGTGTTTCACTATCAGGCTACACCAACCACCAGGCGGTGGAGTGTCTACGCGCCGCCGGCTCGGCCGTCAAACTAAAACTAGAACGCTACTTAAGAGGCCCCAAATACGAGCAACTCCAGCAAGCCATCAAAGCCAACGAACTCAGGCCCCCGTCGCCCCCATCTCCGACGCTCACCTCTCTGCCCAAGGTGCCCATCAACACCGCAGTAAGACCGACAAACCCATCCGCACGAATTCGTTTCTACCATCGCACTGTTCGTTGCAGCAAATGGACTGCTCGGGCATCGAGCCCGACGGCGAATCCCGCACCAGCTTCGAGTTCGACTCGGCCCTTCTGCTGGAGCACGACGCGCTCACCAACGAGGAGAAGGAGATCCTCATCGGCGGCGAGAAGGTCGCCCTGCAATTCACCGTCGACAGCCCCGACAGCGTGTACGAGAAGTGGCGGAGCCTCTTGGGCGACGACCCGGAGATAATCGTACGTAGTCCCACCCGATTTAACGATCGGACGTTTAACGTTTAACGATCGGTTCAGATCGCCCGGATGCGAAAGGAGCGCTCCAGCGGCTTGGGCATCAGCTTGGAGGGAACGGTGGACGTGGAGGGCGGCAAGGAGGTGCGACCCCATCACTACATCAGGAACGTCCTGCCCGACGGGCCGGTCGGGCAAAACGGCGTGTTGCAATCCGGCGACGAATTACTCGAAGTTAGTAACGTTGTCTAGCGATATGTGGCGATTTTTAGGCAAATATTTCGCAGGCGAACGGCGTCCAGTTGCTCGGCTTGAACCACCTGCAAGTCGTGGCGATACTAAAACAACTACCCGAACGCGTGAGCCTCGTTTGCGCCCGCTACCCATTTCCCACGGGCGTGATCGACACGTCGCAACGCAGAGAAGCCTTCAGAACGAGGGTAACAACTCCAACGATCCACCACCCGATTCGTTTATAACGTCCCGAAATACCTTTCAGAAGATACTAGCGTGCAGTCTACAAACGCTCATCCCCATCAACGAGAGCAACCGGCTGGTCAAAGCGAAATCGGAGACCTCCATCACGTCGGGCGCCGCCAGCCCAACGCCCAGCAGATCCAGGTCCCTGGACCCCATGGAAACGCTCCCCATGTGGCGCGACGAGCCCACCGTGGTCGAATTAATCAAAGGCGACCACGGGCTCGGCTTCTCCGTCCTCGACTATCAAGTAAGCTGAACATACTGGCCCCCCATTCAGCGCCTCTGACAGATTTACACTGCTATTATAGAGTAACTAGGAACTCTACACGCGACTTTAGAGTCACTGTAAAGTTAAACAGAGGCGCTGAATGCGGGCCACTGTGTAGAAGATAAGCTGGTCGTGTGTTAACCGGTTGGTTTGGTATAGGATCCGCTGGACCCCGATGAGACGGTGATCGTGGTGCGATCGCTGGTGCCGGGCGGGGTGGCCCAGAGGGACGGCAGGCTGCTGCCCGGCGACCGGCTGGTGTCGGTGAACGAGGCGAACGTGGAGCGGGCGCCGCTGGACGCGGCCGTGCGGGCGCTGAAGGGGGCGCCGCGGGGCGTCGTGCGAATAGCGGTGGTGAAGCCGGCGAGCGGGGGCGGCGGCGACGCCGGCTCGCGGACCAGCCAGGTGCGATCGGGGGGAGTTTTTTTCGGGGGTTTATTGCATGCGTATTACCCGAGTGGTTTGTTTTTTTTTATAGAATTGAATTGTTGTGTAGAGAAAGGAAAACGTTGAAAACACGCGTGTACTGTTCAGTCGATGTACACGGCTGGTAATGAAGTGTATAAAACGTTTTTCCGACGTATATTTTTGTAAATTTGTTGGAGTAGATGCCTTAAAAAAATGTGTGAGCACTGCCGGTACACCACAAGTAGGTATCGTTTTACCACAATATAATTTGATATAAAATATGTCGAGCTTGAGTAGGTTGGTGTATTTGTTTGAGTGTTTGCCAAATCGATATCTCGTAATTGCGAAATTGTATTTCTAGTTGTTGGGGAAACTCGTGCAACAATGGTCGGAAGACATCGGACGATTGATGCTGGTAATAGAACCTGTTACATAATAATTACCGTTATCTAATCGTTCTGTTTGTTTCAGAATTAAACGAGATACACACATACACACACAAGTGTTTTTTGTACAATGCGCTAGTTGAAAAAAACGATGAACTGCTCCACTGGAGACTTTTTATTGTATCCAAATTTATGTTAAAAAATACGGCAAAAGTAGGGAGAAAATTCCTACAAGAAAATCGTGTAGTAACAAAAGTCGTGCATAAATATTATTGCCATTTCACAGCCAATCGCGCAATTAATTAGTTATACCTATTAGATCTCCTTGACTCATATTTCTTATCGTTATCGAAGGTTTTTAACTCCCTTAATAACAATAAAAATCTTCGAAAAAATAACTAGAAAAGGCCAATTTATTATGTAGTATGTAGCAACAGAAATAATTGTAACTTATGATATTAAACGTGATTAAAAATATCCCAGACCATTTAAGGCATCTACTTATACACTAAAATTATAATAAACGTGTTCTTTCAAGAAACACCCAAAGCTTACTGTAGACAAAATCTATTCAAAACCCATCGCAAATGACACATGAATTTTTCTAGGACACCGAAGACGACCACACCTGCCTGGAGGACTTCCAGGAGTGCATCGAGGAGTTCCAGGAGTGCCTGGACGCGGTGCACATCTGCATCGAGGACGAGAACTCCCTCAGCCAATCCTGCATGTCCGATTTGGGCGGCTCCGACGGCGCCGCGACGCCCAAAATCGACCCCGATCCGGCCCCAAAGCCGGCCGACCGGGCCCGGATCAAGAGCGACAGCGCCGCGACGCACAGCGAAAAGGACGACTACGAGACCTGCGTCGAGGAGTCGCTCTCCGACGACGTCACCGCCGTCAAAGCGACGCCTGATGATGCACCGTCGGACCGAAACGGCGAGGCCACGCCGACCAATTCGACCGTTAACGTCCTCGAAACTTGTTCGCATGTACCTGACCTAATCCATAAGACTTATTTTAATTCAGGTAAATCATTCAGTAGATTTTATGCAGTTGAATGATGATTGAGTAAGAGGCCTTCTACTTTCTATTCCAGAAAATCTAGTTATACCGGAAGAGCTCGTCACCGAACCGATTTACCACGATGAAGAGCCGAAAATATTCGAGAACAGATCGGTGGATCCCGGCGACGAATTCCTGCTGGTCCAATACCCTTCGAATCGACCCGACGATATCCTGGACACGTGCCAAATCCCTTCCAAGAAAATCTATAGGTAAACAAACGCGCGAGAGTACAATTAGACAATTCACCCAATTGCACTTGCAGGAAATGTCTCAAAGAGTACTACAACGACTACGCCGACTGCTTGGAGGCCTACAACGTCGCGACGCCGCGCGATAAGGCCGAAATGCCCGACGACGACATCTTCTGCGACCTGGTGTTGCCTTTCAAGAGCCGATCGGCTCCGGACATCGCCGACGGCTCGTTCGTAACGTTGACCTACGATCCCGGACCCGACATGGCCCGAAGGAAGTCCTCTTTCCTGCCCGGCTGCCAACCGCCCGAAGCGTAAGTCTCCTTGGAATAGCCCCCGATGAAGTTTTGACAAATAAATAAATCAATTTAATAAATAAAGAGGGCGACGGAGCAAAGCCCCGGGAATAGCATTAGGCAGCGCGCAAAAGGGGAACTCGACGCTGCCCGGAGGACGAATCCCTACAAAATGAAAACAAATCCAATTAGCCGGGCACATGCTACAAGTAATAAGATCATGAGATATACGAGTTTGTGACTAATTTTCATTCATAGAGATCGTCCCGACGGTAGGTTTCGCGATCGATACGGCGAGATTTCGCCCAATTAGCGATCGGATTGATTGATTAATAGAACCGGGGGTATACCTGAAATAACCGCGCCGATTTTACGACTTTCCTAAAAATAGTCGGTAAACGTTTCCGATTCGCCTCGAAAAATCCCAAATTTCTTGTACTCAGTTCGCATGAGCGTTCACCGGCGCTTATTAAGGGGTAAATTAGGATTGTTCTAACTCGAAACACGCGAGGAAAATAACATAATAAAATAAAAACGGCATGGCCTCTGAGATACCTTACTCGTCCGCGCCTAATAGGATTAAGTGTCCGGCATTGTCGGTGCGTTTTTGTTGTTCAGTTGCCTTCTAGGCGAGAGAACGGCTCGTGGAAATGCGCGTTTACGCTTCGTTCCCATCGGACGTAAGTCGATTCATTCCCAGGAACACGCCAAAAGAGATATCTTATTGTAGCATTGTTTTTTTCCAGTGAGATGACGGTTATACGTCCGCTGGAGGTCGACGTGAAGGGATGCCAAGTCGAAGATATGCTGCAGAAACATTGGGGATCCGTGCACACCGCGAGGATCTTCAGGGAGCCCAACAGGAGCTTGGGCATCAACATCGTCGGAGGGAAGGTCGGTAAATCGCATCGTACCAGTGTAATTGGAGATTGAAACGTGATTTTTAGGTCGATTTGCAATCGAGCAAAAGGTCGTCCGAAACGCTATTGGGCATTTTCGTGAAGAATGTAGTGCCGAACAGCCCGGCCGATAAATCGGGAAAATTCAAGGTGAGCTCGCGCGGTTTTCCCGCAAACTTGTACATTTCTCGTTTGTTAACAGACGGGCGATAGAATATTGGAAGTCAGCGGAGTGGATTTGAGAGAGTCCAGCCACGAAAAAGCCGTCCAGGCCATTCGAAACGCCTCGAATCCGGTCACATTCGTCATACAATCGATCGTACCTCGCGTAAGTACTCCTTCCGTATATCCCCGAAAAAAAAAATGGAAACGTGGCAACACCTTATTACGTCACCTCCATGTTACCTTGAACATACTATACCATACTCTACAAGGTTAATCAATCTCGTGCCAATAATCTCGACAACTAATCGATGTAGCATACTTAATTTTATAAAAAAACCATTCCTCTACAATTTATAATTATTCCCAAATTTCCCAAAATCGCCCTACAGTTACAGAAGACCTCCGACCAGCAACTGAACCACGCCGAATGCCCGTCGCCATATCCGTCTCCCGTCAGCACCGAATCCTCGACGAGCGTCCCGCAAAACGACGCGGAAAACTCGATTTCCCGCGAGAAAATCGACGCCGACGTCCGGACGACGCCCGTCCGCCGACCGGACGAACCTCCGAAGGAAACTAGGAGCGATAAGGAAGACGAGGACGCGGCGAAGGCGAGGAAAATCGAGTCGGACAGCGACGAGGAAGATGATGATGACGATGATGATGTCAGAGATCTGGAAGGAAGGACTGTATCGGCCAAAGGACACGCTGTAAGGATATTTCTGAGTGTTGTGTAGCGGAGAAAAACATTATTTTTTCGCTATGTAATTCTTAACCAGTCATGCAATGGGGATTTCGTGCCGAAAGAGGGATATACAGCAAAAACTGTCTTATATAATCTCGTTATTTCATTGATTTCTTTTTATCCTTTCATCAGATTGATCGAGCCAGCGCCGGGAACGTGCGAAGGACCAAGGACGAAATAGCGGCCGATAAAGAGGATGAGGACGAATTCGGCTATACGACGAGTAAGTAATTTTTTTCTCATATTTATTTGCCGAAAATCCCAATTTTATACTCCCATACCGGCGTATGTTCTATCTTTATGAGTTTAAATAAACCGTACGCCGGTATCTAACGCAAGCGGGGGTGGGTATACAAAAAAAAGAAAGGTTTTTCATCAACCCTCTCCGAGAGATTAGCGCTGGAGGGTTGTATTGTGTATCCTTATCGAGGCATTCCGGGACGTGTTTCTGACGTTAATTAATCAACATTCCCCAGCTCGAGATGATAATTTCATCCCCCGTACGACAAAAAAAAACCACCGCGCCTGTTTCGGATTGATTCCTTCAAACTGACGTCAATTAAATTCCCGACGAGCATTTCGACGGGCCCTCGTAAATTCGGGAAAAATAATTATGCAGCAGGAAAGATGATTTTTGGTGATAGGGAGATTGCGCGTTTTCCGGCTAGGATTGCGTCGCTTTTCCGCGGAAAAACGGCCAGTCCGGCGAACGACGCCGCCCGGAGTAAGCGGGGCCCTTTCATCGACGCTCCGTCGCGACGCTCTCGTGCATGTGCTAGTGCTAATAGTTTCGATTTATCGAGATAAATTCGATTAGAGTTCGATCGAAGGCTCGATTTTATCCGTAATGGGATTTTTAATACGTTTTTTCTTTCGCGTTGCGGCTCGTCTGATTTGATTAGAGTAATTAAAGTGGTTAGTTGAGGCGGAAATTTCCCTGGAATGTTGTTATTAATGTGGATTCTGGATGGAAAGCTCGAAATTAATTGCACGTGCAATTTCCTCGCTTTTCTTTTTTAGTTAACGTTTCGAATGTTCCTTATTGATCGCCTCAAATTGCGAATATTTTCCATAATTTAAGCGATAATGATGCTGGTTAAATCCTGATGAAGATGATGATGCAAGGAATAACTCCCTACTTTATTTAAATTCAATTCAATTCCGCAAAAATTGATTTTTTATACGATGAAATTCGTATAAAGTAGTTATTTAATTTTCAAAAGGCAACGTTGCCAAGTCAATCGAAGTTTCTCGTTTGGGGGGAATTATGGGTTAACGGGTACAGTGGCCTTGTTTCGGGAATGGATCTTTCGAGATTTTCGAGAGGGTTCAGCTCGAGAGAAAATTAACCCCTTAAAATTCCACTTTATTCGAGAAACAAACGGCCGAATAAAGTAGTCCCGTTTCCGCTCCAGTTCGCCCGGAAACTTTCCCAATAACTAAGTGCCCCCGGGCCTTTAAAACGCCCCGTTCTTCTCGGGCGAAAAAAAAAATCAAAATAAATACATAACAGACAGATAAATAAATGAAATAGCAGCCCCCGAGCCGAATTAAAGCGGAGCTCCCGATGCCCCGATGACCCACTTTCGAAATGTTACGGGTTACGGAGGCTGCGGCTGTACGCGAAACCTCCACGTGGAAATTCCTCCCCGAGGTCGAAAAATCCCGGCTAATTTTCGCGGTTTTTCGCTCCGCGTATCGCCCTCGATCTGCCGCCCCGCTCCGCCCCGGCCCGAAATGCAAAAATTACGCCCGGCAAAAATGTATTTTCCGAGCAAATACGGTAAGCATTTCCGAGATATAAAACACTCGATCGAAGCGGAACGGCGGAAAAATATGTAAAAATTCCACGACGACTCGATTTCATAAATATTCAACGTTCATTCGATTCGCTCTCCTCGTCTCATCACCGATCCGTCCACAATCATCCCCGATGAAATTTGTACACGGCATATAAATTCGATGAAAAGTAAATAACCTACAAGCATTTCTCGCGAACTTTCCTCTATTCCTTCCAATTACCCCGAATGCGGCGTTGCCAAGTGTTCGTTCTAATCGGAATGTTCGGGATTATGCCGGGGATTTTCGGATGAGAGAGAAAATCCGGAGAGGAAGCAGTAATCTCGTGGAAACGTGCGGTGCACACGCGAACACGTTTCGGTTTCGTGGATAATTCATTAGAGGCCGGAAAGGGATATTCGGGTATTCAAATTCGACGGTCATTAATTATTTATTCGACCTCTGTGCGCTCGAAGCGCCGATCGATCTATCGGAGAGTAATTACATTTATACGGGACGCGGCGAAAAAGTAAATCCCGCCCGTTTCGATCCATTTCACTTTCTCCACGGCGACCTTGATTCCCTATCCGGGCAATTGACCGTTTTGTTCCGTTTAATTAACCCGCCTTTTTCCCGAGCTGTGTGCGATTGATCAACGGCAATCCAGTCGGGCGATTCCTTCTCTTCTCTCATCTCTCGTCGAGTTTTTTTTTTCTTTTTTTTTTCGGTCGTTACAAAACAATAAACTCGCCCTCTCGGCCCCCTTTGACCCATTTTCGGCGCTTAATAGATTTTTCATTGAAACGTCGCTCAAACGGGATGAGAGATGCGATACGCCGGCGGGGGGATGGGAAAATAGTTTCGTTTTTCTCGATCTCGGCGTTTTCCAGGTGGATTTTCCGTTGCGTAACGCACGGGAAATCGATCGGTTTTCGCTTTATCGTCGGGAGACTTTACTCCGGATGAGTCCGGATAAAAGGAATTAAACTAACCTTTTCGGTAGTAAATTCGGTAGTAATTATAGAAGAGCTTTTCAGAAATCGTTTAATCTTACAATTTTACTACTATTTTATGGATTGTTCTGATGCTATTATTCCAATTTCAACGCAAAGAAACACTTAAATTTTTAATGAAAAATACGAGTTTTCTACTAATCAATACGAGTAATCAGCAATTTAATTATTAATAAACAAAAACCGACCTACATTTCAACAATAATATCCCTTACATCTTTACTTATTTATCGAACACACCCCGTAGATGCGTTCAAATAGTAATAGGGAAAGAAAATTGAGACCTACTGCAATTGAAATAAACTAATGAAACGGGTTATATAACAAAAAAAAAACGAGTAGTTAGCGCGACAATTTTCAACAATAACAAGGAAATCGTACATTAAGGCTCGTTAAGCGCCGTATTTTTTCTAATTAAAGCGTTTATTTAATTACATTCGGCGGAATAAACGTAACGAAACTGTTCGAAGAGAACTTTTAAAAATAGAATTAATTGGCGATAAACTAACGAGCACACGTTCGTATCAGATAGGCTAATTAATTCGCCTACTAAACGATCGTCTCATTAACGTTTGGAAAATTTTTAATGATTTTCCTTCGATTAATACGAAAATACAACGCAAAAATGTTTTGTATCAAAGTCGGCGTTCTGTTGGATCTATCTAGGGACTTTATTTTCGTTACCAAACAGGCTGTTGGATATTACCCTGTAAATTTTTATGCGATTTATTCGAGTTTCGGGATATTTCGAGGAGCGATACGCGCCGAAAAGATACTCGGAGAATTCATAAAAATAGTCGAGTTTCGTAATAAATCATCGCGCAAAACCGAGTAGCCGAATATCAAATACTCGCAGGCCGTTTATATTAAATTCAACAAACGTATAAATTTAACTCGAAACGCGCGGAAAAAAATCCCTCGAAAATGGGAATTCTTCTTCCCGGAACACCTGCCTTTTATTTAATCGGCTCCCAAGTCACCAGCGCTTGTTTATTATTTCTAAATATCAAAGCACGTACAAAAATAAATCGATTAATCGGATAGATAAATACGTTACTCTATTTTACGGTCTTTCAATTGGTAAACAATTATTTTTAACTACCGATCGGGGATTCCCGATTCTTTCCTCCTGTGTGTTGGGGAATAAATTCGAGCACGTTCGCTTTCTTCGCCGGATTTACATCTTCACTAAAACAGGTTCGAAATCGAATTAAAGCGCAATAATTCTCGTAAAATGCAGGCAAAAGTGAAAGTACACGCGCCTTTCTGAGACGAAACGAGGCAGTTCGTCAACGAAAATCGGGATATACACTCGCACAACGCGCTACTAATTCAGTGATTTTTTTAGTAACACCCTGTACATGGTAATTAGTAATTTTTCTTCTTCAAAAAACTCAACCAAAACACCGCTAAAGTTAGTAAAAAAAAACCCTAAAAGTCTAGCAAAGTTCCGCTTAAACATTTTCGATTTTTTTGCGGCCTCGACTCATCTAGTATTCGGCGACTCCAGCGCAGGTGACTCGATAAGTTAGTTCGTAACTCGCGACTTCGACACGTCACAATCGACGTCACGCTAGTCGGAGTTACGAGCCGACCTATACCCCACTAATCAATTAAATTAATGACAAGTGACATCGCCTCGAGAGAATCGAACGAGCGATATGGCGATCGCCGCGAAACCGTAGCGCTTCGGGGAATCACGCGAACCGAAACGAGCGCTCGCATCGGGAGTTTGGATATTTTTTTTTTCTTCCTCGCGTCCGCGAGCGGGATCCAGTAATGGCGTCGCCGCCGGCCGGAAGGGAACGGATCGGGCGCGGGAAAATCGAAAATCCTATCGGATCGGAACAGCCGGCGACGGGATCGGGCGCGGAGCGGGACCGAGAGCGGGCGCCGGAGCGGTAGTGCCGGTGGTGCTGGTTGTACCGCGACCATGGCAACATGGAGACGATAGTCGAGGATCAGGATCAGGAGGCGGACTGCGAACTCGGTGAGTTAAGGGCCGGCGATAGTTTTCCCTCCTGGTTTTTAATTGGAGAGGATTTTTCGATGTGGAAACACGCGATGTTTTCGCTGGAATTTCGCTATTTGCTTAATGAATTAATTAATTATTTTTTTCCTAATTGTAATGGCTCCTAAGTGACGCAAGAAAAACGATTAAAACGCTTAATTACGGACGCACGCGAACATTCAATTAAATTAAAACTTCGGCGTGAAATCTAACTAAAGGAAAATGTATGTGTTTTTTTCACTACATTTTCTATTTATTTTATAATTATCTACATAAGAGGTTGAAGTATTTGACAACGACAGATATCTATTACCAACCTTTAGAATTTGTTATCAACTACAGGGTGTCCCAATGAAATGTAGCCCCTTTAATGAGCTAATAATTTTTAAACGCCTAATCATAAAAACATGCGGTGTTCACAGATATATTTACCTATAACTTTTGTTACAGTGACACAAAAATTTTGTATCGTCTGTACAGGGTGTTTCAAAAATCCACCTCTTTTAAATTCACATTAACTAAATTTTATGATACAGGACATCTTCTTTTGTACAATAACATGTACAAATAACACATTGTTAAAAAGTAGAAGAGTATATCTTTCAAAATACCTCTACATATACGGGGTGTTCCATTTAAAAAAAGGGTACTGTGTTTTTAAAACGGAAGATTTTGATAAAACACCCTGTGTTGGTAATACATAAATTCTGTATCAATGTAACAAAACTTATAATAAAATAAAACATATCTGAGAAAACCGCATGTTTGTACGATTATGCGTTTACAAATTACAAGCTCATTAAATGGGCTACTATTCATTGGGACACCTTGTACTTTACTAAACACGTGAAAAGAATCATTAGTTAAGTAGACGCGCATTACTAATTCGAACGATCAACATTTCAGAGAGGTTTATTTGCTAATCGCTTAACGCCTGAAACGACATAACATTCGAAAAATTCTAACTTCGCGCGAATCCGGCCGGTTCTTCCACCGCAATCAACCGAAAAAACGTCCTCTTGTTTCCTTTCTGACACAGCCTTGCACTCGAGAAAATGACCTCGTCATGTTACGTAGCCCGATTAAAATGCGGGGAATATTAAAAAGCGAATCCCCGGAGGATTCCCCGAAGGATTCGCTCTATTAAATATTTCACGTATTAGCGACGTGCATTAACTAATTGAATTGTGAAACGAATTTCACGAAAAGGCCGATTTCCGCACGGAATACAATTTTCCTCTATTAGTTTCTATCGATTCGGTTAAATTTATACAGAGGCTGCAAAACTCTACTCTCGTATACTCTACTCAATTCCACTGATGCAGTTTCTCTTATTTGGTCCACCCGATACAAGCTCGTTTGTACAGGACGTCCCAAACTTTCGATTCCGTATATTTATGTAAACTGCTCCACAAAGGTTAAGGAAGTTCGCAAATTTTGCGATTATTTTAAAAGTTACAGACTTTTTGATCACCAAATTTTATCTCTTATATCTAAGTGGATTTTTTGCCCCTACCTCTACAACTCATACCAAATTTAGCGATCAAAAAACCTGCAACTTTTAAATTAATCTATCTCAATATTTGCCAAGTTCCTTAACTATTGCGGAGCAGTATGTTAACTTATCCGGTTGGTTTGCAGACAAAGTGCGCAAGAAATACGCGAACTTGGGCCACAGCGTTCTGATGGTGCAGCTGGAGCGCTCCAATCAAGGACTCGGCCTCAGCCTGGCCGGGCACAAGGATCGCAATTGCATGGCCGTCTTCGTTTGCGGCCTCAATCCCAAAGGGATGGCCCACAAAACGGGCACCATACAAATCGGCGATGAAATTCTCGAGGTAACACTAAATCATATCTGTAATTTAGCGTCGAATGCAGCGTAGAAATTCCGACGTAAAAGAGAGCTATATACAGATGGCTTCAATTCAAACCGCAATATGGTCGTTTCTATGAGTTGAACAAAGAAAGATTGATAAAACAACAGTTGTCAGAGTGAAATGTTGCAATGACATAATGTCACTCTTTCTTTTTCCTTTATAAGTGTCTAATTGAAGTTATCTTTGTTCCACCTATAGCCTATGTTGCAATGAAAAATGGAGCAATCTGTATACAGATTGCTTCAATTCAGACGGCAACATGGTCGTTTCTATGAGTTGAACAAAGAAAGATTAATAAAATAACAGTTGTCAGAGTGAAAAGTTGCATTGACACAAATGTCACTCTTTCTTTTTCCTTTCTAGGTGTCTAATGAAAGTTGTCTTTATCGCACCTATAGCCTGTTGCGATATGGAATGAAGCACAGTGTATATGATGCTTCTAAAGTTGGTTGAATGTAGTGATTGAGTGAGTAAAAGTGATTGAATTGGTGAGTGCTTTAGTGATCATCAAATGACTAACTGATTGACTTATTCACTTAGCCAGTGACTGATTGATTGACTAAATAACTCTTTTCTACTGAGTAACAAGTGACTGGTTAATTCATTTGATGACTCTGTATGTATTTTAATGAGAGAATATAGTGGTTGAATGAGTAAAAGTGATTGAATTGGTGAGTGCTTTAGTGATTAACTGATAGATCCACCAAATGACTAACTCATCGACTGATTCACTTAGCCAATGACTGATTGATTAACTCTTTTTTACTGAGTAACAAGTGACTGATTAATTCATTTGATGACTGTCCGATAGATCGAATGATAGAATAAGTCCTGGGGAATAATCGAGTGAAAAATTGCAATTTGAACGGTGGAATGATGGAGGCGAAGCCGGCACCATAAGATACTGGCATTAATATAAATAAACTAAAAAACCCGAACGGAATAATAAACGAGCGCGCACGGTAGGTGATATAGAAACAACATCCACACCGTACGAAATACGAAATACCCGTGACCTTGCTAGGCGATAATGTAAATGTAGACATAGAGAAAATCGCCACACACACACACACAACACACACGCTCGCACAATCACAAACAATTCACGTATTCGAATCGCAGCCGAAGCGGGCTAATTCGCCTCGAATTATCGCGGTAATAACGCGAAGAAACGTAAGAAACGTGAGGAAAAATCGATGCGATGCATCGATGATAATAATCGGGCGATCGGGAGTGCGTGCGCGGCTCGAAAGGTGCTCGAAAAAACCGAAAATATCAACGAAAAATTGGCCGGATAAGGATTAAATTGGCGTTGTAGATAAGCGCGTATCCCGTCCGGGAAAAGGCCGACTCGAACGAACAATCGCGACGACGGTTTTCCATCATTAAACGCGCCGATCCGATGATATGGTGATAATGGTTCGGCTTATATAGCCAGTTATGGTGTCGGCGAGTTATCATTCCGCACTGGCGCGTGCTCTCTCCTCGATGAATTTATGAATTTCTTTTTGAGCTGCTACAATTACAGGTTGGTGCCCGTTGCTTTTTTCTCTACGTTGTCGTTTTTGGTTTCTTTACAGGTGAACGGCGTGGTATTGCACGGCAGGTGCCACTTGAACGCCTCCGCCATCATTAAAGGCCTATCCGGACCGATATTTAAAGTGGTTATATTGAGGTAAACGCCGAAATTTCCAGCGTATGCAGCATATTTTACACACACTCGCAAACGATTCGTATAAAATATGCTAATTTTTTTTTCTATATTTTTTTTTTTTGTATCGTATCGATCGCTCGTTGTACCGTTTTTTTTTATTATTTATTTATTTTCGTATTATTACCGTTTTGCATCATCAAGGTTCCTCGGCACTATTATTCTAATATTTTCAGTAGATCTTGTATATTATTTTCGTTGTTGTTAAGTTGAAAAACTCGTTTTCGCGTTACCGCCGGAATCGGATTAGAATTTTTAGCGAGCGTTTAATGTAATGTTGACGCTATTATTTCCGCAGTATTTTTTGCTGTTACGGTAAATATGGCTCGTCCGGCGTCCGTTCGTTATCACTAATTTTTCTGTTTTCTCTTTTCGGTCGCAATTGCAGGCGAAAAACTGCCATCGATGATATCGCTGTCAAGCCCATTACGCAGTTCCCTGTTTCGCTGGCAGAGGAGGTGAGTCTTTATATATATATTTTTTGTATTATTGTATTTCTATTTTCTTTCTGTCACGCTGCATGGTTCATTTGACATGTCACTCTGTTTTCACGTTTTCCTGCCAGTGTTTAACGCATTTCCATCATCGACAGTTTTGTATTTATTTGTCGAAAAAAAAAACTACAAATCAATAGAGACACTATTTTAAACTCGAGCCACCGTAAGAATGGCGAGTTCAATTATTTTATAAACCACCCTATATACAAAAAAAAAGTGTTTAATATTCTACCGTAATCAACAATTACATAAATAACGCATAATTAACAGACTAGAAACTCCATAAATCGCTGGATTTTAATTTTTTTTAAGCGAAATTATCATCCGTGCTTGTGCATTTCATCGTAAAATTCGAATATATAAAAAAACTAGTTTTTTTTAATTACCCGTCGGTTCTATATTCCGATAATTAAATTTAAATGCGCTCGTACGATTCAAATGAATTTCGTATACGATCTTTAATTATGAAATATTTTTAATTAATGCCCGACTTCTGGGAAACTAGCCGTATATGTTTTATTAATCGACGAATTCGTTTAAAACGTACGTGTAGTAATATTGTGTTTTTTTATCACTTTTAATGGTAAAATTAAAGGTATTCACTATTTGGTTAGGGTCGATTTTAATTTGCAATTAAATTTCTCTTTTTTAAACGTTTATTTCGCGTCAAGAGCACGTTATTTTTTTTGATTTTTGTTCCTGCAGGCCTCCGAAGAACAATTTAGTGCAAGCTATCCGAATGTGCGCACGGTCGCTATCAAAAAGGTATGCTTTCATGTTTTTTTTTTGGCTCACCATGTACATTTACACGCGGAAAGCACCAAGCAATCCGGGGAATTTTAATGGTCCGCTCGGTACAAATTAATTCGGGTGGGTGTTAATGGGATCCTTTGCATTTAAAATTAACGTGTTTATAAATTCCGAGCGATTGATATTTTTTCTCTCGCAAATATCTGGACTAAATTTCGAAAATAGAATTGTCTTCTCCTCGAGAATCGATCGTTCCTCGCTTTTTTGGGACACACTATATGTATTTTTATATTGTGCTATTCCGGGACACCCAATACAAACAAACAGTTTCTCGACGGCGGTCTCGCTGTCTGCGAGAGCTCGACGTTTCTGTGGAAGATACGCTGTAAATTACAGTTCCTAGATTTTTCCTCGCTCTATTTTTAACTCGATTAATTTTCCTGGAGGACGTTTTTCGCGCGTTCGTGCGCTCCCGAAAAAAAAAATATATCCCAGAACCGGAACAGATCCGACCCAAAATGGACGTTTCTTTGAGGGTAAATCGTCGAATCGATTTATCGGGGATATTTCGAGTGAATAATCGATTTGTTTTTCCGCTAGCAATCGAACCAGAGCCTAGGCATTATGATTATCGAAGGGAAACACGCCGAGGTGGGGCAAGGCATTTTCATATCCGATATCCAGGAGGGCAGTTCGGCGGAAAAGGTATTTTATTTCGGACAATCTGCATATACTTTGATGAGTGTATTAATAATTTTTTGTGTTTTTGTTTTAGGCTGGTCTCGAAATCGGCGAGCTCATTTTAGCTGTGAATAAGGATTCTTTAGTCGGTTCCAATTATGAAACGGTAAGTTCTTTTTTAATAACTTACAGGGTGTACCAAAAAAATAGTGTAATCGTTCGGTTTTAATGAAGAATAGTTTGTATTAGAGTTATTTTTGTTATACGAAGCCTAATTATTTTTTTTATAACGATAAAATTGATTTCGGTCTTTATCTTATCGCTGAATAAATACCTAATTAGCTAAACTCTCGGTTAGCCGGGGACCGATAACAGCACGTTCCTATGCTTATTAAAAGTAATTAGAATTGTTTCCTAACGGGTCGTGGCAGATTCGTAAGTAACTTTTCTCAAGTTTTTTTTTTCCAAAAAAAAAAATTACAAACTCTATCGATATCGACGCTCTGTTTATTTCGACGTAATTCCATTTGATCTATCGCCGGATTATTTGCTATTGAAAACGTTGCTATTTTTGTACCGCTTTTCATTTTATTCGATGCCGCGCGTTCATTTCAATTCCAGCTTTTGCATTGTGTCCAAAAGGCCGATTGTTCAATAAAAGGAGAATAACTCATCAGGCTGTAGGTGATTTATGCTCTATATTTTTTTTTTCTTTTTCAATTAAATATTAACCCTACGATTATTATGAATAGATGCATCGTCGTGCTCGACTTACACTCATCGACTGGTTAAGATTAACATTCACGCGATATCGCGTGATATTTTCTTCTATCTATGCTTGTATTAATGGTGTTTTTTGTGGTGTTTCAGGCGGCGAATTTGCTGAAGAGAACGGAGGGCCTGGTGACGCTGGTGGTGTCGAATCCCGGTAAAAAAGATAGCGCATCGTCCTCAACGCCTAACACAACGATTTCGTCCAATAACGCAATTGTAGAAACTAATAAGAATGCTCTTTCTAAACCTTCCAACCTAAAGCCCTCTGCACCGTCGTCTCGACCCACTACGCCCGTACCTGGTATGAAACAACACTTTTTTGTATTATACACATTTACTTCCTTTCGACGATGATATGATAGATTGGGAAGTTGCAGCGCAAAAAACGGCATGTTTTTATCGCACTTTTAGATCGGTATATAGGTATAAATAAATCGATAAAAGCGCACGAACGATAGGAATCCGTGCCGATAGAATTGGCATCGTTATAATATCTACAAAAAAATAATAAACTGTAATTCGCAACGTTTCAGAACCCATCGCCGATCCTCTTACATGTCAAATAAACCCCGGCAGGGAGACCACCGTGGAAGTGACGACTGAAAACAAGGGCCTCGGGTTGTTCTTCGTCGGAGGAAAGGATACTCAGATTCCGGTAAGTCGTTTACTCTTTTTTTTGCTTATCGATTATTGATCGTCTCCCTCTCACAGAACGGCGTAATCATAGTAGAAGTTTATCCGGGAGGAATGGCCGAAAAAGACGGAAGGCTCCAGCCGGGCGACAACGTCCTGGAGGTGAACGGTACGTCCTTGAAGGACGTCTCTCACACCGCCGCCTCCCAAGCTCTTCGACAAACACTGCCAAAGGTAAAGGACTTTTCCAGATCTAATCAGTACACCTCGACAAATCAAGAATTATTGCATTAAAAAGCCACAAAGTGGGCTGGATAGTGTGAACTATAAGAGGCATAAAAAAGACCTAAATTGCATATGTAGCTTAAATAGTACTTAATTGCACTATTTTTCAGATGAAAATGATCGTGTACCGACCTAGCGCGATCGAATACACGCCTATCGAAGCCGATTTAATTAAGAAGCCCGGAAAGGGACTAGGTATAAGTTTCGTAGCTAGAAAATCCGGCAAAGGGATATACGTAGCAGACATTGTAAGTAAACTATAGATAAGATTATTCGCGAACTTACAAGCAATACAATGATATTTCTATATCATAGATTAGCGGTGGTATAGCGGAATTGGACGGTAGAATAGCCAAAGGGGATCTTCTGGTGTCCGTGAACGGGCAGAGCTTGGAGAATTCCGGCGGAGACGAAGCAGGGGCCATATTAAAGACTGTATCGGGAAAGGTTTCGTTGAAACTGAACAGATACAAACCGTCGACGAGATAATTAGTAGTTTTTCTAGAAAAAAATTAATTAAGAAATTAAAAGAGCCGTTAACGAAGCGTTCGAAGAGTTGAAAATTCGATTTATGATATTTGAAAAAAAAATTTTTATGACGAATATAATGTTATATATTAGAGCTCATGATATTTTAGTAGACATGTTTGAATTAAGATGCGAGTTTTCCGAACTCCCTTTATCGCGTATAAAACTTTATGTTTTACTCGTAGACATCTAACGGGAATACCTATACCTATTTCTATATTTACAGTTTTTGATTTATGCTAGGATTAATAACGACGTAATAAAACATAAAATTTTATATCAACTTATACGAATTTTATACCTATGGGAAATGAATAATATATTCTTAACGTTACTTTGACCTACTAAAATAGAATTGTTCATATATAATTATTGTTAGATTAAAATTATAATCAAATTTTAATGCATATTATATACCTATTAATCTCGTCAATTAGAATTAATTTAATCGACTAGGGAAGAATTATTTCGTTGATCTGGAAATTTCGTTTGATCGATTTGAGTGCCTAAGCCAAGTGATTGAACGACGAAAACATGATATAATATTTTACTGTTGAAATTCTAAAATATCTATATGTTATTAAAAAAACGAATAATTCATTATTATAGAAACAAGAGGGCCATAAAAAAACTGGAATTATGCGAATAAATTTCGTTTCAGTCTTTTCACATTTGTTGCATTTATTGCATTTAAAAAACACTAGGTATACATTAATCTAGTCAAATTTACTTGTTGGATTTAAAATGGTTATCTGGAAATTATTTCACACCAAACCAATCGATTAAATCATAAATTTTAGACAATAATTATCCAAAAACTAAATACACAGTGTACATAAAGTATATTAAAGCACTTTTTGTATTCGGTGCATTATTGTTGCACAAAAATTTCAGTAAATCGCGTAGGTAACCATTTTAAACAAATAATATACAGTGCATTTATTGTTGTTACTTAATTTATCTCTATATATGTATTTAGTGAATAGTATACCTGCTTAAATTGTGATATATCTAATTATATTTCATAAAAACTCGAATTATTTCTATTTAAAAATGAAGTGTATGTCCTAACCTAGTGATTTAGTCGCTCCAATTTTAGTCCGAAGTTATTGCGGTGGTATCGCAATAATTCGGATAAAACAGAGTTAATTAGACACCCGAAACACACTGTACAATATAAATAAAAAAAGAATAGATAATTAGCGGTAAAAATTAATTTATAATTAGGAGAAAGTTCACACAGGGTTGTGTGTACCAAAATACTTTTTAGATAATACGTTTGCGATTCCTTAGATGTTAGTTTATTATATTATATTGAACAGACTGTAATAACTTGTATATAGGTACCTATACTATTGAAAAGTTCACTACATATTTACTAAATATATAGAATGTATTTTGTAAATAGCGTTATGCGATGTTGCATGCTAGAATTTTAATAAAAATTCACTTTATCTCTTGCTAAATAATTTCGTGTTATTTAAGAATTCCTCAACAAATCGTTCAAATAATTTAGGTAAATATATAAATATATTATACTTACAATTATACTGAAATATAAATAATATTAAATTAAAAAATGCAACAAAATAATTTCATCAAGTTTATTTACGAAAAATTTCATTTGGTATACACATTTCAAAAATCGCTTTGTAAAATATTTAAAATAATTTAATACAAAAAATCGATATTCTATTCAATGCACCGACAATTTACCACCATTTCAATGATTTCCGTTATAAAAAAAATAACAGTACACTCCTTTTAAAGTTGTTTACCTCATAACACTAAGTCAACCAAGTAACAAAACAACTGGAAGATTTGAAATTCGAAAAAATCTTAGTTCTCGCCTTCATCACCTTCCTCCTCCTCGTCGAATTCGCCCTCCTCTTCAGCGGTCGCGTCTTGGTACTGTTGGTACTCGGACACCAAATCGTTCATGTTGCTCTCGGCCTCAGTGAACTCCATCTCGTCCATTCCCTCGCCGGTGTACCAATGCAAGAAAGCCTTCCTTCTGAACATCGCCGTAAACTGCTCGGATATCCTCTTAAACAGCTCCTGTATGCAAGTCGAGTTACCTATAAACGTCGACGACATCTTCAAACCTCTGGGAGGAATATCACAAACGGCAGTCTTCACGTTGTTCGGTATCCATTCCACGAAGTAGCTGCTGTTCTTGTTCTGAATGTTCAACATCTGCTCGTCCACCTCCTTCATAGACATCCTGCCCCTGAAGATGGCGGCCACAGTCAGGTAGCGGCCGTGTCTCGGGTCGCAAGCGGCCATCATGTTCTTGGCGTCGAACATTTGCAATACCAATTCGGGCACGGTGAGCGCCCTGTATTGCTGGCTGCCCCTCGACGTAAGAGGCGCGAAGCCGGGCATGAAGAAGTGCAATCGCGGAAAAGGCACCATGTTTACAGCCAGCTTTCTCAAATCAGAGTTCAATTGACCGGGGAATCGTAGACAGGTAGTAACGCCGGACATCGTAGCAGATACCAAATGGTTCAAGTCTCCGTACGTAGGGGTAGTGAGCTTCAAAGTTCTAAAGCAAATGTCGTACAGGGCCTCGTTGTCTATGCAGTAGGTTTCGTCGGTGTTCTCAACCAATTGGTGTACGGACAAGGTTGCATTGTACGGTTCAACGACAGTGTCAGATACTTTAGGCGACGGTACAACCGAGAAAGTGTTCATAATCCTATCGGGGTATTCCTCGCGAATCTTCGAAATGAGCAACGTACCCAAGCCGGAACCGGTGCCGCCTCCCAGAGAGTGGGTCAACTGGAAGCCCTGCATGCAATCGCACCCTTCCGCCTCCTTTCTCACCACGTCCAAGACGGAGTCCACCAGTTCGGCGCCTTCCGTGTAGTGGCCTTTCGCCCAGTTGTTGCCGGCTCCGCTCTGGCCGAACACGAAGTTGTCGGGTCGGAATATCTGGCCGAAGGGCCCCGATCGAACCGAATCCATCGTGCCGGGCTCCAGGTCGACGAGCACGGCCCTCGGCACGTACTTGCCGCCCGTCGCTTCGTTGTAGTACACATTTATGCGTTCTAATTGTAGATCGGAATCGCCATGATAGGTTCCCGTCGGGTCTATTCCGTGCTCGTCTGAGATTACTTCCCAAAACTGAAAAAAATTCACACGGTTTCGTGTTAATAATATCGCGGGGCGAACGCTCGTATGTGAAATTAAACTTACTTTAGCTCCTATTTGATTTCCACATTGGCCCGCTTGAATATGAACAATTTCTCTCATTTTACGTTATTTTTTAAAATCTTATCTTAATAATATTATTTAAACGAATTCCTACTGTTAAGGTGATGTTTGTTTTCGTTACTAGGTGATGAAATTGTTTCAAATGCCACCCCTGTTTTCTTGCATCACGACTCATCAATTATACTCCCCAAAATAAACAATTGAACAAATAATATGTACAGTATGTTGAAAAAAAAATAAAATAAAATATAAAAAAAATTTGTAATAATCTCAAATATAGTTATTTAGGAAACAATGCAATAAAATGTAAAAAATAGGGGATATTTTATCCTAATACACCATAACAAATCAGCTGCGTCCTGTAGTACCCGTTAAACAGTGGAAATAAGGGTAACTTCTTTGCCGGTTTTCTTCAGCACCTCCAGGATTTCTTCGGCACTCAGCGATGATTTTACCTTCACTTTTTGTTCCTCTAAACTAATGTCGACTTCATCGACGCCTTTCCCCTTTAATTTGCCCAAAACTCTATCTACTGCTCCGGAACACCCCTCGCAAGTCATTTTAACGTTGAATTCGTAGACGTTGGCCATCTCGCTTCGATTTACCACTCAAAAATTGTATTTTACTATTAATACTTCGGCGAATATTTAAAATATTTAGGAGATAACTCGCCGATTTAACCAATCTTTTATCTTTTTATTTGTAATTGTAATTTAACATGGCTGACCTCCAAGTGTTACCAACTTTAACAAATGTTACTAAATTAAAAGTGCCTATTATCATATTCATAAGAGACCAAAATTTGCATAAAAAAGAAGCTCAACTTCGACAACGTCAAAATCAACTGATTGCGTGAGTATCGAAAAACAAAATTATTTTGAAAATCAAATGTGGTGGAAGGGTGTTAGTTAAAATTGTTGTAAATTAAAATGAGAATTGTCCGCAGTTTTTATGTCGTACCTAGCTAACCCCGTGTTTATGACAATTAGCAAAAAGAATATAATCAAATATTTTCATGGATATTCGAATAAATTAGGTTTTTCCAGAATGTAAGTACGCAAAGTCCTTCTACTAATGATCAAATGCTAATTAATAAAGGCCTTATCGGTACGTTCGTACGTTAATTGCCCCGGTTACATAAAATGTGCTCGTTTCTAAAATGTTTCGAAATATGTACAAGGTTTGCGGATTATATTTTTTCTTCCTTAATCTCAGAAACGTCATTTAGTTTACAAAAACATAAATTACATCACGAGTACGCTCGATTTAAAGTTCGTTTTCTCCGTTCCAGTTTGAGCATGTCAACTAATTTAAATTCGGCAACAAATATTTTCAATGGAAAAGTGGACAGATACAAAGGAATTATCATAGACTCACAAAACGAAGGCAATGTGGATTTTACGGAATTTTCCAAAAGACTCACCGGTTTACCAATCACAATATGAATTAGTTTAATAAGTTAACGCATAAATTTTGTAGATTCTCTCAAAGTTTGGTCGGATAATGAATACCGAGGCATTTGGTTTAAAGTCCATTTAAACCAATCGGACTGGGTGCCCGAATTGGCTAAAGTAAACCCACATCCGCCTAACAATACCCCGTTTAAACTTACCCAATCTGTTAACAGAACGGCTTCAAATACCACCACGCCAAAGAGGAGTACGTCATGATGTACAAATGGCTCCCGAAAACCGAAAACTGCAACATACCCCCTTTCGCTCACACCATGCTCGGCGTCGGAGCAGTAGTCACCAACGACGCCAACGAATTACTAATAGTCCAAGAAAAATACAAAATCAGCGACACGTTTCGCTACAAATTGCCGGGGGGCTATGTCGAACCAGGTACACATCCTGATATTCATTTAACAGCCTAGTATACAAACATTTCGTTTAGGCGAGAACATAGTAGACGCTGCCATAAGGGAAGTACACGAGGAAACCAACGTAATGACGGAGTTCCAGAGCGTGTTGACTCTGAGGCACACCCACGGGTCCCAGTACAATTGCTCTGACGTCTATGTAGTGGTGCATTTGAAGGCGTTGAGTAAGGAGATAACGAAATGCGAGAGGGAAATCGCCGAGGCGAGGTGGATGGGTACCGAGGAGTTTCTGAGGCATTCGGGCGTGACGCAGTTGAACAAATTTTTCGTTAGGAAGTATTTGGAATATAAGGAGAACGGTATCAAGATAAATTGCTTCCATGGGGTACACGAGATCCTGAATAAAGCGTACACGATGTATTCGGTGACTAAAAACAATAAGGACGATCACGAGAAGGATTTGGAGAATTTAAAGACCAAAATGTAGTAACTAAAATTGTAAAATTTTACTTAAAGTAAAGCGATTTTTTCACTCGGTTTTTATCTTCCTCTATAGCTTTAAATTTCTTTCGTTTATCATATCCTGGAATTAGGAGAAAAACGTTCGATTAAATCAATCGAATTATATATACTCTTAAGCAATCGAACAAAACTACACCTACCTAAAATTTTATCCTCGTTCTGTTTGTATTGTTGCACTATTTCTTCGAGAGTTTTATCAGCGTCTAGTACCAAGACGGGAATCGTGTTGAACCGTTCGTCGTCGGACATCAGCCACCTTTCGTGGCTCTCGTGAAGACCTTTCAGGTAATCCAGCGAGACAGACTTCTCTTCCGGCCGTTGTCTGGCTTTTACTCTTTCGTACACCGTTTCGGGGGAACTCCGTAAATACACTACAAAGAAATGTTATCAGATCAGCGATTGCTTTAGTCGATTTGCCGCCTACCAATTAAATCTAATGCGATATCCTCGTTGGCCCTGATCCAGCGATACCATTGATCGAGCACAGCGTAATCCGCTCCGTGCAGAAAGCCATCTCGATAGGCCTGCTCCATGAAACAGAACCGGTTGTTTTGAATGGACCTTTCGAACATTTGTACTGTCGTAGAAGGTGAAGAAGGCTTGGAGGTTTGTATGACTAATCGAGTGTACTGTACGTAATTTTGGAACACGTTCAGCCACTGGTATATGTCGGAGTACATGAGATCCAGGAGATTGTGGCCGTTTACGTTTCTCCACCATTCGAGGGGCTCCTGGAATTGTGGAAATGTAGCTGTATAGCTTTGTGTGTGGCTGTGGAGGTTCCCGTTCTTACCAAGTATGTGTCGATGCCGGGCGTTTGCTGGAAATATTTAATTAGCGTAGACTTTCCGGCTCCTATGTTACCTTCTACGGATACCCTGAAGGGTCTGTCTGTGGGGGTTTTGATGTTAGTTAGTTCTCCTAAGGGAGATAATCCTACAAAGTTTGTTTTTTTAGTAGGAGAGGGTTCCAAGCTACTTGCAGGCCTTTTTTGCCCGTTGGCATTTAACATAACGCCTTCCATTTTCGATTTTCTAAAACAATATTAGATGAATTAGTTTTCCGGTTCATCCTGTATACCTAAAATTGCACATGCAACATCATTAAAGGCATTAAAATTCAAGGTAGCGGTTTAATTGTTTTCCAGTGTATGTGATTGCCCAAATTTCGATTGTAATGGATTAATGGTTGTACAACGATAATTAAACGCAATCGAATTATCATTTGACCTGTAAAGTAAATGGACATTGGAGAGAGTTCAATTCAGGTCAAAACGGTTCGTCAGACGTGCAAAGGTGGCTGTGCAATTTTAGCAAAATATTTCTTTAGACAGCTGGATTTAATTGATATGCGGTGGTTTAGCAGTGAAATTAAGCACTTACCTACGGCCTCTGGTGAGTTTTATTAAGTTTTTCAGCAACTTACTAACATCTTTGGACATTTGCAAGCGTTAATTTTGCGCCAGAAAAGTTGTTTTGCCTCGTATATTTCTTCTTCTTTTTTTCTGACAGTTGAAATTTTAGGACCGTATATTCCGGGATGTGTGGATATAATGTTAGATTATAGTAAAAATGGATTATTCTTGAGACTTTTTTATCCTTCGGATGCTAAAAATAATAACAACGTAAGTACATATGCAAAAATCTTTATTTTCCTATAAAATAAAATCTTGCGGGATCTTTGCTTTTACGGTTATTCGGTCACTTATTTTTGACCTACTAATAGAATTACCAAATTCCTTCATATTTTTTTAGAAGAAATGGATACCGTGGATACCCAATATGCTATATCTAATAGGAATGTCTACTGTATTGAAAATAAATTATTACATTCTGCGGTTCGTACTCTGGTGGTACGGTAGGTTTTCAAATAAACAACAATTACAAAAACAATTTACTCATAATTAATTTCAGGCATTTGCCACATACCAGTTTTGTACCGAGAAAGAGCAAGAGTGGAAGAAAACATGAAATGCATAGTATTATCACACGGCTTAGGGGGCAGTAGATTTTTATATTCGAAAATATCCCTCGATTTGGCCTCGCACGGGTTTCTAGTGGCTTGTGTGGAACACAGGTTTGTTCAATTTGGCCTCTTACGTTTCGGCTAGCCAGTTACACAAACTTTTTTACATTTCAGGGATAATTCGGCCTGCCACACGTATTACTACGACAACGAGGAAAGCGCCAGGAACAACAGAAAAACTGCGATAGATTTTCGGCACATTGCCTTCGGGAAAGATCACTACGAGAAAAGAAACGAGCAAGTCCGGAACAGATCCGAAGAATGTTTGAAAACTGTCCAGTTTTTCATAGATTTAAACGACAATAAAATACCGAAAAATGCGCTGGATGATCTCGAGCGTGGCGAATTTCGCTTGCAGGATCTAGCAGGAAAAATAGACGTAGACAATTTTACTCTAATAGGACACTCCTTCGGAGCAGCCACTGTTTTATACACTGCCTCTAAACTGCCTAAAATCAAGTGAGTTTTGACATTTTTATACAGGGTGTTTCTAAGGTAAAGATGATTTCTTCCAGGCAAGCTGTACTATTAGATCCCTGGATGTTTCCCATTAAAAACGAGAATCTACACGAAACCATCGACATACCATTATTATTCATAAATACTCAAACATTCCATATTGATTCGAACGTGAAAGCCATGGATAGATTCCTATCGAAAGAAAACAGAGAAATGTACACTATAAAGTAAGCTATTTAATTAATATTTAAACAATTAATGTTTTATTTATTAAATTTTAGTGATACTACGCACGAAAATCAGACCGACTCCGTTTTCGTGTCGAGATATTGGCTGGATTTGTTTGTGAAAAAGGCCGATCCTCATTTAGCTATGGAGATTAACAATGCTTTAATTTTGAAATTTCTTCATCGTTACTCAAATACTCCGGTAGAAACAGAAAGATTCGATAGATTTTTGAAGGAAAATTCCACGTATTTCAAAGAAGGCTTGACCAAACCTTGGAAAAAATAATTATTGATAATAAAATAAAAGAAAAATAAATTATTACGAATGTTAATTGGCTTTAATTTATGCTGTGGATTATATGATGATTTTTTTAACGAATATTTGTAACAATTATAATATTTAGTATTGTATTTTAATTACCTAAATCACCATGTACTGTTTCGAATCTTTTGGCTAAATTGTACTTTCTCAAAGTAATCTCCGAGTAAAATATCAATAAACGGGTTTTATTAAAAAGATTAAAAACGATATTTCTGCTAAGAATAAATTAAATAAAGTTCCAAAACAAACCTTCACGTACTTAATAACAAAAAAAAAAGGAATACACGATATAGAATCTCCGATTTACATAGAATGCTGACCGGGCGTCATGCCCGAGCTGTGCTCCGGGCTGTGTTTCTGCTTCTTCCGCTTCTTCTCTTTCTTCCTTTTCCTCTTCTCCTCGTCGTGCCGCTTCTGTTTCTTGTGCTTCTTCTCGTGCGTTTCGCTGCTCGTATCCGATATGGCCGTCTCCTGGCTGGGCAAGCCGCTCTCTTTGTGCTTGTGCTTTTTGTGTTTGTTCTTGTGTTTCTTTATCGGCGTGGCGTTCGCGTAACGATACTGTTCGGGTAGCTAAAAATGTATTCATTATTAATCGATTCGAATTGTTACTGTGATAGTTATACGTACAGGGCCAGGGTGTAAACGAAAACCGTCCAATTGGATATTTGACAGTGGTAGTAGTTCCTTTCCACCGACCGGGGGTTTCTCGATTACTGATCTTAGGGAGCTATTGTCTTGTTGTCCCGGTGCATCTATAACCCCGGGTAACGTTGGCAAAAAGGAAGATAACTGTTCTTTCAATTTCTTTCCGCTGAATTTACTATAGGAATGTTCTAGGCCATAATATGTCATCAAATTCGTCGCTCCTGTTAAATCCGATTCTCCTGCAAATCAAATATCAAACGGTAAATTTCTATAAAGGAAATCACAAACGTAATGTTTACCAGGCGGTTCTTTCATTAAATAGAAAGGTCCACTGGGGACTATGGATGGATTCTTTCCAAGCAAAATCGTTGTTTTTAACGTTCCTGAAGAATCTTGTCGAGATACAACAGGGGACCGAGCCCCTCGTGGTGACGATTTCGGAGAATATTGTTCAACCTTTCGAAACTGATCTCCCATCATCTTTCACTTCATTGTTTTTTCGAAAACTCTCATACGAAACTCGGAAGCCATCAAACTGGAACGATAACAAACGACAAACGTCACTAATGTCAATGCCATTTGATGTTCTTCTTCTTTTTTCAATTTCAATTTAATTTTTTGCAAATTTGTTGTTTTAGTACAGATTTTTGGCCTTTAATTTGTACATTGATTAAATATAAACCAACATATATAAAAACAAATTATTATAATTGATAATATTTCTTTTTTAGGATTTTTTTTTCTTTGGAATCTGGCCTCTGTACTTGTAGGTCATATGCCACAATTCTATAAGCTGTCAAAATAGTAGTTGGATGCAAAACTAACCTGTTTTTAATTCCATATTATTTTAATATTTATCTTTTAAGTATTTCTATGCGGTTTATTTGTGTAAACTTACTAGTACTTAGAGTTAAGTTATAAATCACCAAAATCCAAAATGGAAATCACCTGTTCAAGTAAGAATTTTAGGTATTTATAAACTTGTTTCGAACTTATAATTTCAATGTTTCTTTTAAGACTTTAACGAAGCCTTACCTGAAATAGAGAAATGCATAGAGGATAGTCTATTCGTAAGCATCGACTGCGAGTTTTCCGGACTCAATACCGTTCGTAACATTAATGCCTTCGACACCCCGGAGGAATACTACAAGAAGATGAGGACGAACTCAAAGGACTTCTTAATCATGCAATACGGCCTGAGTACATTTAAGTTAGCCAGCCATACTTTAACGCGAAAAGAAACATTATAATTTCAATGATTTTTTAGATACAACGAGGAAGAAAATAACTTCAAACAGAATAGTTATAACTTCTACGTATTCAGGAGACCTGTTAATAGAAACCTGCCGGATAACAGGTTCTTGTGTCAAGCATCGAGCATTGATTTTTTAGTCAAGCATTCGTTCGATTTCAATAAATTGTTTAAAGAGGGTTTGTCGTATTTGAACGAACAAGATGCTGATAAATATAAGGAGCATATTGATCAAGCGTACAATAAAGTCGTAGAATCTATCGAGAATAAAACAGAAGTTAAATCAGATTCTGTACAAGTACCTGAAAATGCCCAATCGTTCTTGGACGATGTGAAGTAAATATCTGATGTAATTTATTTATTAGTTGTGAATTTATTTGTATTTTTTAGAGTGCAGATTAATAATTTTTTAAACGGAGACGATACGGAAATGCCACTTCCGAAATGCAATGCATTTTTTAGACGATTAGTGTATCAATTAGGAGAATCGGAATACAGGGATAAAATTTCCCTAGAAACAAGGCAAGTCGAAGGCGATCGAGTTTTGTTCGTTTCGAGATTGAAAACGCTGGAGGAAGAAAAACAAATAGCCAAGAAGAAATACGAGGAGCAGTTGAAAGAATTGGATAACTTTATCGGGTTTACTAAGGTTTTGAAATGCCTAATAAAATTTGTAAGCGCACTGCAATCATGAGTACTAATTAATAAATAAAATTCGTTTTTTTTTAGGAGAAGTTGATTGTAGGTCACAATATTTGCTTGGATTTTTTCCACACTATCGATAAGTTTTTAATACCTTCACCTGATTCTTATAGTGAATTCAAAGATATCAGCCATTCGTTGTTTCCTAAGTAGGTGTGATAAATGCTTCAAGAGTACTTTTACAAATTTTAATTTTTAGAGTACTAGATACGAAATACATGTCGAGTTGTGAACCTTTCAAGAATCTAATTTCCTCCACGATTTTGGCGCAGCTGTTGGAGAATCTCCGCAAAAAACCGTTCGAACTGCCACAAATAGGTAAATTCTGCTTCTGGAGTACCTGCTTTTTTACACAAAATTTGAATTAATACATTCAAATATTCCCAGTAATACCCTTTTTAATTGTAGAGTTTTTTAGTTATAGAAGACCCGAGTAAAGGCTATACCGTTGAGGATATTAAAGAGCATGAAGCAGGTTACGATGCTTTTATAACTGGCCTGTGCTTTTTGGGCATGTGGAAGCATTTAGGTAAAAATAGTATATTAATTTTCCACTTTGGTTGTTAATTATTCGTTTATTTTCCAGGCTTATTGGATAACAAATCAGATACAAAGACTTTTCAATCCATGAATCTCTTGGAACCTTATTTGAACAGGTTGGTAGATCTCGCAAAAAATAGTTGGCCATGGATGTCATATGTCAAATTTTCTGTCAATTGTAATAATGTACCATTTTTTAGGATATATTTGTCGGGGCTAACAGACAACCAGTGTATACTATTATCTGGCGAAGATTGTAAGTAGTTCACTACATTATTATAGTAGAGTAATATTTGTATTCCTTTTAGCACAACCATCTAGAGACCACGTATTTCACTTGACGTTCCCGAAGGAATGGAAACTGTCCAACATTCAACAGTTGTTTTCCCCTTTCGGTAACGTCTTCGTATCCTGGCTGGACGATTCTTCGGCTTACGTAGGTCTCTACAAAACCGAACAGGCAAAGGCCGCTTACGTATCGCTCAGAAACGGCGACGGATACGCTTTGAAAACGTTCGCATCGCATCGGGCCCAAACGGCGACGAATCAACTCCAAAAGAAGCGAAAAAATTCCGATCCTTCGACGCCGTGTCAAAGAAAAAAGATGGACGCTTCCGTTAAGTCTACTTCGATCGATCCTGCGAGAAATAAATTGTTCCAAGAAAGCAACAGTTGGACGTAGATTTAAGTTAATAAAAAAAAACCGCCAATTAACGCGATAAATAAGCTTTATTATAAAGTATAAATATTTCTTTAAAAAGTGAAAAGAAAAATGAAACAAACCGAACGTTCCGTTAGTTGATCGCCGATCGGCACAACGACTGTACAACAGTATCGAATTCGTTTAAATCAGACTCAAATGTTTCCAATTGCTTCGTGACGTCGAGTTCGTCCAAAGGAGACAATTCTTCGACGAACGTCTGCAAAGGCGGCGCCGCCTGCCATTCCCTATAGAACTTTCCCAGTTCGCTCTTCTCGTTCGTACTGGCAAACGGGGTTTTCTAAAACACACAAAATCTATGAGTTGAATAAAAAAAGATTGTTATAAAGGCAGTGGTTCGAGTGAGAAGGTCGCTTAATATCGAGTTTCGAACAATCGAACGCACCTATATGACAAGATTCGAGTCGATAATACAGTTTCCTGTCATTTTGACAAATGACATCTTTAAACATTTAAATTTATCGCACTAACGAAGATCGAGAGAAAAAAAATAGCAAAAACCCTTACCAAGTCAACCATAATGAAATCGTCGTTGGTCGAAACCATGGTAAGCGAATTTAGTTTGGTCGGGGGATTGTTATCGATGGCGGAATTGCCGTTCCTTTCCGGCGATTCGTTCTCGTTGTTTTCGCGGTCGGCCATGTTGTCCTCCTGCGGCCGGTCCGGACCCTTCGAGGGGTCCTTGAAGAGCCCGCTGAACGGGGTGTTCGGCACGATAAACAACGATTCGATTTTCTTCTTTTGCATGTCGGCGAACGCGCCGGTTTTCATCGTGTTGCCCAACGATTGGATTTTATCCTCGCTGAAACGAAAATTTCGAAAATCAACGATTGGAGTTTCCGGCCCATGCATAGGTGAGTTGATAATGAAATGCATTATTGTGTGTGTACGAACGAAATAGTATTTTACATTATTTCTTTTGTTACATGCTAAATTGTAATAGGTGTTTTTTTAAATGTCCCAATTTTCATAATAATAAGCATAATTTACAATGACCAGCGATAATCGATTTGTTTTTTTTTTTCGTTTCATTTTATTAGTAGGCTTGAGCTGTCAAATTAATTGTGTAAATGAAACGTCAAAGCTGTGATGTCAATCTCAAATTAATTATTTCAAAGAAATGTCAAATTTGTTTCATCTAGTTTTTTCTAGTACAGGAATTTTGTATAGAATTTATTGGCTTTACTCACATATTTATAAAGCTCGGATTCCGCATGACTCGTGTTACACACCCACGACTTGTCAATTAAAATTATCGCGTCTAATTAGATGTTACATTTTTTTATCTGGCGTACACTTTGCGATTTATTTACATACTGTTTTGCCACTCTCTACAGCTCTCAAACGATAATTTTAATCGATTAAAAAGAAAACATAAGTGCTTCGATTTATTATTTTGCTCTAATCAATTAATTTTAGCGGCGCCGAAATCGCTAAAATTAAATCGAAAAAAGTGTACACGTAAAAATTCTACTATCTCTCGTTTCTATTGCAACATTCGAATTAATCAAATATGTTTTTAATACGTTCACATATGCGAAAACAACCTTCGTAATAAAAACACCGTCGAGCAAACACTAAAATTTTCAACGTTGTTATAGGTTGAGAGAAACTTGTTTACGACGTAACGTTATCAGTAAAATTGCGTATTTCACGTTACGACAATCGAAAAATAAAAAATAAACTCTCGTAAACACGAATCCTATTTTTAAATCGATTAAAATTTCGAGATATTTTTTTTTGGGAACAGTAAGATAGTGGAAATTTCCGATCGCTATTTACATGACCTTTCGTAAAGAGGATATACAGCACAGCGTATTTGTTTTCGAGAAAGTGCTGAATGCAAAATACACGCTAATGAAAAACAACTATTTATATTCATAACAACCTTGGTTGCGCTAAAAAATCTTGACTGTGAGGTTGGTGAGGTCGGAATAGCGTTGTAAATTCAAAGGATACTTCCGGATTTCTTTAAACTAGTTCGCCTTTCTTGCAATTCCTTTAGCCGACAAAAAAACATGCAAATTATTCCGTTCGAATCGAATAGGAAACGGATGTACAATTAAAAACGCACTGTATATTATATGTTATATGATCAGCGAAATTAGGTATACGACTGGTAATTACGTAAAATTTCCTTTACATAATACGAGCTCTAAAATAAAATAAACAAATTAAATAGTTTGTTTTTCAACGGGTTTCAAAGTCCAAAATTCCGGCTTAGGTAGGACAAGAAAGGTCGAATTTACAACCAATTCGGGACAGTCCGAGTTACGTTTACACAGCGTGTCCCAATTCTAACGGAATTTTCGAAAAATCATCATCGACACAAACACAATTATTAAACACATGCTAAAATATTTCCTCTTTTAGTAAGCCGCCTTTGTTTTCGATTGTGTCGAGTCATATTAAAACGCTTTAATTCCTTAAACGGTCGAAAAATTCCCGCTCGACAATGCTTTATCTGCATGTTAAATAATAAACAAAGCGATCATCGGAATGCCCCTACCGACAACCAGAGTTCAAAAGTCGTCATTTTTATTACGAAATCTCCGTCAAACGTTTTCCAACGTAACGGCAGCGAGCTTTGCACTCGTACAGGACGTCCCAATAACGAAATTACGCGATTTTCATTCGGGTGGCTGTAGTTTCTCGCGTTATGAGGCCACAGGCCCGTATTCAGCGCTCCTTTTTAACGCCAATTAAATATTTCAAGTGTCTCTTTAACGTAAACAGTATTCTTAGTTACTCCATAACAACAATGTAAAACTGTCAAATTAAATAATGTCCCTAGTTACACCATAACAACAATGTAAAACTGTCAAGTTAAAGAAGGCATCTATGATTTAATAAAAAAAGAACGTTGAATAGGGAATCATGTATTCATACATGCGGGTTAAATTTTTAGTGATAATATTGATAATATTGGGACACCCTGTATAGTAGGAGTAACGAACCCAAGGTATGCAGAGACGCATATGATTTTTATTTATTTTAACGTATCGGGTTTATATAAGATATCCTAATTGGGTAAAGATTTCTTCTAATTACTTATTCACTAACGCCATTAGAAAGTATTTTATAATGTAGGCATATTTTTTCACAATTGCCATATTATGCAATTCAGTAGGTCAAAAATGAGATAAATTGGTAAAATACTTTCTACTTTTTTTTTGTTGCGGACATTCGATAAATCTGTGGAGGCCACCGCTTCCTGAAACCACTTACTTTTGCTTGTGCTTTCTACTTTTAGGGCTCAATTTGGCATTGAAGTGATCACTTTTGAGCATAATAGAGTTCTGGCGTCCGGTTTGCGTGGGCGATATAGTCATTTTAGTACGATAGGACACGGATAGATTCAGCGTACCGATCGGCGTGCATATCTGGCCGATTTTCACCTGGTTAAAGTCCTCGCCGAGGCAGCGCACCATCGGCTCCCCCAGGAATATCCGGTAGCAAATAACGAACGAATCGGGTCCCTGTCGGCGGGAGAGTTTGTACGCGGGCACGGCTCGCGTTATCGACACCAGGGACTTGAGCAGGGTGCCCATGCGGTTGTAGATTGTGTGCACGATTCTAGTGGTAGGATCGCATTGTTCGGGTAACATTCCCAGGCACCAGTTTTCCAACACCATATGGTCACCTTCGGTCGTACGTAAGGATATTTCGACGCACAGGGGAACGTTCGAAGAGATTATTTCACCGTTTAGCACTCGTTTAGTTTCCGCAAGCACTTCCGGTAGATCGCTGATGTTCAGGTTGAACTGGAAAACGAGAAGTTTTATAGAATCTGATTTAAACGTATTTATTGTGAGTATTTACCCAATCGGTTCCAGTCGTTTGAGCTCTACATAACGTCGATATTTTATCGCCGAGCCTCGACTGTACGATGATTTGCGTGCATTTCAACGCCAGGAATTTGGTGAATTTGTCCAATTCGCGCTTCTCCTGATTGCTCAGCTTCATTTTCGCCACATAAATGTATCCCTTTTTTCCGATTATAACGATAATAATCGCGAGCCCATTCGAGCGATTTTCATTTACCAACGCGATTCCGTTACGCCTACTTCCCGGATCGCTTCCATTTCGGTGCCCGCATTCACGTTACATTCCGAACCTTTGCAAAAAAGACGTTTGCATTTATTTTTAACTCGCATCATATACGCCTAGACGCCGCCTCTCTCGCCACGCTGCCCACTGACATAAGTGCACTACGTGTTTGTTATTTTTATTCGAACGAATGTTCAAGAAATGCGGACGAGTCGATTTCGTATCGCAGGTGAGTCGGGTCGATGTCAATTGTCATTGTCAAATGTCTTCTTCTATTTTCTAAAAAGTGGACTGAATTATTGTGATTGTTACGACTAATGTCAAATGAACATTTTCTAAAAAAAGTAAACTAATCTTTTAGTCAACATTTAGAATAATTTAATAACGTTAATACTAATAACAAAACTAAATGTACATTTTAATCCCATTTAGATTTTTTCTTTTCGAAGTGTTCGCTACCGTCATCTTTAAGGGCTCCGTAATATCCTAGTCCTTCGTATTTACTCCTCATGTACGCTATATAGCCCGCGCATCCGGCTAAAGCTACTAATCCTACAGCCATTATTGCGATATTCTAAAAAATATTATTAGTTCCTACAAAATCAACTTTGGAATTGTTTTTTACTCACAGGTTTGGCGTACAGTTCGAAATTTACCGCTCTGAATAGAGAGGTAGTTCTAAGAGATCTGAGACCATCTCCCGGTGCTGGATTCTTTTTTTCAGACATTAATTTTAAATAAATTGGAACTTGAATGTTGAAAGCTACATAATATAATTAAAAATTATAACCTCAAATTTTACCATTTTAAAACCAAATTGAAGAAAACTGTATTTCAACAACTGAAATTAAGGTATTAGCCAACAGATGGCAATCGATTGCAGAGCCATCTATCCATAGTTTTTATAAGTTACTCAGTTGTATTTACAGGTACCTAAAAAAAGCAAATAGGTAAAGATAAAAGTTAACAAAAATTGAAGACATAAAAAATGCGAAACTTCTTCTCCGTTTTTAGCTGTTTTCGAGGGAAAAATTAACGTCTTTTAGTGTCTTTATAAACTTTATAAACACATTAAACATGTTAAAGGTATAAAATAAAAAACGTTCTCTTTATTGTAATAGTTATAATAATGTATACTCACAATACACAGTATTTTTTATATGTACAAAATTTACAATATTATATAGACATCACAATGTTCCCTATATTATCATTTTTAACGCAAGCTAACCTATTACTTACAGCTAAAAATACACTGTACAGAACTGATAAACCAAAAAAAAGCTCAAACTAAACATTATATTCACATATATGTTACAGTGTAATTTAAAAAAATGATTGATTTTTTGTTATGCTACATATTTATATGTATATTTATGTCTATATGATTTTTCTTTCAATAGCCAACTACAAATCGGGTAACGTTTAATTTAATATATACAATCTTAAAGCGTTATCTTCAGCATTGAGCTGTCGCTCGGAGAAACTTAAATGAAATCTATTACCTATACCTGAATGATTTTTCTTTGCAGAAAAAAAATAATAGTTTTTCTTTCTCCTTTTGTGAAACGTAAAATTAGCCAGGTAGAGGTGCTAGAGAAACAATAGAAAACGACTTTGATATTTTCAAACAATTATAAAAAATAAATAACTAATCAGATACTATCTATAACGAATTTCGAGCGGCATCTCGATGTGAAAAAACTAAATAAAATAAAAATATTCTAAAAAAACACTTGCTTCGTTTTATACAACATCTTTGCAAATATTGCAAGGATGTCGCATAAAATTTGAACAAACCATTTACAAGATATTTACGAAAATAAAGATCTTCTAAATAAAGACATATTTCTTTTTTTATATAACTAAGTTTCAATATGAGATCTCTTAAATAGGTAGTAAGTTATTTTTAGCGTTTTTTTGTATCTTTTAATATATATTTTTGTAATAATAGTAAATAACATTTTGTCAGAAATCACAGTGAAATATTTTTTAAGTATATTTTTAAAATCGTTTAAGGGACAATAATCTCTCCTCCTCGACCTCGAGGAGGGACCAGAGAAGCTTCGCGAAGAAGGCCTTCTTCCATCGGGAATTTTACCATCAAATCAAAAGGTCGTATATTCTCGCAAAAAGTCGCGTAGAAAAGATCATACCGTGGTTATCACTATGAGAAGATGCGCTATGTCCGCCACCCTCTCCAGAAGACTAGGAGCGATCCGTCTCAGGTTCTCGTTGACGAAGTCGCAGGACGGGAAAATGTGTACGACGTAAGCAGGCTGTACGTATAAAAATACACAATAATTATTCATCTCTACATCTAATTTTATGTTACTATTTGCAAGGTAGAAAGAGGACACTTACCGGGTGTGTGGTACCGGGTTCGGCGACGTTGACGATACCCGCAGCCTGTTTCTTTTGCAAATAAGTTATGAAACCGTTCGTCAAATTCGTGGATTGTTTAAGTACGTCCATGTGATCGTGGCCGCACGGCAAGGCCAATAACACACAATGTTCGTTTTCCATCTACAAAATACAACACAACAATCAAGCATTATACATAATCGTAATTTACATTACAGAATGATGAGATTATCGAGTAAGGTACAAAGTTTTACCCTACAGTTAATAAGAAATACTCGCCTGCATCTTCCTCGCTACCCCTTCGACTTGCGGCGGCTCCAGCCTCATCCTTTGGAACATCCTTAGAGGCGGCGTGGACCCGTCAATGTTAACGGGCAAACTGGACTTTGCCACTTGATCGTTACCGGACACCAAGTACATTTGAACCGCCGCCTGGTCGTTCTTCAAAGCCAGCAGACCTTGCCACATGCAAGGGTAATGCTAAAAAGAGCGAAACAAAACGAGCGTTTAACAAACGAGTACAAGGCACGTTAATACATCAGTATTTTGAAAATATAGTAAAAGAGTTAGTACCTTCAACAGCATGAGGAGGCTCTCCGCCTGGGCGGGCACCTGGCTGGCGTGGGGCGGCGTCGCCACCTGCAGGCCGCGTTGGCTGGCGGGCGCGTCGGCGCCGACGTGCCTGGCGACGGCGCCCATCAGATTGCCGGCGGCGCCGAGGCCGGCGCCCATGTGGCCCTGCGACATCGGCCGGTCCATGTGCGCCGTGAGGATGCGATCGGACGGGCCCATGTGGGCGTTGAGGCCGCCCAACGGGCGATCGGCGGTGCCGATGGGCGGCATGTGTGCCATGCCCCTGTCGCCGCCGAGCGCCGACAACAGGCCGCCGTAGCCGGTGACGGGGCGGCTGCTGTGCGCCGGCGGCGGCTCTTGGTACCGGTGGTACGGCGGTATTCGGGCCGGGCTGTGGATGTTGTACATTTGGCTGATTTGCGGCGAGTCTGTGTGGAAATAACGGAGGTAAGTATGTAGTATATTTTAAATACAACAATAGGGTGTATTAAACACAATATAATATTTATTAAATGCATACCGGTTGTTCTGTCGTGAGGTGAATGCAGACTGTGTTGTACGGCGGCGCTTCTGCTAGTAAGAGGTAATCCCACTGATCCGGGTCGTCTCAGTTCCAACGGGGGCGATGTCACTGGAGCTTCTTCTCCTTCCTGTCCGTCGCCTATGACTTTCTCCATGCCACCGGATCTTTAAAATTTAATAATTTTTTAATTCCCGTTTTAATCGAGATACTAGAAAGGGGTGCTTTCTTATAATTTTTTTTGGCCTCTTGTCGCGAGTATCTGAAGTTTTATGAATGCGTTACCTGGAATAATGTTGTAATTGCTGTTGCCTCAAGTACTGCTGGTACTGCATGACGTGCGTTGGGTGCATGTAGTGCGATGGGTTGAGCTCCGGCGGCGGTCGTAGCGGTCCTGGTGGATAGTGCGCGATCGCTTCGCCCTAAAAAAACCAACGAGTTAGGTTGAATCTATTTGGTCCAATGTAAAGGAGACGTAAAATTCAGAAGAGCTCGTTTTTAGGAGAAGAAATGTGAAAAAAAAAAGGATCAGTCACCTTCGGAGACGGCGAATTTTGGTGAGCCGGCGGCGGGCTCCGACTTCTATTCAAAAAACCCCTCTCTCCGTGCTGCGTGTTAGTTAGAAGACAATACAAAAATCAATCGGTTAGACTCGGTTAAATAAAAAAAAAATCTAGGAAATCTCGCCGAAAAACAAAAAACCGGACTTACCAAGCTGGGTTCGTAGCCGGGCATCGGCAAGCCCGTCTGTCCGACGATCCTCTGCGGCGACAACTTGCTCCGTTGGGCCATGACGACGTTGCCCATCGACACGTCCACCTTGGGCGGCTCCATGACGGTTTTGGCGGCGGCCGGGACGGGCGAGGCGTCGCGCGCCAACCTGATGGGCGCGTGGGAGGCGGTCGGACACGCCGCCGCCGGCACCCCGCCGCCCATCATCTGCTGCAACGGCTTCATCGCGATTTTGGCCGCCTTCGGCGGCGGCTGGTGTTGCTTCATGTGCGCCATGTGATTGTTGATCATCTGTGGCGGTTGCGAGGCGATGATGTGCACCACTTTCGGAGGTTGTTGCTGTTGTTGGTGGTGTTGGTGTTGTTGTTGTTGCTGTTGATGGTCTCTACCGGTTTGGATGATTTGTTGGAGTTGTTGTTGTTTGTGTATGGGAGACAAGGCGGGCGTTTTTACAGCTTTAGGTTTGTTTAGAGGCGATAAATGCGGCGATGGCGGCAGATTCACGTTCAAATTCGTGTTGATCGACAGATGTTGGCTGATGGGAGTGATGGTTTTCGTGATGGCGATCGGCGTCGCGGCCTTGGAAGCTACAATAGGCGTTATGGATTTGGTGATGACCATAGGAAGCGGCGTCGATTGTTGTTGATTGACGATCGCCTGGGCCGCCTGCGACGATAGAACGTGAGCCTTTAGGCTTTGCGGTTTAGGCTGTTGCACGACGGTCAGTTGTTGCGGTTTCGTGATGACGCTCGGTTGGGATTTCGCCGGGATCTCCGGGTGATCTTTGATCGGTTTCTTGACGGGCGTCGCGTCGGCGACGGTGCCGGGGAGCGGTACGTATTTGCCTTCGCCGCTCTCGCGCATCGGTATCAATTCGCCGGTGACGGGATCGATGAGATTCGTCGGTTCGTTGGGATTCCGGTTGGCGATCATTTCGCCTTTGATGCGTCGCAAAACGGCCGCCTTCAGGCCTTCGTGCGGTTTCTCTTTCACCGACGGTTCGATCGGCGGTTCTTTTTTCTCGACGATCGGCTCTTCTAGTTTGGGCGGCGGCGGCGGCTGCTGCGGTTGCGGTGGCGGCGTTTTCGCTTCCTCTTTGACGGTTTCCTCGGACGACGAGTTATCGGCCGCTTCGGAACCGCGTCGACCTTTCCTACCTCTAGGCGATTTCCTGGGTGTCGCGTCCGAATGAGGCGGGCTCAGCTTGGTGGGGTTGTTGGTATGTCGAAGGGCGGCGGCGGCCGCGGCGGCAGCGGCTGCGGCTCGTCGTTGCGTGGCCGAAGAGGCACGCGTTTGTACCGTATTCTTGACGACGTCCTCGATGGTATCATCCACATTGTTTTTGGATATATCGCGCTCCTGCAACCTCCTGGATTTTCTCGTATTTGTGGCCGACGGCGAGGCGAATTCCTCCTTGTCTTTTTCTTTCTCTACCGGTTGCTGTTGCTGCTGTTGTTGTTGTTGTTGTGGTTGTTGCGGTTGCGTTTGCGGTTGTTGTTTGTTAGGTGAAATTTCCTTATCGGCGCTGCCGGAGATTTCTTTAGCTCCGTCTTTGGTCACTTCCTTGATACTCGCCGTTGTAGTGGCGTTGTGACTGGCTACAGCGGGCGATTTGATCGTCAATATCAACCTGGGCCGTTGTTCTTTGTTGTTGGAATTCGAATTACCGTCGTCGGATTCGTCGCGGAATTCGTACACGTCCGTAGCGGCGGTCGCGGCGGCGGCGGTGACGGCGGGCGCCGCGTCCGCTTCGGATTTCGATGTTTTTCTTTCGCCGCGCCCCTTGCCGCCGCGACCGCGTTTAGACGGCGGCTGGGGCGGCGGTTGCTGGGCGGTTTCCTTGAGTTTGCCGCGTCTGGTTTGTATACCGGCCGCCGGCGCGGTCGTCCTGGAAGGCGGCGTTTTGCCGCCTCTGCCGCGACCTCGGCCGCCTCGACGGCTGCTCGAGCGCAACGTCGGCGGTTCCCTGGCGTTGGAGTCTTCGTTGGTTTCGGGCTCGGCCGAATCGTCGGCGATTTCTTCGGATTCGTCGCTTTTGGGTTCCGGATCGGCGTGTTTGTCGACGACGGCGTCGTCTTCGACGGGTTTGTCATCTACTTCGGGCGGTCTAGGAGGTGATGTTGTTGTTGGTGGTGGTGGCGGTGGTGGTGGAGGCGGTACGGGTGTAGGCGGTGCGGGCGTAGGCGATTTCGATTCGTCGGGTTTTCGATCGTCGAACCAATCGGTTTTTTCTACGCAACGTTCGGATTCGTCAGGTGAAACTAGCGTTTTGATTACGGAATCTATAGTACCTTTTTGTAGCCAATAATCACTCTCTTCTTTGGCCTCCTTCTCATCCGACGTCTCATTGACTAGAATATCTTTGACGGCTTCTAATTCACGCGGCGGTTTTTCCTCTTCACTCACCGCCTTATCACCATCCTCGCGTACAACAGTATCGCCTTCTTCTTGTCGCTTCACGTCCGCTTTCTCTTCCTTTACATCGACGATATCTTCGGATTTCACCTCGACATCGGGCGAGGATTTCTCCAAAGTCATGTTCAGCTCGTCGGTGACGGCTTCTATGGCCAATTTCGTCGGCCTCTCCGCCGCCTCTGTTTTCACTTTTACTTCCGCCTCCGCTTTGACCGCTTCGCCCGCAACGGACACGATCACCGACACCGGGGACTTGGGAGTCTCCAACTTCATCACTTCCACGGGTTTCTGCACCGTGCTCGGTACGCTGACTTGCACCGCGGGCGGTTTCTCGACGGTTTGAGCGACGACGATCGGTTCTTTGGGCACCAGCGGAGGCGGCGCCGACGCGTTATCTTGCAAATTTGCGTAGCAAGGTAAATTGCCGGCGAAGTTGAAAGCATTCCTGGACGGTACGAGCAAACCTTGGGGCGGAACGTGCCGCGTTAGTTTATTGTTCGGCGGATAATTGGCGAACTGCGGCGGTTGGTAGAGCGTCCGCGGCCTCTCCTGATAAGCCGTTATCAATTTGGGCGGTTCCAAATTGAGGGCGGGCTTGGATTGTTGCAGTATTACGGTGGTGGCTTGTAGGGGTTTTTGTACCATTACGGAAGCGATGGGCAGCCTGTTGTGGGTCCTTGAAGGTTCTAGGATCTTGCCGGTTTGTACCGGAGAACGGGCCGGTAGGTTGTGTAGTTGCGGAGGTGGCGGCGGCGGCGGCGTTTGTGTTTGCTGTACTATAGAAATTTTATTGACCATGTCGCCGGTTGTAGTGTTAGTAAGAGGCTTCAACGGTGGATACGATGGCTCGATTGTCGCATTGTTGCTCGGTTCTAATTTAATGACGGATTTGTTGAAAGGCGGTAAAGTATCCGGTAATACCGGTAAATCGCGCTTCTCCACCTCCGCGGGTTTTCTGATAGGAGTCAACGAAGGCGGGCTACCGATGCCCGTACTAGTGGTGGTTGTGGTGGTTGTTATAACGGTGGTTTTCAAAGCTGCCAACGGCGGGTGTTTGTCGTCGAAATAGGGCGGCAAATCGGGCGTTTTGGGCAACCGCTGGTACTCGACCGGCTCGGGCGGCGTCTTGGGCGTTTGCTGGTAGCGCACCGCCGGCGTCGGCGGTGGCGGTGGCTGCACCGGCTCGTCCGCCTCCTCGGTATCGGTGTCGATTTGCAGATCGTGCTCGCTCTGCGGCGTGTCCGGCTTGGCGTCGGAATCGCCGGCCGAGGCGGCGGCGGCCGCCGTGGCGGCGCTCAGGCTCCTGACCGCCCGGCGCATCTCCTCGTCGTCTTGGACGTTGGGTTCGTCGGCGAGCGCCGCCGACGGTTCCTCCTCGTCGACGACGTCGTCGTGATCGTAGAACTCCGACGTTTCGCCGCCACCGAAGCTTTCGCCCAGGAGGGCGGCGACGGCGTCTTCGGTCTCTTCTTGTGATATCACAGCGCGGGGTTTCTCCTCCGGGACGTCGGCCACCGTTTCTCGTTCGATTCTAATCGAGTCCTTGTCGTCGAATTGCTGCTGCTGTTGTTGCTGTGGCGGCGGCGGCGGCGGAGGAGGCGGTGGTAGCGGCGGCGGCTCAGGAGCTACGATAGGCGTCTGTAGGATTTGTTTGTGCGGCAGCGGCGGCGCTTCGTCTACCAGGAGATCCGGTAGGCTTTGATTGGTTTGCTGCTGGGCGATTTCTTTCGCGTCCGGTTTCCTATCAGTTTCCGTTTTGCATTTGGTCTTGTCGTGATGGTGATTGTGGTGTTTGCTGCTCCTTTCGTCTTTGCTCTTTTTTCGTTTCTTTTTCTTCTCTTTGACGTCGCGCTTGTCGTCTCGTTTCGTTTCGACGGCGTCGGGGAAGTCCGGCCGATCGTCGACGACGGCGACGACTTCGGCGGGTTTCTCGGGCGTCGGCGTCGTTTGGAAGACGTCGCCGTCGTCTCTGAGCATGTTCGCCTCCAGCTGTTTGCCCATGCAAATGTAATCCATGCTGTTGTCGTTCAATTCGGAATCAATGGTCGCCGTGGATGCGGCCGCGGCCGCGACGACCGCCGCTTGTAGACGTCGTTCTTTCTCGCGACGTTTCTTCTCTTTCTTACGCTTGTGCTCCTCCTTTTCTTTGTCTCGCTCGCTCTTTTCTTTAGGTTTGTTGTCGTGTTCCTTATCGAGCGATTGGTGTGATTGGTGCGATTGGTGAGATTGGTGGGATTGATGCGATTGGGGCGATTCGTTTTCGATTAAATCCGGTTGTTGAGGAGTTTCTTTGCTATTCGTACCGGTCTCGGAATCCTCCGATAACGAACCGAATATATTCTCCATTTTGTCCTCTCTTTTGACGACGGCGTCCATTTTACCGACCAATTTGCTCCTCTTCGAGGATTTTTTCGATTTATCCTTGTCCCTGTTCTTATCGCGTCGTTTCTCCTTCTTGCCGTGCTCCTTCTTCTTCTCCGATTTGCATTCGGACGTCGTCGAATTGTTGTCGACCGATTCCTCTTCGTACTTTTGCTTCTTCTGCTTCTTCTTGTGCTTCTTTTCCCGTCGTTCTTTGTCCCTTTTGGCGGTTTCCTCGTCGGTCGTGACGTCCGTATAGGTCGCGTGTTTGTTGTTGTATTTCTCGGCGGCGAATAGCGAGCTGTTCATTTCGCCGTCTTGGTGTTGCTTGCTGTTGCGCCTCTCCTTCTTGATCTTCACCAATTCCTCTTTGATTTTGAACAGGTGTTGGGACGGTTTGTCTTCGATCGCATTGCAAACCTGCACCTCGGACGCGGTGGTTGCGTTGGCGTTGATCGAAGGGGCATCATCGAACAGTTCTTTTTGTACTTGGAGTTTCTTCTTGTTGCGCTCGTCGTCGGAGGTGTCGCTCGTTATGCGCGGTTTGAGCGTCCTCAGGAAGCTGCTCTTCCTCAGGATTTCGTCCTCGCTGGACTCGATTTTCCCGCTGATGGAGTGCTTGTTGTAGACGGCCGACGAGTCGGAATCGGTGTAAATCTCCTTCTTTTTGACGGAGGTGGATTTCCTGTCGTCGTCGTCGTCTTCGTCCGAACTGTCCAACAGCAACTTGAGACACCTTTTCGACACTTTGACGTCTTTGTCGCTGTCGGAGTCCTCGTCCCACGACGTCGAGCGTTTCTTCTCCTCGCGCTTGGCGCGGCTCTGCTTCAGCTTGGTGAACTTCTCTTTGAGCTTCTCCTGGCGCTTTTCCTCCTCTTGCTTGGCCATGTTCTTGCAGCTGCGCGCTTTCACCTTGTCGTACATGGAGATGTAGGCGGGTTCGTCGTCGACGATGTCGAATATGGAATGTTTCTTGGGCTCGTCGGAGTCGCTATCCGACGTTAATTTTCGAATGCGATGTTCGCGTTGCAAGTGCTGCTGATTTTGTTGTTGTTGTTGTTGCTGTTGTAGTGGCTGCTGTTGCTGTTGTTGTTGTTGTTGTTTCTTTTTCTCTTCGTGTTCGGAACGCATCCGATTGATTTTTTCGATGGCTAGAGCGTGCGCCAGTTTGTCCTTTTTCTGCTTATCCTGGTGCAGTATATCGTCGCGTTTCTCCTTGTCCTTGCGGTGTTGTTTGTCGCCGTCTTCGACGGATTTCAGTTCTAAACGATTGAGGAATTCTCGATCGGTGAGCGATTCTTTCTCTCTGCTTTTGCTCTTGGATTTCTGTTTTTCTAATTTGTGTTTTTTGTGGCGCTCTTCGCGTTCTCTGCGCTTCTCCTCCGACACGTACTTGTCGTATTTGTTTAAAACGACGTTGTTTTTGTGTTTGCTGCTGCTCTTTAAACGATCTTCCGATCTCGTGCTATCTTTGGAGTCCCTTCGTTCGTTCAGTTTCTTATTGTAATCATGCGACAATTTGGCTTTCTTCGTCGAATCGTCGTTGATTTCGACGGTTTCGTGTGAACTATAGCGTCGTTTGGAACCGATGTTAGCGGGTAAACTGTTGTTGCGCTCTTTCCGTTTGGACGGATCGTGTTTGTCATGGGATTTCGAATCGATCGACATGTGCCTGGATTCGATGACGTCGCGCGCCTTTTCGCTCTTGTGTTTTTCGTGTACGTTGTTGTCCCGGTTCTCTTTGATGCTCTCCTTTCGGCGCTCCGACTCTCTGTCGATGTGCGTCGTTTTGTTGCGGGATTCGTGTGCCTCCTTGGCGTTCGTCAATTGATTCGACTCTCTGCTGCCTAGTTTATCGTCTTTGGACGGTCGATTCTGGTCTAGGGAATTGTGGGATTCCCTGTGTTTGTTGTGGTCGTCTTTCTTTCTATCGTGATTGTCTTCTTTGTGCTTGACGAGCCGCTCTTTGTCGTCTTTGTGGTGGATTCTGTTGTGGTCGTCGCGTTCTTTCTTCTCGCGTTCGTGTTTCTCTTTCTCCAAGCGGGTTTTCTCTTGTTCTTCCCTCAATCGTTTGTCGATCTCCTCTTTTTCCTTGCGTTCCTGCTCCAATTTTTCCGCTTTTTCCTTCATTTCTAACGCCTCCTTTTCCCTTTGGGCTTTCTTTACATTCTCCGCTTCTATCCTCGACCGTTCCCTTTCGATTTTCTCCTTCTGCTTCTCCAACAATTCGTTCTCTTTGTCCACGCGCACTTTCTCCTGTTCGCATTTCTCCTTCTCCAGTTTTTCGTGTTCGATTTTCGCCCGCTCCCGCTTCCTCTCTTCGCTTTGGGCCCGTTCCTTTCGACTCTGATCGGCGTCGTGGTCCGATCTTCGAGCGCTCGTATCACTGTTCCTTCTGATTTTGACGTCCGCGCGCGGGGAACTACCGCTACCGCTACCGTTACCACTACCACCACTTCCACTGCCACCGCACTCCCTACGCGACGACGGCACTTTACCGATTTTCTCGATTTTCTCGCTAATTTTCGCGCACGCTAGGCTAGGTTTATTTACAATCATTTTGCTACAAGTTCTCGCGTCACTCGGCACGCTCGGGCACGGTTTCAGTCTATTATCACCATGTGAGGCGCCTCGTGAACTCGACGAAGACGACGACGACGACGACATCGTAGACGCGGACGACGCCGAAGAGGACGTCGCTGCGGTCGCCGCGGTGACGGTGGTGAGGGCCGTCGCGACGCTCGCCGAACCGGCGGCCGCGACCGTCGACGGCGGCAGCTGCGTCGCGGTGATAGGCGACGGCGACGACGACGGCGACGATGACGACATCAGAAGATTCGGAGGGTGCGTCGGAAACGGATATTGGAGACCTTTCGCTGCTTGGATACCTGCAAATTACGATGATTTTAAGTATGACTAGTGTTGATGAATAGAAAGATTGATCTTGGATCACTTACCGGTGGATCTCGGCGATAAGACGGTAGGCGTCTTGGGCAAGGGCGGCACGTTGGTAGTGTTAATCTTCAAAGCCGACAACGGTAGAGATGTAGGAATAGAAGAAGAAGAAGTAACAACGGCGGGAAGTTGCGCGACGCGTTGAAATGCAGCAAACTCCTTGGGTTCGTACTTCTCGCCGACGTTCTCCAATCGCTTGAGATCGTCGTCGAACACCGACCGCTTGGCCATCACCGATTTGACGATGTCCGACGGCTGGGCCTCCTTGAAATCGAGCATCTTGTGCCTCTGCCGGAACTTTTCGATGTTGGCGTCGAGCAGGGCGAGCGCGTCGCCGCCGGCGGCGCTCAGCGCCCTCGAACCCGACCACTTCTCGTACTTCTCGTCCAACGATTTGATGCGCTCGTCCAGCGACGGGCTCGGCGGCGTCGCCGCGTCGCTGTCGCTCGAATTCGAACTGAGGCTGGGCGGACGCGGCGGCGGCGACGCCGGCGGCGGCACGTGCACCGGGCTCGGCGGCCGCGGCGCGCTCGATATCCGCGGACTCGTCACCGCCGGCGGTGGACTAGATAGGACGTTGTCTTTTTGACCTTTTATACCCGCCACGGATACAGGACCTGTTACGATAAATAAATAAACTTAGGTTAATTTATACGCTTACAAAATCATAGATGCGATCGTAGATACATGCGTCTAGATCTCGTACCTCTGTTGATGATTTGCGAGGCGAACCTGGGCAGCGGCAACGTGAGCGGCCCCTCCCTTTCTCTGGGCACCCTGCGTGGTTCACTGGGCGGGAAGTTCTCGGGCCGTTCGTCGCAGAGCGGCGTGCCGGGTCGCGAGCCGCCGACGCTCTCCGAGCCCGAGTGATCGTAGTGGTGCAACTTGGTGCCGGCGTTCGAATCGCTGCCGGCCGTTTTCCGCCGTTTGCACACCGAATGCGGCACGTAGACGACGTCGTGCCGGACGTGCTTGCTCGATTCCATCGACGGCCGTCGGGAGTGGTGTTTCAAATTCACGTCGGACAATCGCCGGACTTCCATCACCTGTCGCAAACGCATTTTTAGTTAGGTGCACTAGGCGCAACGCTGATGGCGAATTCGTACCTTTCTGTGGTCCCTGTTGGCCTCGATGATGACGTCGCTGGTGATGACGGTGTCGAGCAGTTCCAGTTTCATGCGTTTCTTGGGGCTGATGAGCTCGTCGCCGGAGCTGGGGCATTCTTCGAGCTGCTCGAGCAGATGGACTCGCTCCTTTTGAAGGTTCCGCATGTCGGGCGGGGCGAACGGGACGTTTTCTATAGCTGAAACGAATGGTTTTACTTCCGTTAATTACACTTACAGTAATAAATCATTACGAACGTATACAGAGCGAGGCGAACAAATTTCGGAAATTCAAAGTATTTAACCGTGCTTTTGGCAAATATTTTGCACGGACGAGAGCGACCTTGTAAACGGATTGAAGCCGAATTTAATCATTTCGGGAATGTTATGATACATCTATTGTTTCGATAATCGACGATTATGCAATTATAATTACGCCTACGATAATTTACTGTTAATGAAATTAAAATAATAAAAAAAAAACGATCGTCACTCGCCGCATTCCGCCGCATCGAGAAACGTGAATCACTCTCTCGATAATCGAAATGGCTTTTTTTATTACACTATTATTATTATTAGCTTTAATTAACCCCGGATAAAATTCTAATGGCGGCGACGCAGAAATTCAAAACAAATGTTTCAGATCACGTTTTGACGAGGAAAGGATTTTTATCTAAATTAGAACGATTTCCGTCTAGCGGGGATCCAACGAAATCTATCAAAACTCGAACAAATCGAGATCGTTTTAGACCGGACCTCCCGAAGAAGACCATCGAGGACCCGGGGGACGCAACGGACGCGCAAAAATTGACATTAAACCCTCCGTACTTTGTAAGGGATCGCCGGCGTCGTGGCCGAATCCGTAGTCGTGCTCGTAGAGGTCCTCGTGCGACGCCGTCGAGCTCTGGCTGTACTCGTCGTAGCTGCGAAAGTGCCGCTCCGCGTACTCGAGCGGCTGATCGTAGTAGTCGGGGAAGCGGCGCAGCGTCCGGGCGCCGACGCCGACGACGCCGGCCGCCGCGGCCACGCCGACCGAAACGCGCGGCGCCGCCGACGCCGGCGCGCCCGGCGATTGCAGCGACCCCGTCTGGCCGGCCGACGCGTTCGATCTGCTGCTGTACGACGACGTTCGAGGCCGCGTCGTCGTCGTGTCGTATCTGCAACAAGAATATAAAAATAAACAGATAATTTAACAAATGCTTAATAAGTCGTATTTATAAAAAGAAGCATTACATTTTGCTTTCAAAAAAAATGAAGGAATTGCTTCAAGGTACATGCATAAAAAGAGAAGTTTTGCTTCGAGAACACTGCTGTTGCTTTATAGCAAAAGGTTTTATGGTTTTAAAACCTTTGTTTGAAGTTTTTAAAACCTTTTTCTCTTACTTTTTGCTTCTATCTTTTACTTTAAAGTATAAATGTGGACTATTGTTGGTAATTGTAGAACTATTGTTGGTTCAAAAAGGGTATTTTTGGATTAATGTTTGGTTACCTTGAATATCTAGGTGTGGTGATATCGAAGGTCCTATTGATGGGTTCCCTTCGTTCGTCGAAAGTCGTCCTGTCGAGGACGGCGCCCTGTTTTTCTAATCTTTCGAAGAACGATTCCTGGCACTCCCGGCTGGCGAAGTCCACTTGGATTTTGGTGTTTTTCAACGTGAATCCGCGCATTTTCGCGACGGCCGTTTGGGCGCTCATCACTTGCTCGTAGAATACGAGCGCTTGTCCCTTATCGCGATCTATGTGCAATTTATCTGGAAAGAAATAAAAAGTTTGTTTGTGGATCTAATTGGAAGAAAAGAATAAATAGACTTACTTATAACGCCGAAAGGTTCAAACTGCATTTTCAGGTACTTGTCGTTAACGCTGTCGTTGATGCCGTCGATCCAGACGCAATTATACGGCATCGATTTGCCGAAACCTAATTTAATTCGATTATTACCTAAATGTTCACCGTCCATCTTCCGTATGGCCTTGACAACACTCACGATATCCGAGTACTGGCAAAACGCGTACGAACTCACAGCCCCTTGTTTCTTGATATCGATCTCGATGATTTCACCGAATTGATCGAAGTGCTTCCGCAGCTCCGACGCCGTCACGTCCTTCTCCAGATTACCGATGAACAACGTCCTGGTGGCCTTCGGATGGTACTCGTCGATGTCGCACTCGTACGGCCTCAGATCGTTGTCTTCGACGTCGCACCCCTGGTAGGCGGCCACCTCGATCTTACAGCCGAAGAACAACTTGTCGTAGCTCACTTCGAGCGCCTTCTCGGCGTCCTCGGGCTTCTTGAAGCAGACCACCGCATGGCGATCGGCGTCCTTGCCGACCACCTTCACCCACGTCACCTTGCCGTGCTTCTTGTACTCGTGGAAGAGGCCGTCCTTGAGGGACGTGTCCGACGACCGGGCCGGCAGGTTCTTCACGCAGATGGCGAGGGGCCGGCGATCGTCGGTGTGCACCACCGGCGGCTGGTGATTGGAATTCGAGGCGGCGCTGCTGTTCGACGTCAAACGCTTCGATTTCGGCGAGCCCGTGGAGCTGGTGTCGCGCGACATCGACGAACTCGACGAGCTGCTGCTGCTCCTCGATCGAGACCTGCCGATTAATTTACACGCAAATTATTACAACGGTAATTTTGTCGCAATCATTAGAGACTCGTAGTCTAGGTCTAAAAACCTTCCGAAGGTGCCTTTTTTCATCTTCTACGAATCTATAATAACGCCGGTTTAGTACCTTGAAGGTGACCTGGTGCTGGCGCTAACCGAAGGCGACGGCGACCTCGAACCGGACCGGCTGTTCGCCGTCTTCTTCTTGGCGGCGGCGGCGGCGCCGACGGCGGCGTTCTGGTTGCATTCCGACGGCGTCGCGGCGTACCCCGCGTCCGTCTGGTTGGCGGCAGCGGCGGCGGCGTAACGGTCGTAGCCCCAGCTGGAGCGGCGCGCCTCCGAGGCGACGGCGCCCGCCGCCCCGCCGTACTGGCCGTTCCTGTAGCCGCCCGGCAGGTCGGCGGAGGAGGCGGCGCTGGGGCCGGCGCCGACGAGGCGGGAAGTCGCCGTCGGGCGGTCGTAGAAGCAGCGATCGACGAACGGGCCGGCGCCGTGGTCATCCGATGACCTGGGGGACGAGAGAATCGATATTAGATTGGTTAGATTACTAGTAGATTTTGTAGAAGGAACTGTTCGGGAACAGGTGGAGGATATCTGTAGGATCTAGAAGACTTTGAGAACATGGAAGATGTCGAAGATATGCAAGACCTGGAGGAATTGGAAAGTTAACTGGTTTTTTACTTACAATTTTCGAAATAATTCGCAATTTCCTTATCGAATTGTAGCGACCAAATATGTAGATAACAAATAAAATAATAAATCAATAGCGTACTCGTACACATCGATTATCCGGCCACCCGTTTTGTAAAGGCCTATCGAGATTTCGTCGATTTGCGGCGATTAATAAATTCCTGTTCTTTTTGAAATTTTTTCCCTCCTCCTCGCTCCTACTCTGCTCGTTTTGACTCACCGGCCGTCGTCACGAAATTATCCGCATAACTGACGAACGGGCGTGAGTCAAAATGGAAAAATCGCCGATTGATTTGGAATTCGAACGATCGGAATAATCGATATTTCGACGTGCAAACGAAAAACACAAAGATATTTTTTTTATTATCTTTTATTTTTTTTTGTCGCCTCCTTACGATTCGAGAATAGCGGGATGGGAGATGAGAAAAAGCGCATTTTTCCGCGATTAGTGGAAAATCGCAATTTAAATGCATGGAATCGTTGCGACTAAATGGAATGCAATTCGTAAATGCCGATGCATTCGAAATGGGGGGAAAAAATCGAAATTTCGAGCCGCAAACAAACAATTACTTGTATATACAGGGTGATTATAATGTATCTACTATTTCTCGAGCATCTGGAACAGTAAGTTGATGAATAAAACGTCATCATGTACCAACTCAACGACCTGGGGGATTATTTGAATAAAAGAACCGTCGAAGAAGATGTCTTGGGGAAACATGAGGGATCCTCAAAGGAATCTTTTAGGTTTGTTTCTAATGTAAATTTATAGTGATAGGACCTGGGGAATGATAAAAAAAAAGTCATATATGAGAACGTACCCGTGACCGTTGGGATACCTGGCGATGGAGCCCGGCGACGTGGCGTAGGGCGACGGCTGGCTGTTCTGCGGAGACGCAGCGGCGGCGACGACGGAGGCGGACGCCGCCGCCGCCGTCGCGGGGGACGGAATGGCGGCCGGTTCGTAATACTCGGTGTTAAGCGTCCTGTCGTCTATCTTGAGCTCGGCGTTGTGCGCCTTGGACGCACTTTTGATGTCCATGAACGCCACCGTGCACGCCACCGTGACCTCGCCCCCCGGCGCCTTCTCCTCGCCGCACCTGGGCAACAATTTGACGCTTTGCACGCGGCCATACCTGCAATGGAAACCGACAAAAATATCATCAACCCCGTATATATCGAAGATTCTATCTAAACTTTGGGGCGTTTAGTATTGGCAACACCGAGTGAAAAAATCTCGGTGTACGTGAGTTAGACAAAGAAACGTCTCGTTACAATGGATTAGAGGTGGACGAAACCGTTATTTTGTAACTAATAGCGAAATTTCTACGAAATAAAATCAATTCGTTCGAACACTCCATGAGAAATGCAAGCTTTGTATTTTTAAATTAGTACGCCGAAATTCTACCGGTATATTAAAACTACCATTCTTGAATGATTAATCTTAAAGATGCACTATTTATATAAAATACGATGGCGTTCACCCTGTATAACACTCATAAATAAGTTATGAATTATTCCACGGAGTCCAGTCCATTAAACTCGACGGTAACCGTTACTTTGAGGTAACGTAAACAACGACTTCTCCCACCTTTAGCTCGCTTTAATAAACGTGGGGGAAGAGCGATCGGCGCAGGCGCTAGTTTTGACGGTATAAAAAGCGTCGCGCACGGGCGAGAACGATCATTTGAGCATCAGCAGTCGGGTTACGAGTTGGCTTACTTTCTTTATTTGGAATAAAATTTGGGATGTCTTTTTTTTCATGGATTTTACAAAAATTCTATCCGAAATGGACAATAGTGTACAGTGTTACTTTTTGCGCGATTTATTTGGCGGGATTTCCACGTATAGCGGCGAGAAAATGGGATCGTACTAATGGCTAGGGCGTGGCAGGGCACTGGCGAAATTATTCAATTTCTTTAAAAAATTTTAATAAAATTCCGCAGGTTTGCCGAGCCGAATTTATCGGATAAATGCATTCGTTAAACGGCGAATTTTCCGAATTGTGAGTGCACATTTTTCGGATTCGAAACGTCGACGAGTAAGTTTGAGTTATCGGACGAAAACGAAAATCAAGTCGGTTGTTTTACCGTTATACAATCGAGAAAAACCGGATAATTCAGTCGAACAATAAAATTCGCGTTAAAAACCAATCGAAAATCGGCCGATTCCTAATGAGTATTACGTCATTTTTATTATTACGCCCTGTATAATCCGTTGGATCGATGTTTTTTCCACGGCCAAGACGAATTTCGTAGACCTCCCCTCCCCCCCGATCTCCACCTCGACTCCCCACTTCCTACGTTCCGCGTTCGGTTCTTGTTCTAGTACAGACCAGTGCTGAACGGGAACTACACTCGAACAAACGGCTGATCGATCGCTCGATCTCTCTCTCGCTCTTTTCAACTCTCTCTCTCTCTCTGCGACTGGCTGGAGTTTTGTAGGGCAAAACAGAAGATCCCAGCTGGCGGTGAAAAGGAAATGTTTCTTTTGTACATTACAGGGTGGTCGGAGTTTTTAATAAGTTTTCAATTCGATTTTTGAACGGTTTGTATTGGAAATTTTTAATGTTAGCGAGTTTAAGGGAATAAAAGTGACTAAAATTTACGTAAATTCGAAATATTTTCTAGAAACTCAGTATTTGCTGTGTAAATAAAAGAACAGAAAAGACTGAAAGGAAATTGGATTTTAAAATTTTCATTGTTATTTATGATTCATATAGTTTAGGCGTATATTCAAAGTTTAAACAAAGGTTAATTTTGCATTATTTGTAACTATTTATCCTGTAAATTATACATTTATGTTTCGTTTTGTAAAGAAAACTATTCTCCACTCTATTATTTAAAATATTATATTTACTAAATGCCAACTAAGTATAATGATAATATAATAAAATCCATAGTTTAAATGATTCGAATATTTTCCTCAATTCTTTTTTCAAATATCTTGAACACCCCTCGTATACCTTACAATTCGCACAATAAACGTACGAGGACAAGTGAATAATTTCACGACCTACTACTCATTATAATGCAATACCAACATTTAATGGCAAAATTTCATGGATTAGTCGGATTTTTAACGATTACTCTCGCAATATTCAGGACAAATAATAATTAATAATTGATTCAGAGAGGTTGACCTCTCGCCCGAAATACTACCGTAGGCGTTCGGTATACAGTAGATTATGTGTCTAGGGAAACTATAATAACATTAAAAATAAAAACCGATGTATCTGGTTTCGAAAATACGTAGTAATTCAGGGTCATCAGCCAGTTTACAAATGCGTATTAAAATCTCTAATCTAAAATCGAATGTTTTTATATTTTCGCTAAATAATCCAAATTCGGAACTTACGAAAAGAACTTTTGGCAAGCTCTCCGTATTGTATGTGAATCAAGCTAGCACCCCCACCTCGACTAAATTGAAAAAAAAGTAGCCTATAATTAAGAGCTAATTAAAGGCTAATTTGTACCACAAAAATTAGAATTTGTACCACCGCGATATATTGAGAAAAACGGCATTGAAAATGGGGGGTGCTAGCTTGAGTTCAAGGCAGCACCCCCACTTTGTCCGAATTTAAAATCAAATGGATCAAAATATAGGGGATATTAAAGGCTAATTTGTACCACAAAAAGTTTTTCTATATTTTTATTATTAACATCAAAAAATTAAATAGAAAGCTATGATTGTCTCTGCTCCATAATCTTAGCACCCCCACTTTGGTCAAATCAAAAAGTGAATATACAACATTAAGCAACTAATTAAAGGCAAATTTGTACCACAAAAGAAATTTTGATAATTTTCAATGTAAAGCCGCAAATTAAATTTAAAACGATTCCTTGAAGAGACATGTGTGTGACGTATGAATGTAAAAAATAATGTAATTGTAAAAGTGAATATGCAACATTTTACAATTAATTAAAGGCAAATTTGTACCACATAAGAAATTTTGATAATTTTCAATGTAAAGCCGCAAATTAAATTTAAAACGATTCCTTGAAGAGACATGTGTGTGACGTATGAATGTAAAAAATAATGTAATTGTAAAAGTGAATATGCAACATTTTACAATTAATTAAAGGCAAATTTGTACCACAAAAGAAATTTTTATAATTTTTAATGTAAAGCCGCAAATTAAGTTTAAAACGATTCCCTGATGAGACATGTGTGTGACGTATGAATGTAAAAAATAATGTAATTGTAAAAGTGAATATGCAACATTTTACAATTAATTAAAGGCAAATTTGTACCACAAAAGAAATTTTTATAATTTTTAATGTAAAGCCGCAAATTAAGTTTAAAACGATTCCTTGAAGAGACATGTGTGTGACGTATGAATGTAAAAAATAATGTAATTGTAAAAGTGAATATGCAACATTTTACAACTAATTAAAGGCAAATTTGTACCACATTATATTGAAGAAATTTTATGTCCTTCACAAAACATTTTGTGTTTGGGTTGTCCCACAAATTATTCTGCAACAACGACTTGAAGAGTTTCTACCCACTATAAAAATGTGCCGGTTTTAAAACGTTACTTTTACCCCATATTGTATTATGTAAAACTGGAAAAGTATTATTTTAAAATAATCGAAGTATTTTAAGTTCATATTTTTTTTTTGTTTAATTTGTGTTTTCCATTTAGGATTCATACTTATTTTTTTGTAAAAATAAATTAAATATACCTACAATTACAGAATTTTTACTAACCCGGCTCCTTTAATAAATCACCCTTGTCGTCATTACATTCATACGTCACACACAAACAATACCCTTCTCAAGCTATCGTTTTAAACTTAATTTGCGGCTTTACATTAAAAATTATAAAAATTTCTTTTGTGGTACAAATTTGCCTTTAATTAGTTGTAAAATGTTGCATATTCACTTTTACAATTACATTATTTTTTACATTCATACGTCACACACATGTCTCTTCAAGGAATCGTTTTAAACTTAATTTGCGGCTTTACATTAAAAATTATCAAAATTTCTTATGTGGTACAAATTTGCCTTTAATTAATTGTAAAATGTTGCATATTCACTTTTACAATTACATTATTTTTTACATTCATACGTCACACACATGTCTCTTCAAGGAATCGTTTTAAATTTAATTTGCGGCTTTACATTGAAAATTATCAAAATTTCTTATGTGGTACAAATTTGCCTTTAATTAGTTGCTTAATGTTGTATATTCACTTTTTGATTTGACCAAAGTGGGGGTGCTAAGATTATGGAGCAGAGACAATCATAGCTTTCTATTTAATTTTTTGATGTTAATAATAAAAATATAGAAAAACTTTTTGTGGTACAAATTAGCCTTTAATATCCCCTATATTTTGATCCATTTGATTTTAAATTCGGACAAAGTGGGGGTGCTGCCTTGAACTCAAGCTAGCACCCCCCATTTTCAATGCCGTTTTTCTCAATATATCGCGGTGGTACAAATTCTAATTTTTGTGGTACAAATTAGCCTTTAATTAGCTCTTAATTATAGGCTACTTTTTTTTCAATTTAGTCGAGGTGGGGGTGCTAGCTTGATTCACATCCGTATTGTTAATTATGTAATATGTCGAAATAAATAAGTAAATCCATCGGGAAAAATTTCGTAAGTAAATTGAATGTGTGAAATTCTTTAAGTGCAAAACAGTTACGTTCAAAATGTATAGGTATTTAATAAAACAAGTATAAGATAAACGAGGGGTATTAGAAATGTTCAAAAAACAACTAATTGATGGTGTAATGTAAATTAAGTCAATTCACGATATTTTTGAATTTTGGCATTTAGGAATTAAAATAAATCACGAAATTGTTGATATTTAACAAAATAATTAATTATAGTCGGGGATTTGTTTAATTATAGTCAGGTTCTAGAACGTGTCCTAGCATTCCTAATTGAATTGAAACGCATACGAGGTGTGTAGGGAATAAAGTACAGTACCTATTATTAAAATGTAATTAAATAAAAATCGTATTAACTCGAATTATTCCTTGACGATCGTTTTCTAATAACACAGGAGAGAATATAGATAATCGGCGTTTACGGGGGTACATCAAAATATTCAAACAGAAACGAACATTCAAACAACATCAACAACATCGATATCTCAAAAAAAAAAAAAGAAAATCAACC